ATAATACACTTATGTAATGTTGGTAGGGTGGGGGGGGTCGCCTCATTGAAATAAATTTGGGGGCCGTGGATTAAAAAACGTTGCGTACTACTGTTTTATGCCACTCATCCGTGTGGACATCTATTACTGGTCCACAGATATTTTTCTTGGTTTTATTTTCAAAGGTCCTTAGCTTCCTTTCCATTGTACTAGTCGTAGTCCAGTCCTCACATCCGTACATTAAAGTTAGTTCACCTTATTATGATAACATATATTCTGAATTTTATTTTTCTTGACAACATCTTAGAATTTCCTATTTTGCTAGAGCGTAAAAGGTCTAAGCGAAAGTCAATCTTTTTTGGCTAGTCTTATATTCTACAAATATCCCTTTTTTTTTATCTACATTCAGAATTTCAAATAAAAAAAAAAAAATTAAAAAAATTGTACTGCATTATAGTAAAGTTATTTAAATACAATTTAATTAACTTTTTATCCATACACACCTATTCATTTTAAATAAACAAGTTAATTTGATATAAAAATATAAGTGTAGTTATAATAATAATGATAAAATATATAATATAATTATAATAGTAATAATAATAGTAAAACATGATTACAGAGTCATTGATAAAAACAGTTTACAGGGGGCGAGTTTCATCAATTCTGTGAGTTTAGTACCTTCTAAACATTATTATTTAGGTAGGTACATCATTGGCACGTTGTCATGATTTATTTATTTAGACTAGATATAATCTTCATACATTAATATAGTTAATTACTTATTTAACAAAAATACAGTTAAATAAAATAATGTTTCACACATTATTTCATGTCTTCTAAAAGATGGTTATATATCTATATAAAAAGAGTACACAAACAAAAATTATAATTATTAATACTAATACATATTATAAGTATATAGGTATATATGTAAAGACTAAAGATTATATGATATAAGTACAGAGGCATGTCCAGGATCAAAATTCAGAATAGGCCCGGTTATAAGTATAATTATTTTGTGGTGTTATCTCATTTAAGCAAATCATTTATCCAAAATCCCATTTTTCCAATTTTTCTGATATTCTTACCACAATTTGTATAAACACATTTTTATTGTTTTATTAATAGGTAGATATTTTAAATATATTTTTATTATATTATATTATATTATATTATAATTAAAAATTATTTATGATAATTTTATAAATTAAACTTGTAAATTTACTTGGTAATCAGTCATATATAAATATATAAATTGAATTAGTTATTATTAAATTTAGTAAACTCATTAATCTTTGTAGGACATTGAACTAACATCAAACTGAAATTCTTTTCAATTGATATTAACACTAAATTATGAAGACGTGTAGAAGTCGTAGATGTCTGTACACATATTTTGATTATTTTTATCATATGGTAATACTTTTGCATGTTTAAGAAAGGGAACAAAATTTGTTACACATTACTTATGTTTGGCTCAAAAAAAATCAGGGTACATCCGGGCCTACCAAGTCTACCTGCTGAACGTGTCACTTTATAAGTATCTATATTATGTGGTCGAATTTGATTTTCTCCTTTGGGTTAAACAAAAATAAAATACATATTATAATAATATATTTATATTTTAAACGTAACTCTCTTGTTTTGATGAATACAAAAGGAATGAGTCCAACAGTCTTGGTTCTACCAGCTCAGCGGCATCGTACTGGTTCATTATTTTGTCTTTGCCACAATTTGCAGCGATTTTTCGTAACGAGGCCTAAACAAAACGAATCACAATTTTATTAATTATAACTTTATATCGTTAATATCACACAGGGGTTAAAAATAAATATAGGCATATATAATAGGTATCATTTTGTGTACTGCAATATAAGTTAATTACAATTAAATAAGACTATATTTTATACCAATAAAATTATTAAATTACGTGAGATTCGTCATATTTGATTATATTAATTCGCGTAGCAACATAAATGATGCTTAACTACTCTTTTCTACCCAAACTTAAAAGTGGAATATCTCGTTAACAAATTGAAAATTTTAACACCAAAATATTATAATAAAATTATAATAAATAATAAAAAAAAATATATATTTATATATGTATATATTCATGGAATTTTTAATAAAGGTTTCTATCTAAAAATCATAAGTGTATAGTGGCTTCACCGGTCACCCCCAATTATTAGGGTGACAAAAAATAACAGTAATACAACATTTTAGAGCTGCTTGTATTATAAACTATTCAAGAAAAAAAAAATATATAATTTCAGTGGCAAAGAGAGTTGTCATCGAGAAACGATAATTTTGTATTATCTATATATATATATATATTTATATAAAAAACAAGTTACATAATTTGTATCTACTTACCAAGCACGCTACTAAAACTCCGTCACTATGATTTCGTTCACGTTCGTCTTTGCACAACCTTATCATACGGTTAACTCCTTCCAGTTCCACGACTTGTTTAGACACTTGCACATCGCTGCACAACCTATAATATAGTAATAATATTTATTATTATATGCATGAATAATGATGGCCGAACTGTTCCATATAAACAATTCTTCAATAATATAATATTAATCAATCGTTGCAACCCCAACCGATTGTGCGTGTTGTGTGTACCTATACCTATATAAAAATTTTTGTGACATACCTATTATATTATTATGATGTGTATTCTTATGTGTACATAAAATAATATGAACTAGGTATTATGTACTGTCTACAGAATGTATCACGATATTATCTAATAAATCACAAAATATGCGATAACTTTACTATAGGAAAATATTTCATTCTACAACAAATGTCCAATCGAATTCAGTTGGATAAAGCGATACATATTCACTTTATCTGAAATGTTTGAATTTTTGTATTTTATTCTTATATTAAAAACATTATTTGTAAAACTTAAAATACCTACCAATATTTATTTTATAGAATTTAATATATAATATAAAATATCACGTCATATCGGACTAACTTTTTAAACGTGTACATTTTTACAGTATTAATTTTGTGTTATAAACAAAAAAAAAAGACCGACATACTTCGCACTATGGGTGGGTCACTGTTGTAGGTGAGAAGTTGTGAAGGAAGGATACAGATAAAAATTTGATGTATATCTGTACGTATCGATAAATCATTGGTAACGAAAAACAATTCTGAGCTGAGCTCGGTTATACATGTTTTGAAAGGCCATAATATTTCTGGTAGAACTTTTGTACACAGTATATATAAAAAAAATAAATACAAATAATTGAAAATCAATACATTTAAATAATTTTTTTTTTGTATAGTTATAAGTTGTCTCTTATAATGTTATACTGATGTGTTTGTAAAATATTTGAATTTTTTTTACTGGGACAACAGGGCTCAGGCATCTTTAATTCGACTACATTACTCCGTCAGCTTACCTGGACAAGGCGATTGCGGTTTTGTGCTGTAGCCGTTCGGCGGCTAACATCTCGGGAACGCGTTGCAGTGGTGAGCGGCGCACCTGTAGAAAACATAGTAGAGCGACAACCGCGTGATTGGCTGCCATGTATGGTCTGGTTTCAGGGACGACGGCCATGTTGGCCAAGAGCGTGGCTGTCTGCTCTTGCAGGAACACCGAGGCCCCGGTCCCGGTTTTCCGGACCGCTTCGATCAGCGACCCGGCCGTGCCGTTTTTCAGTATGGTCCAAACTGCATTATTTGGTTCCATAAATGTGATGTTGGCCAGAGCTGCGGCCGACAGTAGCAGCATTTCCGCGGACTCTGTGGTTTCTATCAGGTCTGCATGGACACACGTGAGTTTAATATCATTAAATTGTATACAGAAACGTTTATTAGGAAATAAGTGTAGCTGGATGTAGTGCAGGGAAGTGATAGAAGTGTTGTGTAATAGACTCCATTAAGATTACATACATGTCAACGATGGTATGATGTGGTTCAAGTATTCTTTGAGCGCTAGGGTAACATGGTTTTCTTCGATCAAAGGAGTGGAAATTTGAGCCAATACTGACACGGCATCGGTAAGTTCTTTTTCCGAGCGGTTTTTGTTTCCCAACATATCGGACAGAATCTCTACGCCTCCCGCCTGTAATATACGTAGTTAATAATAAAAGTTAAGCATTTTTAAACGGTTAAGAATGTACTTTGCAGTATTAACACGATTTATTCGGTTACTCACCTCACAAAATTGTCTGATGCTATCCGACGAGCAACATACCATGGCTAATGTACGCAGAGCAGCTGATCTGACAGTACTAGACACAGCGTCTAAACATACAGTTAGCAGCGATCGGACACCATCACATTTCGTCATTAAATTACCAAGATGAACACTGTCCAATCCTAGACTGTTGATACTGGACATGGTCTTAACCAGTTCAATATCAGTGCTTGGCTCTTCCAATATATTTACCAATGACTGAAATTCAATGTATTATTCATAATTCAATAGTATAAACAATTAAAGCTCGTAACTTTTCGGTTAATACCTGTATTCTTTTCAATAACAAAGTATCGACTAATTCGCTAAATATTTGCCCTAAAGCAGCCACGTCGTTGAGAATAATTTTTCTGTTGCCCAGGCGTCGGTTAGCATGAATTCTTAGTTTTTCTGTAACGTCGACCAGCTCGTCGCATAGCTCCTGGCCGAACTCAGACAATTCATTTTCATGGTCACATACAAAGTCTAACAGTAGTCCAGTTAATGTTTGAACAGATGGACCGAAATTTTCTTTTCGGCATTTGTTCAGATCACTAAAGATATAAGACAAAAAGTAATTTACGAGTAATTGTATAGATAGGAACAATATTGTATTATAAGTGTACGATATGTTGATGTACGTACTTATAAACTGTTCTAAATTCGTCCGATATTACTTTTGTACGTTGATAAAGGTCCCGTACGACCTCGGAGTCGGTGCATACAATTGTAGAAAGACGACAAGTGTCTTCTGAAGTTGCGATTGACTTCGACTGCAAGGTAGTCATACATTCGGGTTCACATCTAAATCTTAGTTCGTTTAACCACTGGCCAACAGTCACCTCATTTTCACATTCAGTTCTGAAAGTTAAATAGTTGCTATTTGATTATTTAATTTAATAATATGTATAGGTTTATTCAAAGATTTTATTATAGATAAATTCATAAAAACAATAATTAATTTTGTAACACAAACATAATATGAAATAGTCTTCTCATCGCCTATATCTCATAATGTAAGCGTGGTCAACTAATCTTATCTTTGGCATCCATCGCATCTCCCTATTGGTTATCATTTCCTCATCTACTTCTCTAATAATATCTGACATTTTTTTATTAGGCTACTCTCTCCAGTTTTCGTCCTTTGATTTTTATTTTTGAATTTTAGTTTTATTTTATGTCCTATACTTAGATCCGCAAATAGGGTATTAAATATGCAATTAATTTACCAAAAAAGTACCATTTACTTGTACCTGTCGTTGCTGTTTTGTAGAATTTTTGATTTCTTCATCTGTAGTTCTTTTCTGTAATGAAATCTGGGCGTAGAACATCTGTCTTTGGTCGATTTTGGCGTGGACGTGTGTTCAGGTGTATCTGGCCCGTCTTCGGATCCGTTGGAAAGGCTCGCGGCGTCCGGGGTGTCACGGTCAGTGCAGAAATGGTCTACAAACGGTGTGGGTGGTTCGATGATTAAATCGTCACCATCACCCGCACCACTGTCATCTTGTTTGACATTTTCCACTACGGTGATGTTTTCGGATCTATCGAAATGACCGTCAAAACTTTTTATAGAACTCGGGGTGGACTGAAGTTGCAGTACCACGCCACTACCACCGCTACTCTTGGGTAACTCATCAACGATGAAGCATGTCCGGTTGGGCGTGACCGGTTCTTCGGCTTGCTGCGACAGAGTTCTCGTAGTTGGGCTAAACCGGAACTTTCGAGACAACTCGCATGCTGGCAGGAAACAACTGCACGGTTCCGGTGTTTCGGACTGTGACGGTACCCAGCAAGGCGCAGAAGTTTCCGGCAGCACACCGTTGGGCAACTCGTCAGCGAACGAGCTCCCGACGTTGCCGCACGGTCGATTTTGGTCATCTTTCGGCAGTAAACTTCTAGACGGGCCCGGTGGACTGCTCTCCGAGTCCGAGAACCCCGAGTCCTGTGACCTGTGACTACCGTTGCTCGGACTTCCGGACGATACTCGCCTGCTCTCCGGCGACGAGGACGGTTGCCGGCGCCACGAGTGCAGATGGTGCACATCGTCGTCATCAACATCCAAATTTGAAAACCACACCTTGCTTCTGGTCCTCTGGAAGTCGGTCATATTTGTCTTACTGCTCATTGAGCCTGCAAAAGACAAAGCGTTCAAAATTCACGTTAGAAAATTCACAAATCTGCTGTTACAAAAAATGCAAGCATTTATACATACAAGCAAGGGGATACATCTCTAAAACTCGGGTTTATGTATACGTCATAGGCCATATGGAAAATTAGTCTTTTTGCGGAAAAACAAGGCTTTTTGCAATGGGGTAGCCCGTTTGCTAACTACTTATTATTTTTCCAAACACCCTATTGTTTTTCAGGCTTATTGCACACAAATTAACACAGTTAGGTCCTTTAAGAACTACAATCATTATATAGCAATAACCATTTTACATATTAAGTAGATCGTGTACCATTAGACACTCAAAATATAATTGGCACAGTTGTAGACAAAAAAAATGTAACACGAAAATTTACAATAAGTAAATGTTTTACTAATCTAAACTTCACTGATACTCGCCATTGATAGAGTTTATACGCTTAAAATAAAATAAGTAAAATGGTTATTACTGTATAATAATTGTAGTTCTTAAAGGGCCTATCTGCTGTTAATCTGTATACAATAAGCCCGAAAAACAGTAGGCCGTTTTGAAAAATAATAAATAGTTCGCAAACGGGCTACCCTATTGCAAAGAGCCTAGTCTTTTCGCAAAAAGACTTATTTTCCATACGGCCGACGACATATATATTATGTACTCGTATACAACACTTCAATGAAATTATCCTTCGTCATTTTAAGTGCGGATAATAATTTATACTGTTTACATTAAAATTCTATTTCTTAAGTTTTCAATTAAATATTATATCAACTCATTTACCGCATCAGACATTATAACATAATATATTATAGTACATACTCGTAATATACATAATAGTCTATTAGCACTTATCATGTATAATCAAGTATTTTTGTATTAAAATACTTAAAATGTGTAGTAATATTTTCGAAAATTATGATTTACAAGTTTTAATATCAGTCGACATATTTATATTTATATTTATACCTATAGCCGGTTTGGTCATCTTTTTAGAGTAGGTATTTTATTTTTAACGGCTAACAGTACTTACATGATGCATTTAAATCAGTTAATAATGTTTAAAGAGCACTAATCAATATTGCAGATAACATAGAGCATAGGTATAGTTCAGAGCGATATGATAGATATACTATACTAATTTTGGCAATTGTAATAGTTTATCTTCAGTTTTTTTCAGAAAATATAAGAACATGTAAACATTATTATAAGTACCAATGTTGTCATCGTTTTTTCATAATATATTTTTATACGAGTAGTTGTGTTTAGCTGCTGTGATAAAATTACGAGTTTTTTGGTTTTATATAAAACTGAATATATAACATGTACTAGTATAAAACGCGAGAATTATGGACGCGGTAGCTATCAAAGTTCGTTTCTAAGAATCTCTGGGCGTGGAAATAAAATAATAATAATACGAACGGATAATATTAAGTTCTTTTTGTTGTTCCTTTCTCAAGATATTTTGTGCGGGCGTGACCGATAACGTATTATATAGATTATAGAACCTCGAACAATAAACTATATAGATTAGTCCTGTATAGCCGTGACTGAATAACAATCGTTTCCTTATATACTCACGGGTACTGAGGGTGACACGATGAGGACCGAGTTCACTTATATATTATTACTTTTCGAAACGGGTCACGGTAAAACATAAAAAAATAAATATCCAGGTACACAGGTAGGTAGTTTTCGGAACCACACCACAGTCTCGTACATATATATAGGAATGCATTATATCATATACCAGTTTATTATATATATAATACCTATATACCTATATTATCATTACCATGTACTGTTCGGATTGATTCAATATTTTATTTTTTTTTTTTTAAAGAGAAACATTTTATCGGGGATATACCGAGTGCGTCCCATTTTTAATTTTTATCTTTTACATAGCCTGAGTGCGTCCGCGGTCTTATCGACAATTTTTTTTGAATTTTTCGATTGCGTCCGCAGTCGTATCGATACAGTCTTAGGTAAGTACTTATTTATACCTACTTAAAAGCTAACAAACTGATCAGTGGGAAAACAATATTTTGTTTTAACTTTGATAATAAAATTCAATAAGACTGTGGAGTATGGCTGGTAGTTACAACTAAGCTAGTGAATAAGTGTCATACCGTATTTTTCAAAATTTAAAAAAAAATATTATTACGTTTCCAAGTGCAAAAAAAAAAAAAAATTAAATAGTACCTAATCTAAAGACTATTCTGTATTCTGTATCTATTGTATAACCAACTTAAATGAGTACAATAGATAGTAAAATAACTTAATATTTTTGGGGTTTAAGTCAGTTCATCATCTCGCGGTGTATCCTGGGTAACTACGAGTGAACTTCGGGCTACGTTGAAAAAATTATCTTTTTTTATTGGGACGCATTCGGGTGACCCCTATACTCCGGACGCACTTAGTACATTGAAAACTGATCATTTCGGGACGCACTCGGACAACCCCGATTTTATCATATATCTACGAAAACCAGGTAAATAATAATATACTAAGCTAATTATATGCTGATGGCTTATAAGTTCTATAGAACTTATAGTTAGGTGTGTAGGCACAAACTGTATTCTACTAAATTACACCATCCACATAGTCAGGTTAATATAAGTTAAATTTATAAGAAAACGAACATTATAATATACTACATAATATATTATCATTGAAGTAAAAACAAAAAACGTCATTATGATTACATTACGAGTATTATAACTATAAAATATTATGTTCTCTTAATTCTTTTTTCAAGTTTCTGATAACAAGATGCCTTTCTACCCCTCCAACTCTTTCAATCATTAGGAGTCTGCACTATAAAATATATGTTTCAAACGAACTAGAGATTATCTTTGTATATATATATATATATTAGACAATAATTATCAAATTACTCATAGCTATGATTGTTTAACATGAAGTCATTATTAGTATTAACCTCATAGTATAACATATTTTATGTAGTTTTTAATACTGCGGTCCGCGACATGATGAATAAAAACATTTCTGCAAACAAATTGATAACTTTGTAGAAACATGAAAACGACGTGAAAAGTTTGAATAAGTATTAAATTGCATTATTTTCCTTATTTATGTTTAATGTTATCACTTTATCAGTAATTAAGAACATCGTTCATATAATATTTGACCTTTGTCTTAACATCAACATTTATAAATTAATATAATTATATAAATTTTATTTTGTTTTTTTAGTAACTGGGATAACACTTGTCCCTGGTGCTTTTCCCGTAGGTCCGCTTTTGAATTTTATTATTATACTAGGTTAATTTGTTTTTCTGAATCTAGAAATAATTAATAACCGCAATAAAGTTAGTTATATGATAAAAAACAAATTAAAAACCGTTGAGATTATACAATATATAATATACAGACAACTGCACCCATTTTTTTGTCCGTGCAACATTATATTCATACATTGTTTCTTTGCACATATTCTAATAGCTAAACGAAAATTAATTTTCTCTTTGTTTTAATATATGTGAGTACCTACTGTGAATGGAGCTTTAATATGCAGTTAAGTTCTCCGAAAAAAAACACCGGAATGTAATCGCATATGCAAATAACATTATAATAATCTTTCTATATACATCACAGCGTCTCCTTACATCTTTTGATTTATATTAAAAATTTAGTCGTGTTACTCGTGTATGAAAATTACATTCTACATTTTTGTTTACTATTATATAGTCAAACCAAATCTTATTCCGTCGGCTCGGGCGATGATTTTTCCAACTAGTGTAAAGACACGCTCTGTATGCTGTACATGTTTCAATATATACCAACCCTACCTCAGCATACAAAACAAAAGAATACCAATTTTTATTTAGACGTATTAAGATCAAAACAGATTTTAATATCGTCCACTGAACTATAGCCCCCAGGCTCCATTTTACATGAATCACTATTTTTTTCCTCTATTGTATACTCACTAATATAATACACTGGATGCGTTATATTGTTGTGTACAACACGTATCCTCCTCACCGACACACGTGATGGACACAGCGGTGAAAAGTATGTAAAAAAAAAATGATAATAATAATGAAAACCTAACCGTTTCTGGGTGTCGTCCAACGCAGTATTCAACAATTTCTATCAGTTTTTCTGTCATCATAATAACAGTATATATTCCTCAAGTCTCACTATATAGAATTTTTTTGTCTAAAATGTCTTAGATGAAAACAGTTACGTTGGATTAAACGTATAAATTAAAAAAAATAAAATATAGGTTAATTAATTTTGATCAAAAATTTTCAAATAATACATAGTGTTCCATTTAACGTGGACTCTATATACAATACACCGTAATATTCTTCATTTTCTCTATAGGTACTACTATATTTTTCATACATAATATTTCTATTTTAGTGTTTTATATCATATAATATAATATAAAAATAGGGCTCCCGGGTTAAAATCCCGACACCGAAATTCCGACAGTTGAAATCCAAACAACGTCTAGATCCGGTGATATGTAGAATGTCGCTAAAATGTCGTTGAGGATTTCATAATCTTATATAGAGTATTTGCTAAAGTGGTCAGACCCAATATAATCTGAACGTGTACTCTAAGGTGAACAATTAATTTAGTAATATCTGTCAGGGTTTAAGGGTCGGAATTTTGATCTGTATACACATTGTTATAAACAAGTATACGAGTATATATTATTCTAATATTCGATATAGGTATTATATTCATAGACTTATATCTTAACTTATATCAGTCTATCTTTCTTGATCCCTTCGGATCCACCACGCCACCCTATCTTCGGGACGAATGTTCGGTGATGTAGATGTAATAATAATAATAACAATAATTATTATTATTATTTTATTTATTTACGCTATCACAGGCATTAATTTGAAAAACAGTAACTTGATTATAATATAAATATAGTAAATTAGTAGCTAAATATAACAAATGTATAATATTGTTAAGTAATACATTAATTGTGGAGAAGTGGCCGAGACCAAGCTGAATTAAGGTTACTGTAATATTTTTTGCAGTGGGTGGTTTGAAGCCATAATAAGTACGGTTATACGGTAATTTAAAAAGGGCATGATTCCTTGAAAAGTAGGTAGGAACACGAAATAAGTAGAAGAGAACAAATTGGGATAATCGAGAGATCCCTCAAGAAGTGAAGTGATGAAGTGAAGATCAGCCTCAGCCCGGCGAGAGGCTAAAGTAGGGATTCGAAGGGTGGAGGAAATTAGTGAGTAGTCATGGATGGGATACTTGATTTTTAACTTGAAGGCAACGTAGGATAGAAATCTGTTTTTTTCGCTTCAATCTTAATTCGTCACGCGCCTTGGTATGGGCGCCACATTACTACCCCATATTCTGAAATAGAGTGAACTAAGGATAAATAAAGAATACAGACAGTAAAAATGTATACGTTTATGACTATAATATTATACGCCGTGTATGTGATAATGTGATATATGATTTTGTCCATGGGCTACTGTCAAAATTATTATTCACTTTAAAATACACGAGTACCTACTTAAATTTAAAAAATGATAGAATACACTTAGGAGACATATTTACTTATATGATTTTTTTATTTTTACATAAAATTTACAATCTATACTTAATAACGCTGCAGCTTTTACGATTTAAATTATTAAAAAATAGAAATATAATAATTTGTATGGGTATAAAAATGATTTATAATATTATTTGCATACGTAGAGACATATTAATTTGATATTTTTACTAATTCCGAAGTTTATTATTTTGACATAGTATTATACCTAACACAATATAAATAGGTATGCGATTTTGTTCTGAAGTTTTAATCAATAATATATTGTATCTATTTTTTAATATAATCATTTACGTTGTTGTTTTAATATTATATTGATCTGCATTAAAATAATTATTAAAATATTATATACGTTATGCATTCAGTATTTAAGGAGTAAGTATAATTAATTTTAAAGCAATATTTTTAAAAATAATGAAATCATTAACTCAAAAATATGAAGTATACCCCCTCCACCGAGAGTCCTGTATCATCATTATCAGAATATGTTGTATGGCCATGAAATTTGACAAATGAAAAGAGTGTTATTATTATTTTTTACTCTTAAATTTTAGTTCATATTTTTCTGAATGATATTTTAAAATATGATAATAATTATTATTCTCTTTGAAATACTTTTATATCAAGTATTTTATCTCTGACATTTTTTGAAATATACTTGTGTTGTTTTGCACTAAGGGAAAAGCACGTTTTTATTACTGAAAATTATCGGCGAGACGTGCTCTTATATTTTGGAAAATTAACGAGTGCAGAATGTTTAAAAATTGTTTAGTACGGGCTACATGTATACTGTCATCTATAAATATTATACACCAATAAAATAATTTATCAACTATACGTGCGTATTATATATGATTGAATGTATAATGTATATACTCAATATTCGACGAATGTGACTCGCGATATATAGGAGAGAATACATTAAATTATAATAATATGCGCGTATAAAAAATGCGAAATTGCAAAACAATAAGAAAATATGTCTCTTTATATAATAGCCAATATAGGTATATTCGATCATCGCATATTATAAAATATAATTTGTATATCATAATATTATAGCCACGTAGGTAATATATTACAAAGATGGATTATTGTTATTATGATGATCGTTTTGTACAGACCATAATATAGCCATATTATTATAATACTACCAGGTGCCAACTATATACCGCGGGTGTACGTATTTTTTTTTTTTATATAGTTTACGATAACGCGAAAGAATGTTCACGATTAAAAATAATCGCGAACGGCAGCAGGCCACTCCAGTACTACTACAACAAGCCCTCCGCGGGCGCTCTTATGCCAATAATATACGTTATCTCATAACACGTTTGGTCACTTTCTTCTCGGTCGTTCGGAAATATGCTCATTGAACTATTGAAGTGAGTAGTGAGTTATATATATGTATATTTAAGTATATAATGATAAGTATGTATGTATGTATGTATGTATGTATGTATGTATGTATGTATGTATGTCTACGGTCTACCTACCCAATGACATTCGACGATTTACGCACATGTTTACTACCGGTGTTAGTCATTTCATATTTATCTCCATTCAGAGTGCAATGCCGTTAAACAACAACAATAATAATATATATGACGTAGTGGTAAAAGAACATTTTATTTGATAAAAAATACTAAAATTGGTGTCTATATAATTTAATACACAGTAATATTACTGTTGGTTAGGTTTGCTAATCACTATATTATACTAATACTTTTAAGCATGATTTATGATTATTTTTAATGACATCATAATATTATACTTAATTCTGCTGTAGGTGCAAGAAACGAAATATCAATTGAATACCTACCTATATAGTTCATTCATTATAATTTTGATTTTTACATAGGTTGTTATTAAAGCACTGGTACGTGTATTATACTTTCTATGAGCTTTAAGGTAAACACAGGTCATTATATTGTCTAATATATTATACACTATGATACAAGATGTATCATATTTTTATACACACCATTATTATATTTATTTAATTAGATATTAATATGAAATCACAAAAATTTGTATATAAAGAATGATAAATTATAATTCTTAACTATTTTCGTTAAAACATTATTTTGTTCGAAAATCGAAGTATAAATAGTATGATATATCTACTAAAAACTTGCAAGGGCCGAGCCGGTCCAGACATAATATATTAAACAAAAGGCTGAATTGGGCTTTTTAAAATCATGGAATTTTATAACGGGTTAGGCCGACCTGCTTCAAGTGCATCTAGTGAAAAAAGTTTTATTATAGTTGATCATATAATTGAAAAATATCATATTAACTTAAAAGGAATTAGTTTATAGATACTCTAATGTTTTTACATTAATCTTAGAAATCTATTTTTGTTAAATGTATCAACCATGATACATTATGTAGTTATGACATGAAAAAATAACTTGATTATTATTTTAATAACACTTTTTAATTATTTTACATCCAACATTTTTAATTTGAATATAAAAATACATTTTAGGTAAAACTAATTAAATTTATTAGATTTTATTAAATTAAATAATTGATATTTAAATTTGAATAAAAACCAATAAAATTAATTATTTTAATGATTAATGAATATTGTTGATATTACATTGTAATGACTAATGAGTATTGATAGTAAGTATAGTATTGATTGAAATTGTATGTGATTACTACTTATATAGATCTTCATTATAAGAATAAGACAAATAATCAATTGTTAGTTTTCTTTGGAAGGAATATGGATTTAAATAGTTTAGTAAAAATTATTCTGTACTATTATTACTGTATTTCTGTATTAGTAGCCATATATCTAATTTAAATGTGGTATTTTAATTTTTAAATAATTTTGGTCATTTTTAGATCTAGTTTGTAAATTGTATGTTTAATTTTCTATAGGTAAATTAAAAGTATTTTCTGTTAAATCCAGTTAGTTTTTAAAAAAACTTAACAGAACAATTATATACCTACATAAAGCCAGTTGTAACATCATTGTTGTCATTTATTATTAAAGAAATGTCATATAAATTATTTAACAATTATTGAATCAAATTTACAAACAAAATTTATGACAGGACTTGGCTTTTTAAGAGATTAGCATTATCATTGAATAGAGCTCGAGTTTTTTTTTTTACAAAATATTTTGGACTGGATCGGACTGAAAATTGACGGCCCTCGCAGGTCTACAATACCTAAATTGGCTACATATAATATGAATAACAATTATTATTATTTACACATACTGTCGAAAAATTCTCGGTAGATTGTAGTAGATACCATAATTGTGTACTTTAAAAGTGTTTTATGAATAAACTATTATCTAATGTGTTTCTTTTGCCACGGTCCATCAACAAATTTGTTACCTACATAATATTAACACGGCGGTGTAGATATGGATTTTCCTTAAGAATTTCATGCTACATATGGCAGGTGTCATGCGAAATCGTGTGGTGTATTTAAAAAAAAAAAATACAAATACAAATAAAATAAGAATGTATAGGCATTACTGAATACTTTTAGTGCGTTAAAACCCGTTACGTTATGGCCATTGTTATACAATGTTATTTTCCAGTTACTGATAATGATTTTTATCATATATTAATACTAAAAAAAATGTGATGTGCAAGAAAACTATATAAACGAATGTTTGATTTGAAGTTCCGAGTCATACTCGGCCATAAGGAGCACTTGATTTAATTTGATGGGTATATTTATAGACAGTTACTTACGGTAAAAAAAAAGTATAATATACTCACAAGAACAGTACACCAATTTAAATATTTTGTAGGTTATATGTAGGTATATATTAGGTATTCATCTACCAGTTACCATTTTTGAAAACTTAATAAACCATGGATAAATTGATGTTCATATCCCATGTATAAACTGCAGACCGTTTTGATCAATAAAATATTATATACATAGTTAAAAAAAGAAAAAAAAAACCGATGTTTGTTAATGTAATTTAATATTTACGATACACAAAATAATTGTTAAATATTTCGAATTATATAAATAAATAAATATTAAAGTATGCCGATTTTTAATATAAAGTATTACATTAAAATAATGTACACAACTAATTAAAACATCGTATACTGTAGACACGGGGAAGTAGATTTAAAAATGGAGATTTATTGAAAACTAACAATAATTGTTCTAGGACTTGTACACTGAATAAACAATGTGCTATACTGGCATATTACTATTATATTAAATAAGCTTATATATATGTTTTGTAGTTTTATGAAAATTACCCATATTATATAATATTCTAATATAAATTAAAACTAAAACATTTATTATTGTAAAATAATAAATTAAAACTTAAAATCTGACACGAACTTTTATTTGAATTTCGTATAAATTAGACATAGTTGGTATTAAATGATATGAGTGTTTTTAATTGTATGATTGTATTTTATTTTATGTACCTATATAAGTAGGTACTCTAGAGATTTTTTTTAAAAAATTAATTGATCACATAAAATTATTCATAGATAACGCTAAATAGTGTTAAATCAACAGTGGAAGCTGCACAGTGTGTGTGTGTCTAGTGTATGCATTCGCGCGGCCCACCGTGACAAGACATATTATCGGATATGTGTAAATTGTAAACACACTGTAAGTCCAATGGAGGTCTTTGGCCCTCACGTGTAGTAAGACCGGCTAGTTTTTATTATTATTATTATTTAGTCGGAACAATAATTCTCCTTTATTATTATTTTTTTCTATTATTATATATACTTACTACATGCAGGTAGGTATAGCCTACAGGATACAAACGGGTGCCTTTTTCTTACAGTGTATAAGCATACCATCGCGAAAAACGTGACACGTAAGGTGGTCACCTCGACTAGGCCATATAATATATTCTTTTAACCGTACTCATATTTTAAAACTTAAATTTATATGGATTTATTATAATTCTCTGATATATTATAATATAATATTGTTTGTGTAGGTACAAACAAAATTATTGATTGAATTAAAACGTTTTAGATACTAAGCGAAGCGAGGAATGTATTGGTTTTATAATGATCATTATTTTTATTATTATTATATTACTTTTTCTGTAAACCATTTTTCTGCCAGAAATTTCGCTCCGATTTTCAAGTATACCACCTTTTCTAAAAGAAAATTTGACTGAGGTGATACTTATGAAAATTTATTTTTTAATTTTCCCGAGGGTTTGAATAATAAATGGGAAAACCGGAAAATGTACGAAATTTATTATTTTCAAATCGTAAATATTACAACCTTTTAAAATATGTGTAACCGAACTTCGTTTAGAATCGTTCGTCGTTGGCAATGGTTAATGGTTTTTTGGTGTAATTCGGTTATAAATACACGTAGAGACTTGAAACTTGGTAATAATACTTATATTGGACTTACATAGACGTGGTAAAATTTCTAAAATCATCGGACGACTTTTTTTTTTTAATAAGCGTTTTGAAATTAAATTTAAACAAAAATGGCAAAATATTATGTATTACCGAACTGCACTCGGAATCGTCTTTCGTCAAGCAATGGTTTATCGTTGCTTACAGATAGAAATAAAATAACCTATGTATCCTACCTTCCCAACTTCTCACCTATAACAGTGGTTACTCCCATCTCCAGTATCAGCCCTTTTATTTAATATGATTTTAAGATCAAATTTGAATAAAAATCGTAAATATTAAAATCATGTATAAACGAACTTCACTAAGAATCTTATTTCTTTAGCAATGATTTATCGTTGATAGGTAAACAGAATATAGGAACATCTATCATATGCCGTGTACTTTATAGGTAAACATTGTGTACTTTGCATGCTTATTATAATATATATTGGTAGGAAAAAAAGAATTCGCAACTATTATTTCCCCTTTGCAGGGTGACCGTTTGGTGATGTGTAATTTTTTTTTTTTTTAATACTAACCAGGTATATATTATATTATGTGTTTAGAATATGCGATCAAACCGGTTTGAAACGCATACCGCAAAAAAATAAATAAATATAGGGAAATATACGAGTACAGCGGAGAGTACTTCATTCTATAATATTATGTATGTACTTAGTATAATATATAATATAGGTATAGACCGTATAAGTATTACGTCATAGTCTGAGTATAAGTATATAATAATAAGAATAATAATATCAATGTTCATAATATTATATTTTGCAGCAGGTATCGACATTGTTTTGCAATGGCAACGAAATAAAATAATAATACCTACAAACATATTATTAAACCGATATTTAACAAAAATAACCAACGGTCATATATTTCAACATTTGTATACACACTGAAGATTACAATAATGTATACTTTTGACAGCTTCTGTATGTAAAATGCTAGCTATATTAACCGGTTTTGCTAGTGTACAATATTTTAATATTTGTCTGCGTGAGCCCCATTTTAGGGGTTGACTATCCCATTAAAACCTCTCTCTAAACACTCCTGGAACTAATAACAACAAACTGAAATTTCAGCGAAATAGGTTGAGTAATTTTTGAGACTATAAATCACAATCATATATAGCCATATAGGTACATACATACATACATATATACATACATACATACATACATACATACATTAGATATACCTACAAATAGTGACATAGTCAATAAGTGGGTGGAGGATTATAATCTTCTTACCCCAAAATGTTTTCAATAAGTGTTTTTTTTTACGTAATATTGTTATTTGTCAGATATGTATATTATCATAAATATATAATTAAATGTAATTTATCGCATCATTAAAACTTTAATGGGTTTAAGTAGATTTGTCTATAACTGTATTATTAATTTAAAGAAGACGACTTTTTTTAAGTGCTTTAAATGTTTTTTAAATGCTTTCCACGATACGCCACTGCTTATACAATCTTGTACTTAGGTAGTTTAATAAATAAATAGTATATTTAAAATTATAAATACATACTTATAAAATATGAGAAAGAAACAATTTTCATTTAAAGTTTATTAGTTTGTGTTACAAGTTTCGAGCTAACTTTAGTATTTTAATTTGATATATCTGTTTACCCTATCATTAAAAAAAAAGAAAAAAGATTGAAATACCGATATCGATTTTTCAAAATCGAATACATTCATGTGCACTATAAACTATAATGACTATTATACAAATTACAATTATTATTATTAGTTATATTCATAGTTGTATTTATATATTAGGTATGCATATTTTAGTCATGTTTATAAAGCAAGGTTAGGTTAAGGACCTAATATAGGTTGAGTTAGGTTTCAACAAATTAAAATTGCAAACAATTCTTTAGCCATTTAGGATTATTTTTTTTTGTACCTCCTAAATCCTACGACTTAATAATATTACTTTAATAAAATAAGTTTATTATGGATTAAAATAAAACAATATTATATTATTATTTGGCTAATCGATCAAGTTAATAGGCACATATACTATATTAAGATATTATCAAACCTAAGTTCATTATATACAGGCAGATTGATTTAACGTGAAACAATCATGATTGTTCATAATGAGTATTTCACGTTAAATCAATCACCCGGGTGTATGTAGTCTGCAAGTGCATAGTGAATTATAAAACATCCACGTTTTAATAATTTATGTACTAATGGCACCCCGTATACCCGTATACGAATACTGATGTTCAGTCCGTTAAATGACATAGGTATCTTTATACATATATGTGTATTTTACAAAAAAGATGTTACTATAATATAATGCACCATATATTATTATATTACGTTGTTATTTCTAAACGATCGAAACCCAAGAAACAGGCAATAGATTTCCTGCTGCACCAGCCACGCATATGCACTAGTATACATTTTATCGTCGTTCTCTATAGTGTAATGACCGAATGGTAGGTATATTACATTATACATACATACGTTTAAAAATATATATATATATATATATCGATTGTCGGCCAAGTAAATTAATTAACCACTCATTATATTATTATGTAAATAACCTACAAGCACTTGAGATGGTTTACTTGTAAAGAGTATTCCCTCTTCGTCCTTTGTATATTATATTTAATATAGTTAGTTCGTTTACATAGATTACACAAGAATCTCGATGTCTCGCACTGTTTTACTCTCTTGAAATTTTGTCATAACACTGCGTCTTTTGGAGTTATTATAGGTTACTTAAAGAAAAAAACCGTAGGCTGAAATCGAAAAAAAAAATATAAACATAGGATATTATATATCATATATTTATATAAGATTCAATACAAATATTTCAAGGGAAACGTTTAACTAATTGCATCGTTATACAGATAGTATTAGATACCTACCTAATGAAGATAATTTCATCGAATAAAAAAAAACGAAAGTTATATTTCCGTGACATCCGACATCAAAACGAGAATAAATGACGATTTCAGAACTAGTTTCAGAAAAATATTATTATACTAGTTTATGTCAAGATATATTTTATATGGTTTTATCGAACGAGAATTTCCTATACGTTTTTTTTAACAAGGACAAGTTTAATAAAATTTTTAAGAATAAAGTACTTAAAAGCGTAAAGATTGGAAAATATGAAAGTTATTTCTCATCAGGACAATGATCTTTATTTATTTATTAAACATGGATTCTAAAATGTAATAAATTATATAGTTCTGTATTTGATTAATTTATTATACAGATATTATACTATGTTTATTTATTTTATTAAAAAGAAAAATTATTAATAAATATCTGACTTATTATATTTTCACTAAAATACGATTTTTTATAAGTTAATAATTTATGAAAAAGTAGTATTATACTTCATTATTATAATCTTGTACGATTTTTGTCGAATTTTCTCATTTTCCTCCAAAATCAATTTCCCGTTATATTTGAATATTTTTAGCAGCTCCTTTGTACCAAAAGAGCTCAAACTCGGGAATTCGAGTTTTTTTTATAGGAGAATTTAAGTAATACAATTTTGGTTGAATTTTAATATGAACTGTACCATGTTGCTATGAGAGGGAGTGTTTTAGCTCTGTACATCCCTACAGAATCTTAAAATGGAACCAGGCAGTTATGGCGGATTGTGCCACCGGGAGATCGGGAAGTTTCCCGGTGGGCCGGAGTCCGGTCATGACTCATATTATCATAAAACTGATTTTATACTTAAAATTATTCCTTTTTTTATTTTTCGATAAAAATGTTTTTTATTACCTATGACGTATTGTGCATATGTCTTTTATAACGAAGAGAAAAATGATCACGATTTAAGGTAATATGATTGCGATTGATTGACGAACAATGATAAAGTGGTTAAATCTGTCATGTTCACAAATATATAAAATAAATAATGGGGCCGGAAAAATGAATTTCTCTCGGACCGGTTAAAATTTTGTTTAAGCATATTGAAGTATTAAGGATGTGTCCTTTGATGAGCCGGCTAGAAAATCCCGGAAAATATAACGGCCTGTACAATTCCGGAATGTAAATTTACGGACAAGAAAACGATAGTCTGTAAAAATCCGGACTGTAATCGGCCGGAAAAAATAAATACTCTGACCAGAATATTCCGGACTGTACAAATTTAAAAAGCATAAATACCAAAACCAGAAAGTCCCGGACTATAATCATCCGGAAAAAAAAATTCGAAATATAATCTTATGGACTGTAATATCCCGGACAAGAAATTTCTGGAATGTCACGCACAAGAATAATCCGGAATTTCAAAAACACTATTAATACTGATAATCGTAATCGTAATCGGATCACTATAGTCCGTGACTTTCTGGTATAGGCATTTATACTTTCCGGATTTTTACAGTGTTGAGATCTTCAAAACATTGAATACTATAGTTATTGAAACTGTTATTGTAAACTGCATTGCGTCATATATAATTATTAATTTTATCAAATTTAATATTAGGTTAGGTTGAAAATTATATATTAATATTTATTACGATTGCATTACATTATGATTAAAATAAAATATTAATATTAGGCCTATTTAATTTCTACTGGTACTTAATAGAGGTTAGGTTTAATTTTTAATGTTACATTATTCATTAAAATTATACTTATTATTTGCTATACACTAACATAGTTATATATATAAAGTATATACCTATACTGGCTATATTTAATGTTATAAATAATAATTATCAATGATAGAAATCGGGTCGCATAAAATATTATACTCGTATGACAGTAGTTGCATCTGCAGATTTTAACGTAGGTTGAATATACGCTAATAACGGTCTTCGTATTTAAGGTATTATACCTACCATAAAAATAATATGTTTTAATTAATTTGAGGAATAGTATGTAATACAATCAAATATAATAGTTACCGAAATTGGGGGAGGGGGTGATTTCAAACGCATATATTGCAGCAGATATTTTTGACGAAAATATTATTTTCTTACGTAATATAATAATTCACCTACGCACCAAAATCTTACAATATATGATAATGTGATGATGATGGAAGATTATGATTATAAAAAATTAATTTTTTGTATAATAGTAAATAGATTTCGGTGAGTACACGATAATATTATATTATATTCTGTGATAAATGGAGTATGCGAGCTACAACTTCGGTGCATTTCTCAAAGGGCAACACACCCGCGAGCTGGAGTCGCGCACTCTCATTATGAATTCTGCTCTTGCCCGTTTCCGACCAACAATGGTTCGTTCTCCGGGACGTGTACGACGATAACGACGACGACCATGGAGACCTTCCTGTTTACTATATGTGTAATAATAAAATATTTTACTTCTGTTCGCATCCCAATCGACGTGCCCGCAGTAAAGAATGACATCGGTACTACGGTTACCTATTATTATAGATAGGCAAGTAGAAAGGTATGGAAATATAGGCACACGTGTAATCGTGGAAGAAACTACCAGAGTGTATAAAATTATATTTACGCGTTTAAGCATAATATAGTAAGTTTTTAAATAATATTTTAATCGTTAAAATCACGGTTGGTATTGAATAGACATAATGTAGGATACAAATAATACTATACTTATAGGATTATACCTGTATACGAGTACATATGGAAATTATATTTTCATTATCGCGACGTTTTTACTTTATAATAACAATCACCCGAAAAACGATAAAAAAAATTGGTCACGGCATACTAATTTTTTCATTATACCTACAATTTAAATACAATCCCTATACCTGTTTAACCTGTTAATAATTAAAAATATATAATTAAATAATATTCAACTTAATAAATTAATTTAAAATACATTGATTATGTTTTGGAAGAGATTTAAGGAACAATAGTTGTATGCATACTCTTTTGGTATCATTTTGTTTCATAATAATTATTATTGTATAAGTTTTATTTATTTATTCGTATGGCATAGACAATGTAACAATATATATATAATTTATGTATAGTAATAAGCAGGTAGCAAAACAGAATATAATGACAATTGGTATAAACAACAGTATAAAAGTATAAAAGTATAATGACTATAGAATAATGTCCAGGCTTTTCACCCATTCGATAGCTTCAGTAGATTGTATAAGTAATATAAGTGAACATATTAAATATGTACAAGAAATACATTGAATACGGTAGGTAATATATGTTTTCTTAATGATTAAAACTAAAAAGACGGGCATATATACTTCGCAATTCTGATAAGTGGGCTACTATTGAAGGTAAGAAGTGGGGAACGTAGAGGTGAAATTTAATGTATATCTGTATGTAACGTTTAATAATTGTTAACGAAAAACGATTCTGAGCGGAGCTCGGTTAATAGTGTAGCTTTCAAACTTTGATAATAAAATCCTTATAAAAAAATTCTACATTACACTTAATTTTTTTGTTTTTTTTTAACCACGTAGTACGAATTATAATGAACCTCTTATTCTAGCATTTCTGTTTGGTTTAACAATATTAACTATAGGAACCGACCGAACAAAAATTACGAAAAAAAACCCTGTAAAATTTAAATGCCTATAAATAGCTCAAAAATTACTACAATGTTTCGACAATTTTACCACGTCTGGAAAAGGAAATTATAAGTTTTCTGTCCAAACTTTAAGTTTCTACAAATATTTTTAATTGAATCAAAATAAAACAAAAAATTTAAACATAAATATATTTCGAAAATTGTTCTGGTTTTCCCATTTATTATGAAGTTGGGAAAATTGGAGCGAAATTGGATTGGAAAAGTTGTTCACAGATATATAAAAAAATAAACCATTCAAATATAAATTTAAAATTATAAAAATAATACATTCCTCGCTCCGTTCAAAATTAAAAATGTGAATGTCCAATAAAATACCATAAATATTATCGATTCTATTAGATTTTATAATATGTAAAGGAAAATCGTGAGCAGTATATAAAATACATAAGAAACAATTGATAAATCAATTTAAAAAAAATTAATCAAAATTTTATTTTTCTAAATTATAACATTATTAAACAATTTGTATTATCTTTGAGTTACACATAAACTCGTGATATTATTTATGAAAGATTAGCTTTTATTTTTATTTAAAAAAAATACAATAAGTGCCTCGTTATTTTGAGACGATTTTATGTCGCAGCAATGTTTTACATTGGTAATTTTTTTTAAATATCTGTCACCATAATGCCGACTATGTAAGTACCAAGTTTTATGTATTATCATTAGTCAGCTTTTATGCAGAATACATTTTGTTAACAAAAAAGTACTATTATTGATATTATTTTTATGTTTAAATTGTCACGAAAATAAGCAAACTTATAAGTATATACGAGCGCGAACTAAATGGAAATTATGTCAATCTCTTCGACAAATAATATAACAAACACAAATTAAAAAACAAAATAAAACAAAACGTAGAAAAAAAAAATTATAAGAAAATAATAGTATATACAATTGAATCATTTATGCGTAATGGATTCGATAACATTTTACGAGTATATCTATATATATATTATAGTATAGCAACTATTAAATAATATGATAATAAAAGCTATTATTATAGACTGAATAAAAGAATAATTTAATTTACAGATGAAATTAAATATTTTATTTATGCATATTATCAATATATATATATTTCAGCCATATTATAATTGTATAAAGTTTATTAGATTTTGTGTACTTAGTGACGAATATTATGAATTCAAATTCAACTTAATTCTATAACCCAGATTATGGTGATTATTAAAAACATGCCAGAGTTAAAAATATGTTTCAATATTGGTGTCACATGAAATAATATAACTAATCATTGCATTTAAAATTGATGGTATCAAACTTGGGTGCCTAATATTTTGTTGATTTGTTTCTTATGGGTTAGATTAAAGTAAAGCATGAAAACTTTGCTTTAGTACTTTCTAAGTATTAGTTCTTATCCTGCAGATTTTGGTCGTAGTTATAAAAAAACTCGTAGAAAATCGATTTTGATACCGAAACTAATAAGATAAATATTATATTAAAAAAAATTGCTTTTTATATTATAAAAAAAAAAAAATGTTTTAAGTATTTTTATTAGTAAAACTTCTTATGTTAATATGTTTAAAATATACCTTCTAAAAATTTAAGGCAAATAATTCGTATTTTTTAATCTTAATATTATGGTTTTAGCCATAGTAATAATATGTTTCTATAGAGCAATACGTATTATTTAATAGATAATAAATGTTTATAAATACACATACATTTCTAAGTATCTAAAATAATAGCATATTCAATAAAATTATCTAAGAAATAGAAATAGGTATCAAATTACCACACAGACTGTATATATAACTGGAGTATTTGGATTTGAAGACTTTAAAGTGCTAACATTGTTTTACGGGTACTTCGTACTCACTTGGAAACGTTATATTACGCCTTATATCTACGATATAATATAATATGTCGTTGTGTTGTACAAGTATGTATGTAATATTTTTGGATATGATAAAATAATATTTTTCGTTCAATACACCAATATTGTGTTATATTAAACCTTGCAATCTAAACACATGCGCAATATAATATAAATATAACGAGTGACGACGTACACATATATCTATCTATCTGTATATATATATATTATATATATGTATTGTTATATATATATATATATATATATATAACAATGCACGTTTAGTAACTAATTTGAAAACAGTTTCGTATGTAATATTAATAGCAAGTTATAGTATTGCTACACAGTGCAGTATACGATGTTAAAGAATTATTAAACGAAATCCATTCTTGCTTTCCGCAATTATTGTGGTAGTGACCATCAAACAAGGTATAATAATATTGAATAATGTGTATGATATATTACAAGCAACAAATTATATATTACATTTTGCACTATTAAAATAGTGTTAAATTTATAAGCAATTAAAATGTAATAACTAATAGGTAGTGTTCGTTTTTTACCTATAAATGTATGTGTGCACCGTGTATATAATAACAGACAACAATAGCGATCAAAGATTTTCACAAATACAAAACACTCAATTTATTTTGGATAATTGTTTATAACTATTATTTATATTTACGTTATTTTTATATTTTATGTAGGGATGAGCGATTCGATACCTCGATTATATGTCAATTATTATCTCGAAGACATTATCAAATATCAAAATCAATTAAATGGTTGGTATGGATTTCGATATTTTATTATATTAAAATGATAAGTGATAACTTGATTATTGGTTATACATACAGAGTGTTCCACCATGATCTGACAATTGAAAAAACTTTTGGTCTATTCAATATTTTCAATACATATTTTTAACCAAATTAGAGGTTCATTAAAAAAAAAAAGAAAATTTTAAATAAAAAAATAATTATTTTCGTGAATTTAACCGTTCTCTCTAGGTATTTTTAGGATCTGCTCAATTATTAAAAAAATTACTTTCTTGGTCACCAATTAACTAGATTGTAAGTTTAACAAACAATATCTCGTTATTTTACAATTGGAGCAATATTTCTTATAGAAAATGGAACATTCTACGTTTTCTTCTAGTTTGTCCCAATTGTATTCATAAAACTACAGAGAAAAAAAAACTCGTTTTTAGTCATGAACTAGACTAAAAATGTAACAAAAAGGACTCTTGTCATTTTTCTATTGGAGCAATATTCTTGGTAGAAAACATTAAAAAAAAAATAAAACTAATGAAATCGTTAACGCCGCGGCAAACCGTAAATATTTGCCGTTTTAGAAAAGGGTAGAAAAGGGTCATAGATAAGCAATTTAATACTCTGATATTCTGATATTGGTGTTATGCATACCAAAATTTCTAGAAAAATATTATCTATTAGAATCTGTGTTCAAAAGGAGGGGGATCCTATTTAAAAATCAAAAGTATGCACTTATATAAGGTTTATGGAGTAGGGTTAAAAAATTCTAAATGGTTTTAAAATAAAGCTTAAACGATTCCATAATGATTAGAAAAAACAGAAATCAAATTCACTTGAAATTCTCTGAGATAATTCATGTTAATATAACTAACCTAATTAAATATATTTATATACCTAACTAATCATGTAAAAAAAAAATCACCCATATATATTGGAGCAATATTTCTGGTAGAAAGTTGTTTACACATACAAAAAATAAAAAATATATATATAAATATAAAAATACAAAAATAAACATTATAGTAACACCGATAAATCTCTTGCTACACTCAGAATCTAAAATAGTCATTTTGTAGAACAGATTTTTAGAAATAGTTTGGTGATGGTTTAAACTTTTGTTCTACAGAAGTAAGAGCACTTCAAATTACAAGAATTTATTTTTCAATTAATTTATATTATACCTACAAGAATATTGATTAGTACTGATATAATACTGATTAAATATATTATAATAGATTATAAACCACAATAATATTTATAATTGCGAAAATATCAAAAAATTGTAGAAAATAAAAGACCATATCTAAATAAAAGTTTCAATTACCAGTTTTAAAAACCTACTTTTCAAAATGGCTATTTTTATTTTTTTATTTTAAGTTCCCCACTTAAAAAACAATTAATATATTAACTGTAGAGCAGAGGCATAATATATTTTTAATAATAATAAATTAATTTTCACAAAATCTTCTATTTGTTAAAATTTTAGTGTTTAATTTCTTAAGAGTAAGTATTAACAATATTAATAGACATAATAGTTTCTTTAAAATATTATTTATTTGTATATTTGACATCTTTTAAAAGAGTGTAATATATTTTTCGGTAAATACATTTTGATTTATAGTAATGTTATTTTTTATGACTAGTATCTTTCGTAATAAAGTGAGAGGCATGTACCGAGTTTTTGAGATTAAGGCCACATAATAAGTCAAATGTAAAATATATAGGTAATAAAGGTGTTTATTTAAAACTATTGAAACTATTAACTAATTATGTACTTGATAATTTAATAATACAATTAATTAGTGCTTTTATAATATTTAGATTTAACTAGACACATTTCGGTGCGAACTTAACCATAAAATTAGTCATTAGTAATCAAAATTAATTTTTGCACTAGTTGTCAAATAATCAATACAATTTTACAACGATTATATAGGTGGTTTGTTAGGTTATTATTTAAAAAAAATATGATATCACTTAAATTTCCTACTAAACAATAGTTAAAAAGATACAGACATACTTTGCACGATGGGTGGATGGTGGGTCACTGTTGTAGGTGTGAAGTTAGGAAGGTAGAATGGAATTTCAATGTATATCTATATACATATATGTATCTATCTGTACGCAACAATTAACCATTACTAACTAAAAACAATTCTGAGTAGAGTTCGGTTAATAGTGTTGCTTTGTCAACAATATATATGTCATATTATGGTGAAATAATTATATATGCATTGTATATTTTCTTGTGTAATATTTGTTTAATATTTTATCTATTTTCCCATTTTTTCCCACATAATTTTATAGGAAAATCAAAAAATTGACTTTCTTAATGAACCACCCCAATCAGATTTTGCAGAAAAAGTACTACAGTTGAGCAAAATTGCTGGTAGAAAAGTTATTCACGGATAAAAAAAAATATCATCATCGTAAAACCAATATATTCTTCACTTCATTCAGAATCTAAAAAAAAAGTTAGCATTTAGGTATTTCATATGTTGAACTTACCAAGTACAGTATGATATTATGGACACCCAACATTGGAGATTTTTTGCCCAATTAATCTAAAACAAATAGTCATATCACATATTAAATTAAATAGGTTAAGTATATTCAAATTCACAGTTACACAAAATTGAAAAAAAATATTATAAATTCATTATATTATTATAGTAACCCATATAAGTAAGACGTATAGACAAATTGCGCGATTTACGAAATATATTCATGTTTAGCACATAATATATTATATTGACTTTTTGCAGGCCCATATATAATTAAATAAAATAAAATATATTATATAGAACTGTATCCAGTGTTTATTTCAAAGGGGTGACTTTCAGGGTATACCCCCACAGAAAAATGCATGACATTACTACGTAAACTAAATTTGATATAAGTAATGGGCCTATATAAGTTATCTTGTAAATAATAAAATAAAAAATAAAAGATAGCTGATACTGGGGATGGGAGCGGCCACTGTTGTAGGTAAGAAATTGGGAAAGTAGGATACATAAGGTTATTTCATTTATATCTGTAAGCAATGTTTATCGTTTATCGTTGCTAGACGAAAGACGATTCCGAGCACAGTTCGGTAATACATAATTTTTGCGATTTTCATTTAAATTTGATTTCACAACGCTTATTTTAAAAAAAATGGCGTCCGATGATTTTGGAAATATTACTACGTCTAGGTAAGTCCAATATAAGTATTATTACCAAGTTTCAAGTCTCTACGTGTATTTATAACCGTATTTTAACGAGTTATAAAATACGTCTTATTCGTTAACGTAGAATATAAATACTATACAGTCATCGTGATGTATTATTGTTGTATACGAGTAGCTTCCTTTAATTACTATATAATATAACCTTTTACATTATTTGTATTGTACTGGTAGGTAAATGTAAGTTAAAAAATTACATATTATTATTATTTCAATTGGAATTCAGTTTTGACCGTTATCCCGCATTCATATAAAAATATAATATAGCCCTATACTTAATACAATATGTGTGATACGATGGTGAGTGGTGTAACGAATTAACATCGATATACATTGTATACAACTTTAAAGAATATGGTGGTGGAAACAAAAAGACATAATAAAATAACGGCTTGCGTTCATATGTTGATATACCCACTCGATAGTATTTTCAACGTAGATATATAGTGTTCCACGAAAATTTTAATCATTGCGATGTTTTGAAAAGTATTAATAACTTTTTTGGATTTTTTATAATTTAAGAAACAATAGTAATTCTGAAATGTTTTATTACCGTAATTTTTGTTCACTCTTATTTTTTGGATGAACCGACTACCTACTTTTAATTTTTGAATAACAAACTATTTTTTTAAAAATGTAATTTTTTATACCTACTGCAGTATTTTTCAAAAAATTGTCTAATTTATACATTTTGTCCCATCTATATTAAATTAATTTTTTTTTTTCAAAATTAGAGTATAGTATTATGTACACAACCAATAAAACAATAATATATCAAACTATAATTAATATACTTGTACAATAACTCAAAACTAAACATTTGTAATTGCAAATAGGTATGTAATATTTTTTTTCAACTATAAACATAAAAGTTTTTCTTTCAGTATAGGTATTTGCAGAAACATAAAATAATATTGACCGTTATACTTTGTAAAGAAAAATTATATTTGGTATAAGTATATTGTACATTAGAAACCAGTGTTTGGGAAACATTGTGAACTATGGTGAATAATTGAAAGGGGGACCTACTGCAAATGCACACGCACCCTCAAATCACGATGGGGCGGAAAAAACCGTTACACGCATCTATATAGAACTGCGTATGCCATCATCGCGCGCAGCAATAGAGTTGGCTGCAAGTATATATATATTTTTTTCATTTACATTATACGAGAGGATAAAAATAAAATACATGGCCACTGGTAGGTATTAAATTAATAAAATAACACGCACAATTTAGTAACAATTTTAAAAAAGAAAAAACTTTGTGACAGGCGTGTGTTCAGTGATTTAAACGCTGGGTATAGGTATACGCTAAATTTAAAATTAATTAATTTGTATAGTTTAACATTTGGTAAACAATTTTCTATACCTCTTTAAAAATAAACAATGTTTCGATATTTAAGAATAGGTACCAGATTTCGAGTAATTGACGTATTGAATCGAATACATTAAAATTAATCATATATAAAAACAAAGATAATTTATCGTGAATATAATTAAAAATATTTTTGTATAGGTACCTATTAACCTATTCAACATGGATACATTACTATATATTATACTTAGTATATAATAATTATCGTACTTGTACCTACCCATAAATGAAATTTAAAAATTAAAGTTACTTTTTTTTTAACAGCACAACGATGTATTTATGTAAAGAAATAATATGTAAAATCAAATAAAATGTAGGTATACACTTAAAATATTTTAACTATACACGTTTGCTAAAATATTATGTTAATAAAAACACGAATGTATAGTTATAAATTATAATACAAGTGCTTATACGATATTAAAAATAATAATAAATTAAATACAATTACCAATAATAATGTTGTATAAATTCTCACTAATTATACAAGATGACTATAATAATAATAAACTAAATATATGATTAAATTTCAGTTTTCAAACCAAATACGATTAAACTTTTGACTTAAGAGGACGTTATACCCGGATCTTTTGTCTCAGCCCAATTACCGGTAACCTGCAAAAACAACAACGCTTATGCAGAATAAGTATAGCTTAATTTTGATTTTAGAGTAAAAGTGCGTATTATGAAATTTATAGAGAACAATATTTCGGAGGGAAAGTTATAAATGTTTTATGAATTATGAACTATTAAAAAGTTACAGTTATTTAAAAAACAAAAAAAAAAGACGGACATACTTCGTATGATTGATGGGACAATGCGTTGTAGGTGAGAAGTTAGGAAGGTAGTATACATAGAGGGGAATTTAATGTATATCTGTACGCAGCGATTAAAATCTTTGCTAACGAAAAACGATTCTGAGCGGAGTTCAGTTATACATGTTTTAAAGGCCGCAATATTTGCGATTTTCGTCAAAATTTCGTATTACAGTTCTTATAAAAAAAAAAATTTCATTAAATTAAAATTTTTCTTGTTGACCACCAAGTACATCTTAATGAACTTCTTGTTTGATATTCAAGCATTTCTGTTTGATCAAACAATTTTATCCACAAAGTACGTACCGAATAAATATATTACATAAAACACTCGTAAAATTAAAATGTCTATTAATCACTCGAAAATATGAATAATTGTTTCTAGATTACATAAAAAAACTAAAATTGAAAATATTAAAATCATTATTTTCATAAATTTTCTCGTTTTTCCTACGTTTTTTCCCATTTATTAGAAAAACTCCTGAGAAAATCAAATAATGACTTCCTTACTAAAGTACTACCCCGGAAAAATTTCCTTTGAGAAAAGGTACTGTACTTAATATTTCTGAGCAAGATTTCTGGTAGCATTTTTATATACAGTATATATAAAAAAAAAATAACATCATAGTAAAACTAATACATTCCTCGCTCCTCGCAGACTCTAAAAAGATTTTTGTATTTTTATACAGAGCTGTATATTTAGAATAATACAATAATTATATGTATTATATACAAAATATAGTTCTCTATAAATTTTATAATGGGTAGGTACTTTTACTCTAAAATAAAAATTAAGCTAGTTTTACTTATTCTACGTAAGCATTTTTTTTTGCATGTTACCCGGTAGTTGAACTGAGAAAGTAGATGCGGGTATAACGTACTGTTAACCAAAAATTAAAACTAACGTGTCACATGCATCAAAATTAAATTTTGTTTAGATTTGTTCAGTTAAATATAATTATAGTTATAATACAATGAAAGAAAATTGATTGTGAGTGTCGTATATAATGGATCAAAAGAAAAAAAACAAACGATAACCATAGAATACTTATGAATAAATACATATAGGCATTTGATACAATCATCCCCACCAAATTGTTATGTATGTATAAATATTAAAAAAATATATAAAAAAAAAATCATGCACGCTGTCAGCAAAAAAATATTATAAATTTATAACGTTCGTATTTTAAGATAATATTATAATATCAACACATAGCGTTGTCAATTCTACATTTTTGAAATAAAAAAGTCAATCTAAAAATCCAATTGTTAGAACCCTCCCACATATTTTACGATGCATGCGTTATAGCACCTACATAGCATCAGGGATATACGTTTTGGCTAAATGTCTAACGTTTATCGATAATATGCTTCAGTTGCAGTACGATGTATAATCGTATACAATACGAATATGCTAGTGAGTCTGAAATGAAAAAAAAAAACGTTAAGTAAGTACCTTTGTGATATAAAAACGCGTCCGGACATCTGTCGGATCTCGCCTGCAGTTTCGAGAGTCTAATATACGAATTCAATCTACCGAAGCATTGCGTATACCCGCAATAATAAAAATAATAGTAATACACTATATAATAGCACATGTGTGCGTGCATTTTGATCTCCATCTAGCGTAACCGTACTTGCAGGACACGGCAAACGGTTGGCGGTAGCAGTGGTAGCGCGTGGCTAACGGCAGAAGCAGCAGCCGGCGTCTCCTCCGCACGCGCCAAACTAAATAATAATAATAATGTTTACATGGTGGTTTTATTTAACGCATTATACACTATCGTTTTCTTGAAAAGTATAATATATATATTATAAATTTACTAGATGTATAGTATTTATAAAACTTGAAATACTTGTATTTAACGCATTAGATACATTTTTTCCGATACTACATTTCAATGATTTCATTAAGTTTTATGCTAATAATAGAACTTCTATTATTTTAAATTTAAAAATTATCGAATCTGGTTTAAAAATTAAAATATTGAAAAAAACCAATGTACATACACACACAATGTTCTTAGCTTAAAATTTGATAATAGGCCAATACACTATTATATTAAAAATAACAATACAAAATTGGTTAAAGTATAGAACATAACATTAACCAATTTTACTGCATTAGTATTGTAACATATAAATACAAGATTTTTTAAATTAAAAATAGCAGTATAAAAAAATATTGTGTTTTGCCAACAGTGAAGTAGGTACACCTATAGTATCTATAGCCTAAAAGGTACGTTAAATTACAAAATAAAAAACAAGTCAAAATGATGTGAAATTTAAAAAATAATTAATATCAAATATATATACTAACAAATCAATTTTTTTATGTTATAATACGGGTTTTCTATAATAATTAAAAATACAAATAATGATAGAAACGAGTGAATATCATCACATGAAACACCCTGTATACGATGGTGAGTCGTCGCGGTTGTCGTCATCGGTTAATGTTTTTTTTTTTTTTTTTTTGTTTTTCGTTTCTACGGTCCAGTGACTTTCCCGCGCAAATGGTCCGTCACGTCGGATCATCATTGTACACGCGTATGTATAGGAGAGTATCTAGTGTGGTATAAACCGTGTGTGATGATAATTTGCTATTCCAGTGCGTATATTTAGTATAACTATAGTTTACCATGGGGTTAACACCTTTGGGGTGGAAGTGGACACATTAAGACATGAAGTTACCTAAAGAGTTTTTTTGGACTTTTGTTATTTTACTTTTTAATTGAATGGGTCTGCGTATTATATAATACGTCCTAACGGTCAATATTTTTAATTTTAAAATCAGAGAGTTAAAAAATCAAAAAAATCTTACAAAATCCTCATAAAAAATTTAAGTTATACTGTTATTATATAAATAATGCTTTACTGTTAGATAAGTTAAAAAATGTATTTAAAATACATACACGTGTATTATACACTATTTTATTTATATTAATAAACACAATATTTTTAGTTAAATTTTTTCGGAAGATTTGGAAGAAAAATCATAGCTTACTGTATACGTGTTGAATCACGTCTTGGAATGTACGATTTTTGATTATACTGATAATATCTCAGACGTTGAGTCATCCATTATTAGTTTTCATTGCTATTCGTTAATATCACACACACAAAGTGATGACGTATCTCTATTATTGCGTTAGGTGCAAAAAAAACTATTGTATATGTTGCACATTTATGTTTCATTTATATTTATACTGATAATTGAAAAATAATAATTTTAATTTATTGGTAAAAAATTAAACTAATTTAAACAATTTTTCGAAAATAAAACTACTCATTGATTGTTATGTAAGTATTTTATAATATTATTACTAAGTCTAAATCATTACCGATAATTTAACTTCATTTTTATTCCAATTCGATTTATAGTTTTTACAAAATACAAAATACTTAAATTAATTTAATTTTCATACGAGTATAAACGTAATGATAAATAGAAATATAGTTATAGATATAATGTGCAAAAAATAATAAAATAGAAATTATATTTTTTACTATCTCAGTCCTCGTTTTTCTTGTTTTTTCCCGGTTTTTCCATTTGTTGAGAAAACTCTTGGAAATGTCAAAAAATGACTTCCCTAAAGTACCTTTTCAGTCCGATTTCCTTTTAGAAAAAGTACTACACTTGTAAATCGGAGCAAGATTTTCAGATAAAAAAGTTGCCCCAGAAAAAAAAAATAAAATAAAAAAAATATCATTGTAAAACCATAAGCTTCTTACGAAGAAAACGAGTATTCAGGTTAGTGATAATAAAATAACAAGTATCCAACATAGGTGACTAAGTTAAATCTGAAGATAATTGTGTGCGGTTTGTCAAGTGGATTGACTAATATTAGGGTAGATCCAAATAATGCAAATATTTTGAAAGCAAACCCATTAAAAAAACGGTACTTATTACTTATATATACAATGAATAAACAAGACATTTGACTTAAAGTATGTTAATAGGAAATTGATAAATGAAGAAACAAATGATCGTTCCTTGTTAGTTTATTCTCCAAAATTTAGAAGTGGTTTCTTGTGGTCCTCGTCAAATAATTTGTATTTTAGTTATTTAAGGTCGATATTTTTCAGCGGTTAACATGTAAATACGCCTTGGCTAATAAACATTATAATGATATGTTATAATATTAAATCATAATAAAATATAATTTAAAACAACAACACGCTACTATAAATGATAGATAGTTAAATATGATTTCAGATTTCACTTGAAGAGTTGAAATTAAGCAAATTTCATAATAATATATCGGACATTTAACCTTATTTTGATAATATTTTTAAAATATTTTGTCAAAGCTACTGAATATACACACGCATATAATTACACGTGTTTGACCAACTATATAATACGATCTCAAAAATAGAACCAAAGAATTATCTTAAAAACTTGAGTCAATAGAGTAGTAACTAGGTATTACAGTATAAGTATTATATATATATATATATATATTATATTATGCATATGTATGTGTACGAGTATGGAGGTACTATTATTATTCCAAACATACATTTTTATGCTATGAAGTTGATTTAGATACGGTAATTAAACCGTTTTACAATTTGTTTATTATTAATTTGCATAACTAATTATAATAAATCGTGTACATAAATTAAATAAGATAAACAAGTGCTCTATAACTACTTATAAACTATGTTGAAAGTTATACAGTAAACTTATCCGATAAACTGCTATGTTAATACTTCACCAATATTAATCAAATTATTCAATCGTCATTCTGAATGATATCAAATTATTATTTTTTAAAAAATTTAAAATTTTTTAATAAGTAAATTATTATTCATAATCATACTAACATTATAAATATAACAGTTTGTTTGGATGGATGGATGTTTGTTACCTCTTCACGCCAAAACTACTTATCGGATTGACCTAAAACTTTGCTTGTAGTTATAGGTACGAAAATCTAATTATTTTAATTGGGTCACTTCAGTGGCGTATCTTGAGCTCAATTAAGGGGATGAGGGCAGTTTAAAAATTGTAATACACCACAAAATATCAAAATATCGCGAGGAGTTCCCTCGTTAAAAAGAAGGAACAGATATAATTTATTTTATTTTAATTTCTTATCTTGCAATTAAAAAAATTGTTTATAAGTATAAACTATAAATATTATAAAAAAAAATGTATGTACCTATATAATGTTAAAGGCAAAGGCCGAAATCGGGCAAATTTCAGAAATGCCCGAACAAAACACGAAGTGTCCCCGACACTTGGGTAAAACGTCATATTTTGACTTTTGTCCGGACAAATCTAGTAGTGACCAACCTCATTTGGGCAAAACTGTAACGTCCATAAATTTCAATTTTTGTTAATATTACATATAAATAGCGATAAAAAAATATTATTGTTCCAATATAGTTAAATAAGTTTAAATAAAAATAAAATGAATATAATGATATTAGATACAATGCCGAATTTAAGTATTTTATTCTAATACTCTAATTTAATAATATTTCACATTATATTGACAAAAGTTATTCAAAATTTAAAAAAAATATATTAATTACATTAATAATATTATACTCTGCTGTTAATAGTAATATTACTATAGTTGCTCTCCTTATTAATAAATTGATCTTTTACGGAAATATCTAGTTTATGGCATTTAGTGATATAAATGCAAATATAAACCACAAAATATTATTTATTATTCCAAATTTGATAATTCCAATATGTGTAGCAACAATAAAATAAATATATTTATGTCGATATACCTAATAATATGTAATATTACCTATTTTGAAAAATTTAAATTTATGGACGTTAAAGTTTTGCCCAAATGAGGTTGGTCACTACTAGGTTTGTCCGGGCAAAAGCCAAAATATGATGTTTTATAAAGTTTTTCCAGGGCATTTCTAAGATTTGCACGATTTCGGCTTTTTATATAATACAATATATATACTAATATACGAATACATTTATACGATTTATATCAAACAATTGTACACAAAATTATTTACAACAATTTTAAAGCAATACTATGATCTTTTTTCCCCCTGCAAACCGATTTATGACTATTACTTCAACACACTTAACGATATCTCTATGTAGTATGTATTATAGACAAAAATTGCCTATATTATTATTACTACTGGTAACGCTGATAAAAGTACACAAGACATAATAAATATCACAGGTATAAATACTATATTATTTTATTACTAACAGAATATAACCGTGATTAAAAAATCACTCCTCGAATACGCCACCGGTTTATTTTGGTAATACAGATGAAATAAAAAAAAAATAATTTCTTTTGGTACGGCCAATTCCACACCGACGGGACAGCTAATATTTTACATATTTATAATATTTCAATTTACATTATAATTCCTATCTACGTATTAGTATCTATGAATTATGTACAGATTGTCTACTATATTATACAGTTGATATATAAAAAATATAATATAATAGAATAATCATATTTTAACCACTAACTTACTCAGCCGTTATATGAATATAATAAAACATAATGTGTAATCAATTATTATTTTGCCACACTCTATATTTCGAGGGTGTGATTGTACGCATGTCTATTAAGTACAAAGGGTAAAGCATGCGCTTTACTCATAAACATTATACTAAGGTCTATGGTTCCACTATATCGCTGAACGATGACATTTGGCATTTTACCCTGACAAGTGTCCCTCGGTATACTCGTTCCCCAGAGTAAAAGCGTTACCAATATGGCAATAATATACACTATGAGAAAATGAAGGATTTAACAGGGTCAAGTGGATTAATACTTTACTCTCCCCTATATAGTAAAAAGACAATACAACAGTAATGATATTGTGAGAAGCGCAGTACATAATATAATCTCTGCAGATGTTACTTATTTTATACACAAATATAAATTTATAATTTAATACCATAGTCTATATTATATAGATAATAGATATAATATATATTATAATATGAGGTTAAAAACCATAGGATAAAAAATTAATTCGTTTGATGATGCAGGATGTTGTAGGTTAATGTTTTATTTGTATAGATAAGGTCCTCCCGATTTTTTTTTAGATTTGATACAAATTAATATTATTAAATCAATAAGATGATTCTGACAGAATTTTAATTTACCTATAAATGGTCAAAATATTGTATAATAAATATTATTAATATTAAATAATATTTTTTATAATACAAAATCAGAAAGTCAGAAATAGATAGACTCAAAATAGCAATAATACGTAACAGGATGAAAAGTTGTTGATTGATAATGATAAGGTCTAAACAAAACCCATAGAATGCTTTACACGAAAACAAAGTTGTTACAGTAATTTATTAAAATATTTAGTGCAGAAAGGGAACATGTCCTAGATTTGTCCTTTTTCTGCACTAAACACTGATTTTAACTTTTGTATTTCCATAACGGTTTGATAGAATAGTCTTATTTTGTACAAAATATGTATTCAAGGTAGATAAATACAAATCCAGTAATAACTCAATTCCAGAGAGGCCCACTTGCGCCCATCACACATTTTTATAAAAAGCTTTCTATAAGCCTATTTGTGCGCGAAATCATAACCCATTTGTACCCAAAATATTTTTAATAAAAATGCGTTAAAACCGTGCAACGTTGTCGACCTGTATGCTGGAACATTATGATTGTTTTATTTTTATGAAAATAACTACAGTGAATAACAAAATGTATGAAGTAATTAAGTGTTAAGTTGTTCAATTAATAAATCCTGTATTATATGTAAGTTATTGTCATATTAATTGATTTTTTTAAACATGATATTTTGACATAATTATAACATTTAAACAATAGTATTAGGACAATTATAATTAAAGTATTAAAATCTACTAATCTACTTATGGTAATCTACGTATCTATTTTCTTTTTTAAGATTAATTTTTTTTTTAACTTTTCGTGTATATACCTCACATGTATTTTGTAACACAATATGATTTCAAAATTAATATTGTAATAAATAAAATAGTAGGGGGGAAGTGGAGTATATAATGATTGACTATCTAGATCATTATTACCTCCTGTGATAATAGAAAATAAATATAAAACACTAAGTTTATAATAATATCCTTAGAGGTGAGCATTGGCATAAATATTTGCTGATATTGACAATATCGGAAAATCGGTAATCAATTTTTTTCAAAACCGATATCAGACACGACATTTTTCTAAAAGTACTCAGTTTAATAAACACGTTTTTAACTTCATATAATATGTAGTATTGCATATAGTAAATTGTGTATTGGGATAATAATATAATAAAATATAATATAACTTGCTAATACTAGAATTGTGATATATACAACATTGTATAATATATCATTAAAATGTATAAATTATATGCTACAATCAAAATTAAATAATCATGAGCATTAAATAATACGACAACGTTGTATGCGAAATCGGCAGGTAATACTTTATCTTTCGGACGCACCTGTCCACATCCCTTGAGGAGCAAACGGACTATTTGGGGACGGAAACGGGCTGTAGCCCTCAATTTCGTTAGAAATTGAATACGTCCCCTCTAGCAATTAGCGATTTCATAAATTATACATATAATAATATAATACAATATATTTATATATTGATATATATATATATATATATATTAATATATATATATTTATATATATTAATATATATATTTTACTAATATAACGAATTTATGTAAACTGCACTACAGCATTACAAAAAAAAAAATAAAAATAAAATATGACGTTTATAATACTAAAATTTGTTTTAAACAATATTAAATTTTTAAATTTGATGCCACGAGATGTTTAAAATATTGTAGATTTAAATTGTTTTTAGATTGAAAAAAGTATACCTAACCTACCTGAATATTCAAATAATTATAATTAGGTATATAATTTACATTTAGTGGACGTTCGTGATACAAACAATGGATTTAAGCCTTGTGCTTTGTTGATTACAACTATTTTCTTTGTGATACCATTTTAGAGGTTGCGTAGTTGTTAATGTAGTCATATACCAGTAATCGAGAATAAAAATAGAATTTTGTTAAAAGATGATTAGGCACGAACACCATAACAATAAACTAGAACTTAAAAAAACTATTTTAATGATATTATTTTCATGCTAACAAATGTGCAGTTATTATACATTAAAATATATAAATACAATATTACTATTATTTAACTGTAATTTTTTTAATACTCATATTTATAATTAATTAAATAAAGTTAGAAAACATACATATAATATAATTGATTTATAGGACAATTTCATCAATTTGTCGATATCTGTAAATAATTATAATCGATACTATGTTATTATGTTATCGATAACACGCATTAGCCTATCTAGTAGAACAATAACAGTTTATACTTTATAATCTATGAAGGTGTATAATAGACATCATTCGAAAAGCGGAAATACATCTATAATATGCAAAAGTAATCAACGTGGCTATTTGCAAGACTGAGTAGTATACATAAAAAAAAAATTGTTATGAAATTAAATTGTTGCCACATATTATATTTTAAGTAAGTGTATATACCTACAGAATATCATCTTCCTGTTTATAAAATTTAATAAACTCATAATTTACCTGGATCAAAATTTACCTATGTCCTATATTTGTATATTATTACACTAAAATATAATAATATAACATAATATCTATTTTGTATACATAATTAAATAATTATAAAATAAGTAAATACTTAAAAAGAGCTGATACTGGAAATGGGAGTAGCCACTGTTATAGGTGAGAAGTTGGGAAAGTAGGATACATAGGTTATTTTATTTCTATCTGTAAGCAACGATAAACCATTGCTTGACGAAAGACGATTCCGAGTGCAGTTCGGTAACACATAATTTTTTGCCATTTTTGTTTAAATTTAATTTCAAAACGCTTATTAAAAAAAAAAAAGTCGTCCGATGATTTTAGAAATTTTACCACGTCTATGTAAGTCCAATATAAGTATTATTACCAAGTTTCAAGTCTCTACGTGTATTTATAACCGAATTACACCAAAAAACTCCTAAAAATTAAAATTCCTTAAAAGCTCAAAAGTTTTGACGATGATACCGTAAGAAAAAAAATCAAAAAGGCAACAAAAAAGGTGTCTTATAATTTTTCGATCAAATCATTTTTTCTGGTATAAAACGTCATCCGTGTTTTTATAAAATAAAGACATCGTGAAATTGGATGTTTTCCTATGTTTTTTCCCACTTAAGTACTCTTATTTAAAAAAAGGCGTCAAAAATCAAAAAGTTAGAAAATCAACCTTTTTAAAGTTCAATCTAAACAATTTGAGCTTTTGGAAAAGTTGCTACACGTAAAAATCGGAACAAGTTTACTAGGTAAAAACTTTTCCACAGACTAGAACAAAGAAAAAAGATAAAAAATTTAAAAAAAAGAAATAAACATCTTAGTAAAACCAATAGCTCTCTCACTATGCTTATTTTTCAAGAATTAAAAAAAAAAGTTTACTTCACAACACGGTCATTTGCTGGAATAAGTATGTTTTGCATTCAGTTTGTTTCGGTTAAATATGTTTTGATATATCGCTACTTTTTAGTATTTTTATAAAAAAAAAAGTAAATTTAAACACGAATAAAAAAAGACGGGACGCGAAGTTGCTGTAAATAATAATCAATTTTATGTTTTTGGTTTTTTCCAATTATTATAAAAACTAATTTAGATACCAAGAAATAACTTTCATTTTCATTGGCTGTATGTATTAAAAGGAACAAAAGTGATCTTTTATCACTTATCAATTGAACTAATATTTCTGATAGAAAACATATTTTATAAAATTAAAAACAATGAATCGGTAACCTCATGGCATGCCATAAATATTTGCCATTTTACCTATAATTTTCTTTTCTGTTTTTCTCAATTTTGAAAACCCCTTAGAAAATTAAAAAATAACCTCTTTAATGTACCAGCTAGACAAAATTTCCTATCAGAAAAGATACTATACTCTATACATCGGAGCAAGATTTCCTTTCGAAAAGTTATTTACAGTAAAAAAAAAAATACACATCATAATGAAACCAAAATATCTCTCGCTACGCTCTAAATCTAAAAAATATTATATTGCGTTTAATTTTTTTTTTTTACCACTAAAAATCTACAATTTATGATGAACCTAGAATTTAATTTTTGATAATTTTTGTTGTGCAAAAACAATTTTATCCATATAGAACCAAATATACATAAATTACAACAACTCGAAAATATTTAATTGTTTTAAATAGCCCAAAAATCACCAAAATAAGATAAAAATTGTATCAAGTCTAGCAGTGTTAAAAATATTATTTAAAAATATTTGCTGAACATTTTAGGTTTCAACGACTATTTCTAACCGAATTATAAAAAATCAAAAATAACAGAAATGGCATTAACCGTTAATGTATTTTTTCTAAAATATTGTGAAAACTACAAGGAAAACACTCACCCAAATATCCAATGCACCAACTAGATAAAATTTACTATAATTAACCATGCCACGAGGAAACAGGAATTTGAAGCAATACGAATTCTAATGAAAATAATTATAGGAGGAAAGAGGTGGAAAAGAAGATTGAAAAATTAAGGGTCGGATGCGACTATGAATATGAGGACATCTGATGTTTTCGAGGTGGGATATCGGATTAGGTGGAAGTTTATAACGAAGGTGGTCGACTCCAAATAGTGAGATGAAGAATGAACTGAAAACTAAATTAAATTAGTTGCTTGATACTTATTTAGCACTCATTTTTAACAAAACACATTTAGTTATAATGCGTTGTATTATTTTTAAATTTATACTCCTATACTAATATTTTAGGTTACTTAAATGTATAAAGTGTATAATTATGTTATATTTTCTGGTATTACTACAACAGTATTATGAAGTCTATATTAATAGTATGTATTATAAGTTATGAAACGATATATACTTATAAGTTATAACTAAATATTTTCCCTACAGGTGTGACTGGTAAACATCTTCCATTTACAGACGTGATTCATATATGAGGTATTAAGTATATGATTGTACGCAATTCTAAGTGTTACCATTTTACCGACGAACAAGATACGATTACGTTATATGCACACAATACGACATAACTCAGTGATGGTGATTATAGGAACAATGATAATTGTCAGACATGCTTTGTAAAATTGTGAATAATTTTTGATTAGCATTTTTTATCAAATGTAACTATTCCTAATATAATGCATTAATGTATTCAGCTTAAATGTTCCTCATTTATCAAGGACAAACATATAATTTATTGAGATGCAAGTATTAAATTGTAAAATATATTGCACATTAATTCAGTACCAGATTGGAGAGCTTCTTTAACAGACATATGGTGATAATAATTTAGATTGTAAGGGACGAATGTATGAGTTTTACAATGATGTGTGTTTTTTTCAGTTTATAAATTTTCCAGAAATCTTGCTTCAATCATCATCATCAACATCAAATTTCCGGTAGAAATTTCTAGTTCGCTTAGGCTAGGTCTGGGAAGATTATTTTTTTATTTTCCATTATTACTCAATGAAAAGTAATCAAAACGTTCTGACATTTTAAAGTCTCGTCTTTAGGATTTTAAAACTTATTACCTAATCAGAAATATTTAGTACAATACAAATTTAATTTATAAAATGACTAGGTAGGCTAGTAAGTATCTACAATAACGCTATTATCAATTATATAGCTATATATTATAATTACTACTAAATAGTAAATATACCTATATAAGCATATCTAGTTTTAATATTTTAGAACATAAACCCGCGGGTATAACCAATTTCACAAAATTTGTTTTAATTTTAAATTTATTATCAACCAAGTGTTACAAGTTTATAATTTATACAATATATTATAATGTATAAAACAATTCTAGATTAATATTATGTATTTTAAATTGTTGACATTAACTTGTAGTATAATATATTATAACCTTATATATATCATACTGCATGGTTTACATGAATCGCCTTCCAAATCCAAGCAGTTCGGGAAAAATTCTAGTACGTATTTCGAGCATACGTATTCGAAAAATAGTATAATATTGTCTCCTGTAGGTTGTAGTCCTATATCATACCTATTATAACTATCTGGATTTAGCAAAATAAATTGATGTCGATAGTAGATCAGAAATTATAGTGTGGAATTAGGTATGGTGCCATGTTTAATACCAGTACAGTATATACAAATAGTATAATATTATAATGTGTGCGAATCAATTCAAATGATTCGTACCTATATTTTGTCTCAATAAATCCAAATACCTATTATAGGTGTATTATCGGTGTATAATACACCGACATTTTATTAAAATCTTCAATCTCCTAGATATCGTGGAAATAAAAATATAAAAAGAATATAAGTTCATATATATCTGCATCTATACTTGTGCAACCATAAATCATTGCTAACGAATAACTATTCTGAGCGAAATTTGATTATACCTACATGTTTTGAAATGACGTGATGACGTGTTTGACGAACTGAAACGATAATAAAAAACTACTAATTTATGCTCAATTTTTTTGACCACTAAATACAATTTATGATAAACCTCATAATAAATGTTCAAGAATTTTCAATGGTCAAAAAAGTCTATCCACATAAAACCAAATAAAAACTAAACAATTATAAAATAAAAATCAAAAGAATACTTGTAATTTGAAAATTTTAGGACGTCTAAAAAGGCCTATATAACTAAGTATCTATTCGGTGAACATTTCAAGAAAATATAAATTTAATATTTAATCTATCGAAAATATTTTGTTTTACTTATATTTAATTTGTACAAAATAAATTAGTATTTTAATTTTTGTTCATATAATAGGCATTTAAGGCTATAGTTGGATGGGTCCAGGGATCTGGGAATTTTGGTATTTTGGCATTTTTTTAAATAAAATATTTTTTAGCAAAATGCTGGGTCATTAAATACATTTAAAAGAAAATATTAAAATTGAAAAGGTGGTTTCCGAATTTTGTTTTAACTATAGCATGTAAGCATCGAGGAAATTTTGCCTGCTTTAAAAAATATTCTGAACTTAATTTTTCTGTAAAGACGCGTCTAGCTAAACCTGTAATAAACGTGTATGCAATATTGAGCAAATTTCTGCAAGTAGGTATTTATACGTACCTATAGGTACTTAATATTAATTTCGTTAAATCTAACTATACATTTATTATTTTAGAGAATATATTGATATTATTTTTAATAGGCACCTACTCATTGATATTATTTATTTATCTTTCAGAAATCAAATTAATAGGTATGTATAATTACTATAATTATAGTATGTAAAATATTTATTAATTTATTGTAAATTTATACAAATTCGTAAAGAAAAATAAAGAAAATAACATATAGAAACAAATTTTTAAAGCTGACGATTAGTATCGTTATTTTTTCATTGTTTATTAAATAGTTATAATAATAGGTACCTAATACGAAATTCTGTATTGCTTATAGGTACCTGCTGATAATCCAAGAGCAGTGTAAAGAATCCGTCGATTGACTTCTCGCTGTTGTATTACTATAAATGAGAAAAACACAAAATTATCACTATATGATGTTTCTAGTATATAGAAACAAACAATGATTTTAATATACTGTAAACAATTCGAGATCAAATGCACAAATATTGAAAACTTCACGGTCGACACTCATTTATAGAAAAATGCAAGAACAGTAATGCGCGACAGTACGAACCGATCGAACGCGGAAATTCAACTAAAGGCGGCAAAACGTAAACATATTTTGGTGTCTGCGGTCCGCCGGTAACCGCGTGAAAACTAAAAAACTTGATAGCGCCGGCAGAGGCCGCCTCGGTATAGGGTTTGTCATAGGGAATGGGGCCTGCATGTTGGGCAACACTGGCAGTGCACAGCAGTTTGCGTTTACCACACTGTTCTACGTCTTCGTTGTCTTCGTCGTCGGCATGTTTATCTTGATTTTTGATTAACGACGATAAGTTAAGAGTGCGATAAGACAGACTCGATAAAATTATAATAATAATATAAATATAATTTAATTAATTAACTATGCATACAATTATTATAAACATTACCTCGGGCCTTTACCGTTTTTCCGTTTTCCATGCAACCTGAGTCGGTTATTGAAGTGCGACGACCCCATATTACATTCAGTGCGGTCGGTTTTTGTGTGATGTAAATTTTACAGACGTATGTATTCGGCTTGCCGAAAAATGCGCTAAAATTGATTTTTTAGTGATGACTTGATTGCACCACTGTACGGTCGTCTTGTAATATGGTAATATTAATTGTGTTCAATGATTCATCATATTATTTAATTACACTGTTCGAGTATTTAAAACAATACAGTTACCATCTGTTTATAAATTTATTTGCTGTTTACAATTACAAATACTTACTTAATTAAAATTCATTGATGGAAAATTAGTTTTTTATTATGTATATTCAAAGTGATCGTTTCAGATCTTATTTGATTTTCACTAAGTTGATGGCAACCGTACACGTTTATTTAACGATATGGATCCTTCCATTCTCTGTGCAGTTAATATCTATAATTTAACATTTCTTTTAAATTTGTTGTACTTCATACATTTCTTAGATTTTAAGTGACTGCTGGTTTCAATGTAGGGCAGAGGACTGTTTAAAGCTATTGTTTCATTGTCAATGAAATTGTTTGGTGCTAGGTTTATGGTAGATTTTTGACTGATAGAAAAAATTAGAAAGTTATCCCATTTAAATATAAATATGTATGTATACAAATGTAAATTATATTTTTGACAATGTGTAAAAATGAACACATAAAGTTATATGATAATTGATTAAAAAAATAAAAAATGTTGTATGGTTGCTGAATGACCATAATAATCATAAGTTTATTTTACTACACTTATAGAATTCAAAGTATGATAATAAAAACTTTGTTTTAATATAGTACAATTAATACATAATAATTTAATTATGATTTGACTATATTAACGTTTTACATAAATAAATTTATGGTTTTGGTTGAAATATGACTTTTGGGTAACAGGAAAAAAATTACAAGTATTGGAAACCATCTTATGTAATATTAGTCTGGTTATTTACCCAAACAATGAATACGTGATCTAATTTTCCATTTTCTGATAGCTTTAATATCAGCCTAAGTACCTATTTGTTATAGTAGAATAGCTATCATAGAAAAATTGTTAAATTGTAAAAGTAAAAATTCTAATTTATTAACTATATTTCATGTGATTTTACAAATGGAAAACCTTTTTGACTCTGGCATTTTTCAATATTTTGATATTTTTTCTTGTACACAAGTTGTGGGGTGTTGAAAATAGATGAAAATTGAAAAATTGAATCTTGTATATATTGTCTGAATAGGGTATCAGAACGAATGTTATATAACACATAATTAAATATTTTGTTCTTCTTTTTTCCTGTTACCCAAAAGCCAAAGTATTACTTTTCAAAAAAAAATTTTTATATTCGGAGCAGTATATATAGTGCACTGGTTTTTTTTATCAATTTTAAATATGATTATGTTTCAGGGCGGTAATGTATCACAACTTGAAAAAGATATTGGATCGGATCAGTTTCCTCCTAATGAACATTATTTTGGTTTAGTAAATGTAAGATTATGATTTATAATGATTTTAATTCATGAATTTTTCACTAATGATAAAATTTAAGAAAACTTAATATTGTTGTTTTAAATATTAACAAAAATATTTAGATTGAACTTTTTTCAAAACTTAATTTATGTTATATTTAAATATGAAACATTTTATACTTAAGTTTAATATTTTTTACCCTATATTAGTTTAATTTCTCAACATGATTTTTACATTAGTTAGTTTAACATTATTATTTTACAAATGAATAAAACGATAACCTACAATAATTTACTGTACTAATTGTTTGATTATCTATACATTTGTGGTTTTTCAGTTTGGAAATACATGTTACAGTAATTCAGTTCTTCAAGCTCTTTATTTTTGTAAACCTTTCCGAGACAAAGTATTGGAATATAAGGCTCGTAATAAAAGAAGTAAAGAGACATTACTAACGTGTTTAGCTGATCTATTTCATAGTATTGCTACTCAGAAAAAAAAAGTTGGGTCTATAGCGCCAAAGAAATTCATTAATAGACTGAGAAAAGAGAAAGGTAATTTTTAAAATTTGTTGTAATTCAATTAGTGGAATTTTGAATGATTTGTTTAAATTATTTCTACCGATTTGACTTAATAACCAATTTAAATAAATTTAAATTTAGGAAATGTGTAATATAATATTATTATAAGTTGATTTTAAACTTTTTTTTATTCAATTTTATTAACACGTTCACCGCCGCTGCCGATCACGGATCGGCGTTAGTAGTGGAGCGCTGACGGCCGCCGCCGATCCGTAATCGTCAGAAATAGGTATATTTAGATATGCTTATAAATAACTCGGCGTTATCGACACTGCTTTATTATTTTTCATGGCCATTCAGTACGTATTAGTTAACATTGTGTCGTAGTTGTAGCCTTAATTCATATAGGCAGTGGCCGCCGCCGATCACGGATAGTCACGTATATAATGATTATCAGAATTTATGTGGCGTGTGGCAATAGATTAGAAATATGCGGGCGGAGGTGAACGTGTTAACTAAATAGATTTATATTTTTTTTGAATTTGGAATCAATTAAGGAAGATAATTTATTATTAAATATCTTATAATTTTGTTTAATATTCATAAAGAATATAATAAAATCCACGAGTTTATTAAAACCATTGGCAATAATAATCAAAAATTTAATAATTTTGAAAATATTTTGTTTATATAATGAAGTAATTTACACCACTACTCAGAGATTTAAGTTATTTTCCTAATTATTGTGATTTGCCATAATATATAGCTACACTACTTTTGGTTTTGGTATTAAAACATGTGATAGGTCATAGGTAGGAAAAAAATATTCTAGATTGCATTTTTGAAATGTTTTAGGTCTAATCAGTATTAAATTTAATGAGAAATACCTATTATTTCTTTTTAATTAAAAAAAAAATCCAACATACCTAAATAAAAATATTTTTGTTTTTATGTAGATTTAAAAGTGTATTTTCTATTGATAACTATAATTTTTATTTTATATTTAAGTTAAATATTTGTTTGTTTTATAGAAGAATTCAATAACTACATGCAACAAGATGCTCATGAATTTTTAAATTTCCTTATAAATCATATTAATGAAATTATTCTTTGTAAGTAACATCAATTATTTAAACGATTGAATAAATATTTAGAAATTAAATAACGATTGTATATTAGCTGAACGTAACCAGGCTAACTGTAATGGAAAATCTAAATCACTTGCACCCAATATTATTGATGGAGAGTCAACTACTAGCAGCATTACTAGTTCAAGTAGTCATAACCAAGATCCAACTTGGGTACATGAAATATTTCAAGGAATATTAACGAGTGAAACTAGATGTCTGAACTGTGAAGAAGTACCTACTTAATATAAGAATATTAAGTAAAATTATGCATATTTTAATGTTTTATTTGTAGGTTAGCAGTAAAGATGAAGATTTTTTTGACCTTCAAGTAGATATAGATCAAAATACTAGTATTACACATTGTTTACGTTGTTTTAGTAATACAGAAATGCTTTGTAGTGATAATAAATTTAAATGTGACAATTGCTGTAGCTATCAAGAAGCGCAGGTAATGAATTTGTTTTTAATCTCAAACAATAAATAAATTCAAATGTCCATTAATGAATATTTAACTATTGATTTTTTTTCAGAAATGTATGAGAGTTAAAAAATTGCCTATGATATTGGCATTGCATTTGAAAAGATTTAAATACATGGAGCAATTTAACAGGCACATTAAAGTATCTCATAGAGTTGTTTTCCCTTTAGAACTCAGGTTATTTAATACGGTAATTATTTTATTAATAAATTGTTGACATAAAGTAATATTTAAAAATAAATATTAGTCAGATGATGCAGTCAATCCTGATAGAATGTACAATCTTGTAGCTGTTGTTATACATTGTGGCAGTGGACCAAATAGAGGTCATTATATCAGCATAGTTAAAAGCCATGATTTTTGGTTATTGTTTGATGATGATATGGTTGATGTAAGATATTTAATCTAATAATGTGTTCTTCTATTAATTTGATTAATATTTTTTTTATTTTTAATAGAAAATTGATCAATCTGCAATAGAAGATTTTTATGGTCTCACATCAGATTTACAAAAATCATCAGAAACTGGTTATATACTTTTTTATCAATCTAGAGATGCCACTGATGTTTCAAAATCTGGTATGACAGATTCAAAATCAAGTCATTGTAAATGATTGCACAAATTCTATATTTTTTAGGTATTTATTTATTATTTTACAGCACAAAATGACTATAATATGTCACATGTGTTTCAAAAAAGTGATATTAACCTATATACTATACACATAACTAGTTAGTATAATATTATTAATTGTTATAATTTGTGATAAAACTTATTCATTTTAGACACTTTGTTAGTCAGTTAAACAAATATTTATGGTGATTTATTAATTAATGATACTTTGTTTTTATAACTAATCAAAAAAAAAAAAAAATTTTTTGAGCACATAATTTTAAAAGTTGCTAAAAGTACTACAGCATATTATATATTGTAATGATTATAGTTTAAATATTAACATTTATAGGTCCAAAAATTATATTCTTTATAAATAATAATAGTATGAGATGTGCTTATTATAATCTCAAAGTCAATGTATGAACATTGATTTTTTCTCTCTCTAGGTAACTGGTCAATTTTTAGTAAATTTTAATAGTATATTGATTATATGCTTTTATATATTTAACAGGATTTGTTTAATGATATTTTTTAATTCAAAATGAATTATTATCTTTTCCATGTATCATTGAATGGAATTAAATTTCATACTATAGTTTTGAGTATAATTTTTCATTTGTGCATTAGACAATTTAATATTTGTATTTTATATTTACTTTCATAAAATTTAAAACAAAATTTTTTTTTCATTCTATTCAGTATTAATTGTTAGTATTAAGCAGTATATCTTATTTTCTAGCTATGTATGAACTTTTTTAGAATTGCCCAAGCTACTAAATTTTCTTTTTATGTTTAGTGCTATGTTTTTTTCTTTTTTTGTCAATATTGATATGATTTTTAACTGAATATTTTCTTAGCTGTGGAGAATTTTTAGAGAAGTATAACAGATTTTCTTGTTGATTAATTTTAAGTAAATTATACATTTTATCTATATATTCTTTTTTGTTAAGTATATGTATAATTTTCTATGAAAATGCATGCATATTAATTGTATTAATAAGTTATTGGAGAATAATTTATCAAACAATATAGGTATGTAAGAAATATACTGATTAAAATTCATTCATACAATTTTTAAGTATATATATATACAGAATGTCCCATAGAGATCTAACAAATACAATAACTTTTGTGCTGTTCAATATTTTTATCAAAATATTATTAGAACCTTATTTAATTTTTAATACTTAAAGTAAAGGAAGCCATTTTATACATTTATTTTGAAATAAAATTTTGTTGTTACCATATTTTGTAGAAAATGTATTTATTTTCTACAGTTTTTCTAAGTTTACAAAAAATTATATCTTTATTTTTAATTACTAAATAATAATTAAAATATAATTAATGAATAATAACTATATTATAAAAAATGTTATTGTATACTTATCAGTATTTTTTCTTGTAAAACTTGATAATTTAATTGATATATTTGAAATGAAAAACATTTTAATTTTTGTAAACTTCAATAAATCATAGAATATTAACAAAACTCATCATTAGTAAACATTTGTGACCCCCAAATTTTGTTTCTAAATAAATATATAAAATGGCTATTTTGGATTTTTTAAAACAATTTTTTATTTTTAGTTTAGACAAATATTAATCCGAACAAATGGTTGCATTTTTCTGTCCCTGTGGAACATAGTATACCAGTTATCCTGTATAGCTTTACTCGTGCATAGTATTGAACAAAAATAAATAAATACAGTTCTCCCCAAGTCTTATTAATAACTATTTTGATTTTATCTGTGTTATTAAGATAACCCATAAATCAATACAAATATTTGTTTTTTGTTCCAAAAATACCCAAAACTCTATCAACCACTGTTTAGGATTTGAGTTTAAAAAAATTTGAAGGGCACATGACTCATTCATCTGCTTCTGTATCCAAATTTTCAAACCTCAGTGTGCAGTAAATTTGGTTGTGAATCACTCACAGATACTTCTTTCTGTTAATATATATAATTATTATTTTTAAGTTAGGCATTTTAGTATTGTATTTAATATGATTTGTTGAGTTTAAAGATGATTTAATATTTAATTAAATTATACAAGGTTATGAGCAAATAAATGGAAATAAAAAAATACATTCTGTAGTACCAATAGCTTGTATTATTTAGTTTTTATGCTAATGTTGATAGTGATCATTGCCTGAAACCTATTTGTCTTACATAAATAATTTACGTTATAACAACTATGGAAGCATGTATCTTTAAATTAACAGATTACAAATTGGATATTATTGTTTAAAAATAATATTAGTTCATAAGTATATTTTTTCTAATATCTACTGATTATTAACCAGTGTTTTTTATATAGTTATGACTTGCTGTCTCGAGTCATTCATATGTTAGCTTTAGTATATAGGTAATTCAAATAACCATTTAAGTTTTAAAAAAAGTTATACAAATGCTATTTATGTTTAGTTGTATTAGTTATATAGTATAGATATTAAATCAGTTTGATGTTCATAGTTTGAAAAATGTGATATGATTTTAAAATTGAATTAATTAAAATCAGTTTGATTGCCGTGTCCAAATTAACTTAAGTATTGAAAATATTCAAAATCCATTTAGTAGTTTTGTTAAAACATTTTATTTTATATCTAAGTAATATTTCAGTACCCTACATTTATATGTTTAATGCTATTTGTAATATTTCACTAAAAGTTACCATTATTTATTTACTTAAAAACTTTTTTTTACTGAATGTTTAAATTATTCCTGAACCCTTGTATGTCTAATAGTATAAAGAATAACTATTTAGTAGTATGTGTAAAACAAGCAATATATTGTTATTGATGTTATACTAAATTGGAAAATTATTAGTATAGTGTTTAGTAATTGATACCGATGTCTATACATGTATTATTTTGTTAGAATGTTAAATTTGTTTAATTGTTACTATATTTATTATTTTTTATTAACAAAACATCTATGGTTAAATTATTTTATACAATAATAAAATATTTATAAGTGCATTTTTTTTAGAGTTGAAAATCATGGTAATTTAACCATAAAACACTATTCACTATTAGTATTTAGCTCATCATTAGTTACCCAGCAGAACCTTGTAACACGATTTTAACAAATTTTACAAAACATTGACAAAAAAACTGTTATTAAGTATACCTTTCACCTAGTTAAGTTACAAAACTTAAAAATAACTACCAATACAGCAACACATCAAATTGATCAAAAACACTATAAGAAAGTTTCTGTACAATTTTTGGTAGAAAATTTGACGTGATTTAGTTTTATTGTATACAAACTAGATAATGGCCATTAATAAAATTTGTCCTTCACATTTTGCAAAATATTAGATTATCCTAAAATTACTATATTTACCATACCTACTTAAATATATTTTAATTTTTATACGATATCATTGAATTAAATGTATTTTAATTGATTACTATGGTTCGTTTGGATAAGTATTGTATTCAAAATTGCATAGGGACATCTAGATCTAGGTTAGTGTTCCTATTATTTCTCATAAAAAATGGGAAAAATCTCTGAATAAGAGGCCAAGAGTATGTGGGGTCATTTTTTAAAAGAAGACATTGTAGATACTTGGGTTTTGGGTGAAGGGAAAAATAAATATTCAGTAATGATATTTATTTACAAAGTTAATGTATAGTGAAGTATTTGTGTACTATTGACTTGGTAGGTATTAAAATACTTTTGTATTTTAAATATATTTAAGAAAGCCTCTTTTAAAACCTGGAGCAATATATATGATTAATCGTCATATAAATTATATAAATGACAAGATGGATTTTAGTTCTGCAGATGATTTAGAGGAACCTACAAATACACCAGCTGTAATTAATTCATTGACTTAGGACGTTTTCCATGTCAGTATTATTAAAAATATATAAAAGAGACTGCTGTATTTTAGTATTTACTAATATAAATGAAAATAAACATATTTAAAATAATAGTTCTGTACATGAGAATGAAATAATAGTGTTCAAAATATTTCCTCTGTATTTTGACAGAATAAGTTACCTAACTAAGAATAGATATGTACAATTTTGTAGAAGTATTATTTTATACTTAATAGAATCCAATATTTTACATTTTAACATCAGATAAACATCCTGTTATTCAACTTCCCCCAATGTGATTTCAAGATATCACAACAAATGCTTCCAATAATAAAAAATATAAATACAATTTAAAAAAAAATTCAAAATTAACTCAAAATTGATTTATAATTAAAGATTTGTTCAAATATGTATGCATTTATTTAACTTACAATTTAAACCAACTAAATCTGTAAACATAATAAGTTTTTAAATTGTATAGTCTATACATTCAACAGGCTTTACTGTATTTTAATAAATTATAGTTATAATTAATTATAATTATTATAATAACCCAGAAGAGTAGAAGACAGAAAAGAATATCACAGAAGATAAAAAAATATAATTAAAGGCAGTCGGTAGGTATCACTTTCATAGTTCAAATTTATATCAATTAGACTCAAGAAAATCAGTGATAAAATATTTTTGAACCGCATCTTATTTTTCTTAAATCGTGCTGCAACCGATCTCTCCTAAAGTATCATAGTACCATATATTAGTATTTCGTATTTTTCCATAACCGATAAATACCTAATTCCAATACGGATATACATTAATAAGTTATAGTGTTATACCAATTAAAGGTACTTTTATCTATATTGCTCTTCACTTTTCCTTGTTACCTAACCGCCGTGGTTTTGCACAACAAATTATGGGTTATTATCAATTAAAATTGTACGAGTGAGCGCAGCGAGCAACTGATCACCTTGGATCTTCAGTTCCATCTATAATGCTTTTTCAATTATCATATAAAACATTTTTTTCTGAGTTGGTGTAACTACATTTTTTTCTTAACGTTGGTGTTCGTGTAGACCGATATGGCAACGATTTCTTATTATTTTAGATAATATGGTTGCGGAATGACCTACACTCATTGAAGTATAAGATAACTTATCTTATAATTCAATGCCTACACTACAATTAAAGATATCATGACATCGGGAGCACTAATGCTCTATTTTTGACAACTGTTTCAGAGTATCACTTTATGGGTCATTCCGAGACATTATTAATCATAGGTCATTGTGCAATCTGTATGTTTAATCGTGGTCTTTACTAAACACAATACACCAAACCGGAGTGTTATTAAAAAGCCACGTGATTTATTAAGTCGCGCTATCTAGAACTTGCACCACTGCTATAGACATAATGTAGATGATTATGATGACTTACTAGCTTACCCGCGCAAATTTGCATCATGTTAAATAAAAATTTAAACAGCTGCAGTAGTTGAATTTGATTTAATTCTTAAAAATGGCTAATTGTTGTGTGAAATATCAACATTAAGTTTCAAAAACCACTTTCGGAATCCCTAAAAACGAATATGAAAAAATGAGTTAAAAACTGTTCTTAAAAAAATTATAGGGTATGTGTTTCACATTGTAAGGAGTGATATGAAATCTACTTGGGGATTTGTTGAAGGTGAAAATAAATAAAGAGTGTGAGTATATTATTTCAGTGTTCATATATTATTACAATTTTTAATAAATGATAAATTACTATTATGGAGCAATTCCATCAGTATGTAAAGATTAAAAGTGCTAAATTAAAACCAAAAGAAGGGAGGTATCAAAATTATTGAAATTGGTTACTTTTTAAAACTAAATTTCTAATTAATATAGGTACCTAATATAAAACTAGTTAGGTATTACTTATTGATAATTATTAGTTACTAAATAAAAATACTTAAATGAGAATTAACTGCGAACCCGACTATTTATTGCATACCCATTCGTACACACGAACATAAATATTATTGTATTACTAAATAGTAATTAGTAAATAATAATTACTATTATATTACTAATATATTTTATTTCTCCAACTGTAGATACTTGAATAATGGTATATTTATTAATGCAATCAATATATTTATCAACTAGAGAGCACTGTGTACTGAAGTGAAAGCCAATATACGTTTTGAGCTACACATTATCACGGTTCTTTCACAACACATATTATCTATAGCTGTGCTTTTACATATGTATCTCTGATACTACCCCATTCATATTAAGTCTGGTATCTGTGGTATAGGTAATCTGTCAAGTATTCGTCTTATCTATTGCGCTGTTGAAGGCAGGTGATAGAAGTCGAATGCAGTCTTATAGATATTGCCATTACAAACGTAAATATTACCCAATTTATTTATGTTGGTCATACTGTAATATTTTATTCACACATTTTCTAACCTCAATTATTTTGATATCAACCAAGTCTCTTTCGCTGTCGCGTTTCTTTTTTGCCTGCTTGCTTTTTGTTATTGAACGTTTTCTAATTCAGTTTGTATTTATTACTTCATTCATTTTTCACGAAGTTCAAGTCACCAGGAAAAATGACTGCTGAAAAGAAAATTAAAGTAAAGAAACCTAAGGTAATATTAATAAATATTCCTATATATTTTTTTTTTAAATCTTAGAGCGTTTGGATTTATAACACATGTGTTTAGTTACAGCATTTGCAGTTATTTGACGTTGTATCGCTAATTATTATTATTTTTTAAATATTCGTTACGTTTAATTTTAACATATTTCGTATTTATAGGTCAAAAAAGCACCAACACAAAGCGTACAAGTATTCGGTCGTAAGGTATGCATATTTATTTATTTGTACATTCAATTTTACTTTCGGTTGATATTTATTTTATCATACCCTAAAATCCTTCATAAATGGTTGTTTTAATTAGTTTTCGATCTTATAATCTTATGTAATTGTGAACGATTTTAAGTCAGTAAATTTTATTTTTAAAAAGAAAAAATTGATAATGTTTTATTTCAAAATACATTTTTTTTTTTATATCAATTAAGGTGTGAATTTAATAACATTTACTTAGTTAAATACCTTGTATTCAATGTTTGAATTTATCTTTTTACATCCATAAGTAACTTTGATATTTTTATATTCAAGTATTGATTAGCTTCCCTCCACCATAAACAACTAAGTTTTTTAAACATTTTTTTTAGAACATAAACAATTTATACAAATAAGTATAATACTTATGTGATAATGGTAATATTTGACATGCAGGTATGAATAAGCCACCCATAAGTGACACTTCGCTTGAATTACTAAAGTTGATGTTTGAAATTTGTAAAAGGTCAAACACCATTTTTGTCTTGGTTTACGGTTAGGTTTACCCGGTTGAGATAAACAAGATAATTAAAATAAAATATTGCAGGGGATTGGTATGTAGAGTGACTAGACAAGAACAAACTGGTACTGTACTATAGTTTAACAACTATTAGAAAAATGACTTATATTTAAAGGAAGAAGTGAATCAAGATGAAACAATAAAGATCAGAGATTTATTTTAATTAATAAACTTTATTTTATTTTAATGTATAGAACTTGTTGAATAACAGTTCCTAAGTTTTTTTGGTTCTTGCATCCCTAAAAGTAAAAGACAGCAATCGTGCCTCCCATAAATAAATTAATTACAAATTTGTTTTATTTATTTGTAAATATTCAATATTTTTTATTTTTATGACCAAATATTCAATATTTATCAACCATAAATATTGTTCAATTTTAAAGGATTTTTATTTTTCCAAAGAAAAAAAACAATGACTATTAGTGTTGAATCATAATGTGGACAATGTGATAGTTTTTCATTCAACAAGTTGATTGCCGTTAGTAGAATTTTTGGTACTTGCACGGTTTATACATTAGTCATTTATATTTTATATTCTGTAGCGAGAAATGTAGTTGTTTTATATCGCTTTTTTAAAATTATTAATTCTTTTCCAATAGTTGTGCAATTTTTTAATAGTGTTTCAGTAAAAGGGTCTTTAATCTAACTGTGTTATTTCATTTTTTCTAGAAAATATTTCACAAAATTATTTTAAAAATTACTACTAAAGTGTCATCGGATGATTAGAAATTATTGTTATTGAACTCTGTGGAAATTCAAGATCATTCTCCAAAAAAATGCTTTAAAAGTGGAAAATTATATTTATTTGCCATAGGTCAATTTTTTTAATAATAGTATCCATAGATACATCATAGATTTGCATAGTATGAGTTTCTTTACCTTGTTAAAAAATTGAGTTTTTTATAAATTTCACATAAATATGCTAATTTTATTATAAAATTATTGTTGATAACAAATCCAATATTTATCTTGCGCCTCCCTAGTTAAATACTTGCTCTTCACAATTTGGGAACTGCTGATGAGAGATCAGGCTCATATCTGTAAATTACTTTTAAGGAGACATTTTACTGGGAATTGAACATGGTAAGATTCAGGGATACTGAGTTTCACATACTTTTAATTATAATTATTAATTTGATACAGTATAATCATTAATTTTGTTTGGTACTGTTTTGTTGTATCCCTGCCATGGTGAGTAAAAACTTTGTAGCTCCACCATACATAGAACAATAAATTTGTTGTATAAATATAAAATAATTTAACGGAAAATATGTATCATTATTATTAGGTACCTTCCATGGATGTTTATCACAAATAATTAATAAGCTGATATTGAAAATAATGTATGTTAAAAAATGTTTATGCTTTCCGTGATTTTATATTAATATATCTGGGAAAAAAAATATCACAGGAATCATGGAAAACATAAATATTTGTATACATTTTTTAACATAACATTATTCAATTTTTTTAAATATTATATCAATGTATCGTTAAATTATTAGATTAATAAATATCAATAAATAAATTCATTATTTCTTATATTGGTTTATTATATTATTATATTATTGATTATTTGTAATAAACACCTATGGTAGGCACCTAATAGTTATAGTATGTATTTTCCGTCAAATTATTTTATATTTATACAATGTATTTATTGTTATATGGATGGTGGAGAATAACAAACCAGTACCATTTTTTTTTCTACAATGTAATAGTAATTAATATTATTTATTTAATTCAATTTATGAAATATCTTCTTTTTGAATGTTATAATTATTATGATGATCTATTGAAAAATTAATTTTTAATTATTAACAGAATAATATTTTCCTCCTTTATAGTTCATTATCCACAGTATTTAAGGTTAGAATGGTTTAAATAATAAAAAATAATTAAAAGGTTTACAATTAATAAAAAAAAAAAAAAAAAAAATTGTCCTAGAATAATGGAGACAGGTGCATTCGCCAGCCACACTATTTTAGGTATTTTAATTGTAAGTAACAATTAATCATTGCTAACCAAAAAATGATTCTTAGTGGAGATTGGTTGATAGTGTTGCTTTACCAATAATATATATTTCATATTATGGTAAAATAATTACTTATGCATTATATATTATTTTCTTTAATATTTGGTTATTATTTTACCGGTTTTCTTGTTTATTTGTAAATCGAAGTAATACCTCCCCAATCCGATTTCCTTTCAGAAAAAGTAGCTCATTGTAAATTGGAACAAAATTGTTGGTAAAAAAGTTGTCAACAGAAAAAAAAATAATCTTCTATGTTCCACTCAGACTCTAAAATTGAATATACTTTTAACACAAATACTTCTTGTGTACCTTCTTTTTAAAGAATGTATTGTTTATGTTTATTTTTGTTGTAAGAATTTATAGTAGATATTAATATTTCATATACATCTATAATAACTTAATAATAATAATATTAATGAAATATAAATATTTTTATTTTTTTTTTTATTTAAATTAAATGTCTTATAGAATTTAAATGTTAAAAGGGGTTACTCCTCTTAATCATTGTATCTATATTAAAATTTAATTAAATACATCAGTGGTTTAGGATTGAATTTGTGTTTTTTTATAAACATTTTGATTTGCATAATAATCAATATCTCTGTAAATATTGTTTATTCTTAATCGTAACTTATTTAAATTTTATTATTTGTAGAAAACTGCCACAGCTGTTGCATACTGTAAGAGTGGCAGTGGTAATATCCGAGTCAATGGCCGACCATTAGATATGGTTGAACCCAGAGTTCTTCAATATAAACTCCAAGAACCTATTTTATTGTTGGGAAAAGTGAGTTCATTAGAAATTATTAATTTATTTGAAACATTTATCAAGTCATTTTGTACATAATTTTTGGTTTTAAATACGTATTTATGAAAATACCTATTGCTTGTAGGACCGGTTTAATGAAGTTGATATGAAAGTTCGTGTCAATGGCGGTGGACATGTCGCTCAAATTTATGCTATCAGACAAGCCATCTCCAAAGCTTTAGTTTCTTACTACCAAAAATGTAATTTAATATTAAAATACTTATGCAGTTTTAAACTATTCTATATTATATTATATTTTGATTCAATTTTAGATGTTGATGAAGCCAGCAAGAAAGAAATTAAAGATATTTTAATTCAGTACGACAGAACTTTATTGGTGGCCGATCCAAGACGTTGTGAACCAAAGAAATTTGGAGGTCCAGGAGCTCGTGCCAGATACCAGAAATCATACCGTTAACTTTTTATTTTATACATATATATATTTTGACATTAAAAATATATGTAAACGAAAAATATTTTGTTGTTCTGTGATAGCATACCTTTTTATTTAAAACCTCAGTGTAAATCACATTAACCTTCAAGTAGGTGTCATTATCTGAAACAAATTTAGTTTCACGTTGAAATTTTTACAACAGTATTAATATATTATGATAATCGTACATATTATATAAAATATCATTTATTTTATAAATCTAAACATTTACTAATACATATTAATACTGGTAGTAATAATAAGCCGTCATATTTTTCGACCTAACAAATAAATTAATAAATAATGTCAGTTGTAAGTAAATGTATTCATTTACTTATAACATAATTAATAACATACAAATAATAAATTTAAAAAAAAAACTATTATTATTAAATGTATATATATTAGTGACATAAAACAATACTTAAATTTGGTAGGAAACACTTAAAAAGTAACCTAAAACGTAGATATTAACATTTTTGAAGAATACCTATAACTGTCGAGATAAAAATGGAATATAAAAAAAATACAAAACTGTTGTACTATTTACAACACCGCGGTCGTTGGTTAAGGAAACATTTTGAATATCTAATATGTCACTGATGATTTAGTGTGAGCCGTGAGTATCCTATGTGAATCCAGAATCGGTGACTGCAAACTTGCGACTTTGAAGCAAATTCGTATGTCAAATATTAGATGTTTTTTATTGGAACTTATGTATATAAATGCAGTGACTAACTGCTGTCAGTTTATAGCAAATGTGAGAACAAGTGTGTGACAGAGTTTGTGCTAAGGGGTAGTTCTGAAACCATACTTGGTTAGTACCTAAAAATTGAATTTTCCGTAATATTAGTGTATTTAATTTAATTTTCTTTTCAATTTTTTTTTTATCAATCATTAATATTCATTATCATTACTATTATAATAAGTGATCTCTAAATATATAACCCCATTTGACCATGGGTATGTATCTATTGAGTTAGGAAAAAAATAATTAATTTTTTTAACTCAAATAAGAATAGTTCGGAAAACAAAATTTAGATTTATAAGACTATATTAGTATGATTATAATTATTTATTTTTAAAATCAATATGTACATTATATTATTATAAGTCAGAAAATTAGAAAATAATAGTACATTACATTAAGCATAAGTGAGTATTGTAGCGTATTAAGGACTATTCTAAGGAGGGTGATATTGTATTTGAAAATTGTGTTATATTATAAAACATGTATCCAGGCTAAAAAATAAATAATTTTTAATTTATGTATTTTTGTAAACAATGTACAATTCTAGGTATACCCAACTAAGTAATTATTATTATCCTAGTATAATTTCCTTCATATTTTGGTAGTTTGAATATAGGTTTCATTTAATAACCTAGTGTATATGTTAAGGTACTTTTGATAAATTAACATTATTAATTGTAGGTAGATGTTAACACATCAAATTTTTTATTTTTCTGAATAAAAAGTAAAGAAATTTAAAAGTAGCTCTCATGTAAATAGATTCAAAAGGGAAGATATATTTCCCTAATCTCCTCCCTGTAAATACGCCACTAGTATAAAATATTTGTATTAAATTAAAAAATTAATTTACATTTTTGTATTTATTTTTTGGAATTATATCTAGTTCACAGCAAAATTAATTATTTTTTCATATTTTCATATTTTTTTTTTTGGTTGTATATGGTCTTATGTTAAATCCCTCTGATGGTTAGCCTTACAATATACGGTACTATATAATATGTAAATAAAGATTTCCTAGGATAATACGGATGGGTGCAGCCACTGGGTTATAGGTAAATCTTTGTAAAACCATAAACTTCTTTGCTTCACTCAGAATTTAAAAATATAAGTATTGCTTTTTCTCCTAACCCCGTACCTACTACATAAGTCAGAGGTTCTCAACCTTTTTTGAGTCACAGCACCCTTAATTATTTTCTAAAAATCCGGAGTCACCCTTTAGCCTATACTCTATACTGAATATACGCAATAGTATTATGTTGTGTATTTAAAATTCCTTAGTATAAACAAAAGTACTAATATACTCAGGTACTTAGGTACTAATATACTAATATTTCATATTATTTGATTACAAAAATCAATTAAAAATTAGGTAACTAATGGAACTAATGTTACTATTGTAACACTTAGGCTTGTTTTTTTTTTATACAAATTTTTTTATTCGTGGTTGAATAGTTGAAAGACATATTCTTATTTCTTTTATCATGTACTGATAAACTTAAAACAGTCCATATCGAAGCGATAACAATCGAACCAGTATGCAAATTAAAATAGATTGAACATCGCAGTATTACTATGCACAAATTATATGCAATAGATTTTATACTATAGGGTATAGTACCATAGTCTGTTTTATTAGTCACAGTGCTATAATTTTCATGTAGTCGTTTTATAAAAAAATAAATAAATTTCAAATAATTTTTGCGACACCGTGGTTGGGAACCTCTGACATAAGTACTATATTTCAGTCAAAAATTATAATGAAGTACTGGAAATCAAGGACTTCTCTAGGGTGGATTAAATGATCCCATGCTCCATATTTCAAGTGCACGTCATATTCTATTAAGATGTAATAAAATTGCAATATTTTTTTTAAATGTCAATTCCATCCTAAAAGTTTCACTCGCCCAATAGAGCACTAGTCTAAATTTATGTGTTTAGTATACAGAACAACTTGTAAAGTGTGTAGTTCAAAATTCAAGTGTTGTAAAAATGTGTTCTGATGAAAGGACTCTAAAAACGTAAATAATATGTCTGCTGAAGATACTTTACCTTAAAACTGTATTTTGTGTATACATAATATGTAGATTGCATTATATTATGTTTCCAAAGTTCGCATTTTCTAAGCGTTTATATAATATTAGCGATAGTGGCAATTACTAAACCTCACAATACTGACATTAAAGTTTGTTTAGCGCTAGTAACTTATTAAAATCACTGTGGTGCTCAACACCATTAAACGGTTAGAATCCACAGGAACAGTGATTGAGAACTTTAAGATCTAATATCGTGCTATGCATGAACTATGGTTGTATACTTTAGATCATACATCAAAAAATAGTATTATACTACTAAGTTGTAAAGTATAAAATATCATATCATAGATTATAATATATTGGTTTAATATTATGAGACCATGCACGACCACTGGTACACAAATGCTGCTCCACTACTCTTTTCCCCCTTCCACGTATAAACTTAGTGGAATATCTTGTGAACGGCTTGACGGAAATAAAAAACTTCAACATCAAAAATTATTTTAACTAATACTTTATATATTAAATTATTTTCAACACAGGTTGACATTTAAAAATCAAAAGTAAGTAGTTATTTCACACCGAAAAAAAACTAAAATAGCATTTTAAAACTATTTGTTTCGTAAGTTTTTCGAAAAAAAAAAGTTAATATTTTCCGAGATATTGCAATGGGTACATCTTTGTGGGGTACTATATATATATATATATTATATAATACATGAGTAACTCATCTATCTTCAAAATTTTCTTTTCTTTAAGTTACTTAGTAAAAGCTCAATTCACCATAATATTAAATAGAACAGCACATCTGTACACTCATTCTGAAGGTAAATTTGTAAGATGGAGACAACACATGTGGACATCACAACTTTTTAATCAAACATCATGATACCATATTAGGTATAGTTATGGTACAGGTAACTATTATTACTGCCCTAAGCAAGTGTCGAAAATCAAATATATAAGTTTTAAGAAAAATTAATTTTTGTATTTTTCATTTTTTTACATGTTTATTATTTTCTGTTCTATTTGATTTTATACAAAATTGTATTATTGACTTATATGAATTAGAGTAACTTTAAAGTTATTACTTAGCAACCTAAGCCATATATATTTTTATTTAATAAGAAAATATGTCTTAAGTAAATTTTACGGCATTATTGCTAATGTTCATTGCAACGATCATAATAAAATAAAATAATTATAAACTATAAGTACCAAAATAATAAACTTTCCAAATATAACAATTTATACAGAAATTATAAATACACTATTATACAGCAACCGCAGGAAAAAATGCCATATCTATGAAAATATTTTAGGCTCTTATTTAGTAACACTAATTTTTTTGATTACTTTACGGCATTTTCAATGAACTTTAATTGTTTTAAAGCTTTGCAATGTAATTTCTGGGTTTTTTTCCACAGAAAATGTGTATAACTGGTATACCTATAAAATGCCCATAGCCAACTCATTTTTTCTTTGAGTTACGACTTTTTTGCTTAGCAGGGCAGTATAAATAACTTGTTTCCATCACAAAACTCAAGCACTGAGAAAATATTAAACAATATATCAATCAAAACTATTTAAAGCCAGTTAAAAATTATTACAAATAGTTAAATGAAAACTATTGTTCTCAATATAATAAAATTACATAATTATGATCAAAAGTTTAATAAACCTAATATCACAAATATCAGAATAAACAATTAATCAAGCTGACAATAAGTTATTGCAGTTTTTCTAATGTATGATAAAATTCATCTCCTAAAGTACATACATTTATTAAACACATAATTGTATTTATATCATCTATGACACACAGTCTATTCCATAAGGTGTGACCCAAAATCGATTTAAATATATCATATTTTCTGGTTAAAATTGGAGATGGTTCAAATTTTGGCTCCCATTTCATTAAGATTGCACAACAGGTACAATAATCAACACATCCCAATAACATAATTATTGACACCAGCAATTCTTCAAAGTACTGAGAACCTTGAAATGGAGATAAAATTGTATGTATTTGTTTAAAGAACATTATGTTGTACAATAAATATACTTACGAGGTCGGCTATCATTTATGTATTCAATCATTTTATTTAGCAAGGTTTTGTAACTTTGATACAAGGTTGTGTAGGTAGATGTTTTGTCCTCCTCAAAATTATTCTCTGTACTTTTACGACTGTTTAGATAACCAGTTACAGTAGGTCTAAAAGAGAATCTAAATAATTTGAATGAATGAACTGAAAAAAATTAATTTGATAATGCATAAAATATTTATTAATTTATGTGAGTAATTTATATTTACAAATTGATTCCATAGTTTGGATAGCGTATGCTTCATCTTGTTGAGTATTCAAGTATTCTTCAATTATAGGAAACAGGCAATGAATAGTAAATTCTACCATGTCTTTAGCATAAGAACATTTTAAAACCATCATTACTGATGGAAAAAAATCTATAAAATATTATATTGTATGATAATTGATTAGTTTATCTATGTGAAAATAAAATTTAAATCAATTAACAAACCGGGTTTATGTTTATGTTTGATCAAATTAGTAGGCAAATCAACAGTAAATGAGTAATTGTAATAAAATGAAAGTAAATTGATTAGTTCTTGTTGATAAATATTATGATCAACAGTTGCATCAATATTGATTTTCGAATAAGATTTTCTTTTGGCAATTAAATATGATATAGCCATTATTATAACCGGATCTAAATTAACATTTTGTAACAATTAATGATTATTTAATGCATACGTAAATTAATATTCTAAATTATATGTTAACCTTGTTCATTATTTAGTTTCACTGGTAAGCAATTGTTCCATAACATTAAGGACATAAATAGAACACAACAATATTTATTAGGCAACAAAACTATTGAATCCCAAATGAATGTTTGAATATATTTCAGCATTCCTAATCTATTGCAAATATCAACCAAATATAAGGTTTGCATTATTAATTGATGATCCTGAAACCAATAAGGAATTATACATAAATACATCACTGAAAGCATTAGTATAAACCATTTATAACAACTATAATAGACATATTTTTTTTATTCTACTTTTAATAGTGTTATAAATAGTTTCTACTGTATTTTTTACTTACAGTTTTATTATTGAGATTAATCTTTTTATTCAATATATTATTCCGAATACTATTTAAGATCATACTAATCAGTCTATCACTTTGTAATAATTTTACTAATTCTAGAGTGATTGAAGTTAATTTCATTATTTTTGGACAAGTGATACTTAAATTAGTAGATCCAAACAATTCATTTTTTTCTTCATTATTCATATTTTCACAATTTACTCCAAAGGTTGTTAGCCCAGTTATTTTTAGTGGATTGAATATATTTTCGAAAAGTAAAACACAAATTGTACTATACAATTTTGAAAGAAAATAAATAAATAAATATCTACTTATAAAAAATATAATTTTAAATAAAATAAAATACCTTGAGATTTCTTCCTCACAGAAATTACTTAAATTTTTGAATTCTGTCGATTTCAAAATTACGTTCATGGGTTGATTTGATTTTAACATTTCCCTTAACTTCATTCTGATTTGTATATTACTTATATCTATAAAATAAATAACAATTATATATTTATTTAAACCATAGAAATATTCAAAAATAGAAAAAAATGTATAACACAAAAGTTGTTTTGATTTATATACACCTAAAATAATTTGTACATTTTTATTTGTACTGTCATTTTTGAGTGTCACCATTTGAAAAATCAAATGATAACCTAGATTCAAAAATCCATAAATATAGTGTTAGCTAACATTACAAAATGTTTGTAAATCAATACAACTAATCTTCTATAAATTGTGTAATGTAAACTAATACTAAATCTATTTATGGCTTTTTGAAAATAGGTTCAAATTTGAATTTCAAAAGTTGACACCCAAAAGACAGAAAAAAATGTACAAATTATTTTAGATGTTTAACGAATCAAAAAACATTTGTAATAATCATTTTCCTTCATTTTGAATATTTACATAATAAAATCACTGAAACATACATTTTTAATCAATCTCTATATATAATTAGATTAAACCGGTATCACAATCAAAGTCAAAGTTTGATGCCTCTATAGCTTCTGATATAACAACATTATGGTAAATATTTTTTTTTAAATCTGCCTCTTACAAAAATTGTTTAGCCCATTTGGACCGAAATGCACTCCAAGCATCGACAACTAATTGCGACACTTGGTTCAAAGCTATTAAACATAAAGTATTCCATTTAACCTGAATCAATAATTTCCTTTTGGACTGAGTAAATTAGATTTCTGATTTTTCAATCATTATAAACTTTATTTCAACACTATTTTTAATTTGATATACTTAGATCTTATATCTTAAATGAGTATAAACTTTTGATAATTTTTAAATAGAAATTATTGAAAAAAAAAAAAAAAAAAAAACCAGAAACCAAATTTACATTCTAGGATTCTTAGAAAAAATCACTAGTTTATGATAAACGGATCACTTTGTATAACTTAGAAATAGGTAGTTTTTTAGATTTGAACTTTCATAATTTCAATTGAACTACTTGTGTAGAATCAATAAGAAGTTGTTAATATTTGTTTTTATTTTTAGAGAGAGTGGACATCATAGTTATTTAAATAATTATCTAAAGAAAGTTTACTTTTTTGTTTCTGAGAAGAATTTAACTTCTGTAATGTAGATATTGGGTTTAGTAGGGGCTTATTGCTTTGTTTACAATTTGTATTCATTTCTTTTTCAGTTATCGGTTGAATGTTGTTTGGGATTGGTTGATTGCATTTTTCTTTAAACATTTTATTTTTGTCTAGAAAAAAAAAACAGTGAAAATTTAATAATAGATGTCTGTTAAAAAAAAAAAAAAAAAAAAAAAAAAAAAAAAAAAAAAAAACAAAACAAAAACAAAATAAATAAATACTGTGCAATATAAAATAATATTAAGTGGGATAATATTTGCATTAAACCGAACTATCAACTATGGGCAAAATAAATTTGGCTGATTTAAAAATATCATTAAAGAATTATAGAAAGAGCCTACTAAGGTTGATTTACACACATTTCCCAACGTTAGTAATATAGAATAAGAAAAGACCAGGTTATAATATAAAATCTAAATTTTGTTTTATTTTAATTGAAAAATATTAATATTTAATATTTAGGTAAAAATGATGAAACAATGAAATTAAGTATTGAATATATACTTGAGCCACCGAGTAATAATATAAATTATAACTAATTCAAAATTTATTTATGAACTATTAATGCCTTTAACACATTTTATTTTTAACTATAAAAATACCTTTACCCATTTCAATCAACAATTAACATTTAAACTATAGCTATTTATGTTTAGAAATGGTTATTACAGTTTTGATTTTTTATGTTCATAAGTTCTACGTTTCTTAATTGACCATCTGCATAAAAAAAAAATGTATAAAAGTTTTAATAATTATGTATTAAAATAATATGTATATATTTACCACACAATTCAACCATATGTTGACAGTTAGATACAAAAACTGTATCAACATACATCTCAGAAAATATATCTTGAACAGACTTTGAAAAATGTTTGTTTTCATTAAAGGATATGCCTTTATTTAATGGTTGTTTTTTATAAAATTCATTGCATTTTTCTATACTCATGAATAAATTATAATCTTGCAAAGTAGTTTCTGCCTCATTTAATACACATGAATTGTCTGGCTTGTTACATAAAATAGATTCCTTTTTTGGTAAAACAGATTTTATGGCTGAAACATAAATACAATTATAATTTAGGTTTTAAGGAAATCGAGTTATTTTAAAGATATCTGATTTTTGATAGATACAATTTTTTTTGAAAATATATTTTCTCAAAAGTTAGGTATATTAGGTTACATTAGAATATATTACCATTTTTATTTTGAATTTTTGTGTCAGTGTTTAGATTTATTAATTTATTATCTTGGTCTAAAACAAAATAAAGAGAAATTAAAAATAGTAACTTAATACTAGGATGAATCAAATGGTGAATTTTTTTTATATTTATGGCTCGAGTAACTCTTAATTTTTTTTAGATCTATGTAGTGTTATCATACTAAAATATCAGCTTCTTTCTATAGTTAAAAGATAATGAATGCTCAAACATTGAAATTAAATATTGATTACGATATATTTTTTTTTTTATTCAAATTTGTAAACCAATTCCCTGTGACTACAGATCTATTAAATTAATGATGACATTTATCTTATAGGTATTAGAGATTCTGAGTCATATTCTATCGACTTCCAATAATAAAGCAAGTTTTAAAACAGTTTCATTAGTTTTTATATGTTAATAAATTCATACGTAATTTAAGTCACTTGGTGGTTGTAGAACTCATTTTAGTGTAGTCTAAAACTGTAATACCTATGGGATTATGAAAGCATGTTATAGATATGACCGAAAAAGACCATTATAAGTGGTTGCTGTTTTTTAAAAAAAAAGGGAGATCGTCTGAATCTTAGAAAAATATTGAGCGAATGTCTGTTGGTTTCCAGAGATAAGGAAGAAAAACTTTTTGGTGTACCAAAGTTAAAAACTGAGATGGGCAGAATGCAATAGATGCTGTGTGAATAAAATGTTTTAGAAAAAGAGGGAGTATATACTCTCCTAGAAAAAAACATAGGTTGTGTTATGTAATAGCTAGTTTGGCATCACCATACTACAGATTTATGTTAGTGTTTTGGTCCATCAAACTCCCCAGATATTCCCATATTTAAAAGATTCAAAATAATATGAAGTTATCTTCTAAAAATAAATATTTAGAAGTGGAGTAAAAGGAGAAACACATACATTCATTGAAACTACTCTTAAAACTCTAGAGTTTTTTTCAATAGAAAATAAATCAGTTAAGAGATAATTATCAAGAGCTTTGCAAATTAGTATTAATTGTTTTGAATAAACCACCATTAAAAATTCATTGGCATGCTCCAGGTCCAGTCCATTATGCATGGTGGATGCTAAAACAGATTTACTCAATAACATTTTTATATTTTGCAAGCAATGTGATGTATTTTATCTTAATGAAAAGGAAGAATCCCTACAGTGGTTTGTGTACTTCAGAGTACTATTGTAAACTAAAGCATGGATTGAAGTCCTACTTGCAGCTGAAGCACCAAGAAAGGATAAACCTTCTGAAATCAGCATTCCAGCTTTTAAGGTTTTAGAAAGTCACCTATGATATCTTTGGAATGGGACCGTTAAACTTGTTTTATTTTGCATGGAAGTCACACACCTTGAGAAACGAAATAAAAAAAAAAAGGAATAAAAGCAGAAAAGGACAAAAGATAAATCAGAGGAAATACTTCCTTCCTTGAAAAAAATGTCACTGTAGAAAATTTCGAAATTAAAAAAAGGGGTTTTTCAAAACTATTTTTAAAATAAGACTAGTTTTTGTATTAACCACCTCAAGAATGGACTTAAAATGATTATTAGCAAATAATAAAATAATTGTGTGTGCGAAAAACAGCTGTGACCATTATTTAATGAACAATTTGAATTTTAAGTTTGGAGTATAAACGATACTTTTTATTTTAGCTTTTCATTCAATTAAATGGTCTAAAAGACAATAAAAGTTAACAATGTGTATTTTTATTAAAGGCGTAAAAAAAATGTTAAAACCACAAATAAATGTTTATTAACTCCTGAAAACTATGAATTGTAATGCTTAGATCCTTTTGTCATATCACCATCCATATTTTATTTAATAGGGTATATATTTTCTACATTTTTTTCCATTTTTCCATTGGGAAAATCAAAAAATGACCACCCCAGTCAAATTATCTTTCAGAAAGCATTACAATAAAAACTGGATGCAAAATTGTTGATAAAAAAGTTGTTAAGTACAACAATATTGTAAAATCAATATATTTCACACTCTGTTCACAATCTATATTGATACTTATTTGTTGTTATTCTTACACTGTACAAAATAATTACAAAATCCAGAAAAAAGTAAATTATTGTTAGTGTTTGAGCACCGACTTCCAAACCAAATAGTAAGTCAACATTTTGAGAAGAATTATTTTATAGATATGTCTAAAAAAAATAAAAATTAGAAGGTACTTCACTTTTAAGTCAAATTTGTATTACACTGTTATATTATAATTACATTTATTTACTACCCTACTTAATACAATATTTCAATATTAAGATAAGTGAAGTAAGATAAATTAAACATTACCATTTTTGATTTGAGTGTTCATATTTCTATTGTTCACATTTCTCAATTGAACACTTTCCTCTAAAAAAAAAAAAAATGTTAACAAAAAATATTTTACAACGTTAGTATACAAAGTGATCAATATATCGTAAGACATTCATTACCTCGGAAAGTATTTACTTTTTCCAGAATTTGATTTCTAGAATATTTAAATTTAAGAAACAAACTGCTCTACAATTTTATATTTATGTTATTTTTTTTCACCCATATTTTTGGGGATAAAATACGACCTACGTTTGATTTTCAAATAGCAACTTATATTAATTTTATAAATATATGAAATATTTAGTTAAAATATATTTTGGTGTTGAAATTTTTGATTTACGTCAATCCGTTAACGTGATATTCCACTTTTAAGTTTGGGTTGGGGAAAGTGGTAGAGCATTATTAACACGCCACGTGCCACACCACTCCACAAATGATACTTTACTATACTCTTTGAACCCAAACTTAAAAGTGGACAAAACGTTGACAAAAAATAACATAAATATAAAATTGTAGAGCAGTTTTTTCTTAATTGTTCTAGAAAATAAATTCTGAAAAAAGTTAATACTTTCCAAGAATGAGTGTCTTATGATAGATTGATCACCCACCATTTAAAATTTTAATTTTGTTTGTTTGTATAGCATCTACTTTCTCTAATTTATGATCTTGATCGAAAACAAAATAAAATAATAACATAATATAATAATTCCATACTAATGTAAGTGAAGTATGATAAATTAAACATTACCATTTTTTATTTGAATATTCGTTTTCTTAGCATTGACATTCATCAATTGAACACCTCCCTCTAAAAAAAATTAATAGAGATACAATATTCTCCCATATTAAGGTAAGCCAAATAAGATAAACTAAACATTACCATTTTTAATTTGAATGTCCGATATCTTAGAGTTTATTAACTTTTCATCTACATACAAAAAAAAAAATAAACCAATTCAAAATAAATTTAAGGGAAATAAAATTAATAAAAGTAACTAGCAATTTAAGGTAGAGCTTAATTTCTACCTATTTTGGGGACATGGGTGTTTAACCATTTAAAAACATTCAATTAAACAGCAGGTAATATAAATCTCCATTTATTTAAATTTTTTGCCAAAAATAAATAAAAATGGACTTAGATAAATAATAGTACAGAACAAAATTAATAAAGAATCAACTTTCAATTGCCAGCAGTTTATGGAAAATATTTTTTTATTAGTTCTATTAAGACAATTAATTGATTAGTTCTGTTAGTCTATTAAAGTATAGTGTTAAGAAAAAGTCTGTCCTATTTTAAAAATACATATTTTGTGAAGTTCTAATGCATTATTTGTATAATTATTTTAAATTATAAACAACTTACCAATGAGTAACTTATAACAATCATCATCAGAGCTACTGTCACTTTCAATATCATTATAATCAAACAAATTAAATAAACTAGAATTATGTTGTTTAGGAATAGTACCTGAAAATAAAAATGTTTAATTAGACAAACTTATGATACATAAATATAATTTTGATTTCTGTAATACACAAATATAACACAATGAAAAATTAAAATTAATAAAAACAAATCATACCAATTTTGTTGGACTAAGTAATTCAATAGATTTTAAAGAAAATGTATGAATCGTCTTAACATAAAGAAAATAAAATATACACGAGATAGAGTTAATATTGTAAGTGAAAATAAACACAATAAATGTGTTTATAATAACTTGAGTTTATTTTTTAAATACACATTTAGGTATATAATTAGGTGTGATCAACCACTTCTATTTAGTTGATTCAAAAACAACACAATTTATTAACAAATTGTGAAATGTATGCTATGAAGTTTATTATATATGATTAATAGAAGTAAAAAATTATATATATACAGTAAATCCACTTAATTGGAACACATTGGGCGGTGACCTATTTGTCCCCATTATCCGATTGTCCTGATTAACCAAATCAGCACTTGATTTTTCTCCATGAAATCGCTTGAATTTAATATTATTCCAGTCCTTCCAGTGATTTATCCAACCTTCTGTCGCCTTAAAATTACCATGTCCAAATTTTTCATCAAAAAATTCAGCTTTCTGCTGTAACATGGGGCCTGAAATACTAACACCACATTCTGTAACAGCAGAATATCATTCGTTCATAGCTTTGTCTACTTCGGGATCTTTGCCTTCTCGCTTTCTTTTTCTGTTTACAGGTGCATTTTTGTTGTCATTTAATTTTTTCTACTGTTTACGAATAGCTTTTTTATTAGTTTCAATCGGCTTAGTACCGATTTAAAGGTACCTATTATTTTCTCTAACTCAAGGAGACTGGATGAATGAAGTTGAGCTTTAATTTTATCCAGATTAGAAATTTTTTCAATCAACATTAAATCTTTACGAGACATAATTGTTACGTATTAACACAAACTGAGATCAATAAAAGCACACATACGTTAATACGCAGAAACGAAAGAACACGAACTAAAGCTTTTGTACGTAGGCTAATCGACTCTTATCGTGGTAGTAGAAAAAAAGTAAATGATTACCTATATGATAGAGCTACAAAGATTAGATAAATGATTGACATAATTGACATTATCTATATAATAGAACTGAAAAGTTTAGATAATTACAGTTTTGATAAGAAGTAGATAGATAATTTAGGTCAGAATATCTAATAATACGCTCTTATTTTTGTCCCTTATAACCGATTGTTTGTTCCAGATAAACGAAGTTAAATTGCCTTAAACGAATACCTACGTTCGGGACTATGCCAATTCGTACCCATTAAGCAGTCCCCTTTATGCGGTGTCCCAAATAAACGGATTCCACTGTATACATAAAACAAAACATTGAAACAGGAAAAACTTAAAAAAATAATAAATTATATTCATAACAATCAATGTACATTAATTACAAAACTATTATATTAAAAGTGACAATATAATAAAACTTATATTTATAATTATTCCAAAACAAGTAGCCTATAGTTTTTAATTAAACCAAAATGTATTATTGCTCTTTAGGATAATTTAAAAGTATGAAATATGAATATAACTTTTATCAAAGTAGAAATGTAATATAATAATAACTTAAATATTATTACTTACAATTTTTGGTTTCATTGAATTCTACTATATGATCCACACTATTTTTAATATTAGACATTTTAGTTTCAGTGTTTATATTTTCATTAGAACAAACAAAATTCTTCTCACAAGATTTCTTTGACAATTTAACATTTGATATACCATTACCATCTAAAAAACAAATAATTTAGCAATGTAAAAATATACGGGTGTAGTATTTATGGAGTTATACCTAAATTATCATTTTTCTCCTTAAGAAGATTAACATTCTTAATTAGTTTAAATGTTTTAACATTTGAAGTTAAAACATTATCATCAATGGTATCTTTAATTAAATTAGAACTTTTGTCTCTTTCAATGTTATTATGGTCAGATAAATCAAATAAACTTGACTTTTGCCGCTTAGGAATAAAATCTAAAAATTATACATAATAACATCCAAGATTAATCATCTAAACATAAAAACACATAAAATAACAATTTAAATTGACAGATGTGTTAAAATACTTAATTCACATATTTTTAAATGTAAAAATATGAGTATAACTTTTAACAAAGTAGAAATGAACAAATAGTTACCTAAATATTATTACTTACTATTTTTGGTTTTATTGAATTTAACTATATGGTCATCACTATTTTTAATATTAGTAATTTTAGTTACAGTGTTTATATTTTTATCTGAAAAATGATTATAATATTTTAGTAAATTGAACCGTTAATGTAAAATAAGTTAGTGCTTTTTTTTTTTTTTTACCTAAAGAATCCAAATTCTTCTCGCAAGTTTTAGGATTAATAATAAATTCTTTTGATACTTTCATATTTGATATACTCCTACCATCTGAAAAACAAATAAAATTTAACAATATAGAAATGAACGAATACAATAGTATGTATATAATTATACCTGAATTATCATTCTCCTCTTTAAAAATATGAAAATTATTAGTCTGCTTAATTGTTTTAATATCTGAAGTTAAAACATTATCATCAATGGTATCTTTAATTAAATTAGAACTTCTGTCTCTTTCAATATTATTATGGTCAGATAAATCAAAGACAATTGAATTTTGCCGCTTAGGAATAACATCTAAAAATTATACATAATAACATCCAAGATTAATCATCTAAACATAAAAATACATAAAATAACAATTTAATTTAACAGATGTGTTAAAATACTTAATTCATATATTTTTAAATGTAAAAATATGAGTATAACTTTTAACAAAGTAGAAATGAACNTCAATATTATTATGGTCAGATAAATCAAATACAATTGAATTTTGCCGCTTAGGAATAACATCTAATAAATACAAATTTACAAAAATGAATTTGGGTTAAATTTAAATACAAATACATAATAATGTTGATAATTACTTATATGGTTAATTAAGATGGATATAATATTAATAAAAATAGTTATTTTAAGCGTATTTAAAAAAGTAAATTGTATATTAAAAATTAAAATTAATCATTCGAGACAGTATCTGAAGATAAGTATATGATTAAGTAATCATATAAGTACAGATAAGTAAAATGATTACCTATGATATTTTTCCTAAATGTTAAAGCTATTGAATTATAGAATTTTGGGTCTAGATAGTATATAAATTTTGACAGAAAAAAGTATAATAGTAATTAATTTTTCAATGATATATCTTTAATGTCAATCTAATAATTAATTTTTATGACCAATAATATATTAAGTTTATTTAAATAAATGTTTTACAGGTAGGATCGTCAAGCAATGGTTTATTCTGGCCTACAGATATAAATGAAATAATTTTATGCATCCTACCTTCCCAACTATTCATCTACAACAGTGGCTACTCCCATCCCCAGTATCAGCTCTTTTTTTATTTTTATACATTTTTACATGAATATACACTTATTTTATATTTTATATCCAGGTTTTAAAACATTTAATTTGTCATAATTCAATAAGGTAAATCACAGTGAGTAATTGTAACACATTAGTAGTGAATTTTTAGAATCCGTCAACAATTAGGGTATTTGGGGATTTCAAACGCATTTTTTAAGGTTTTATTATGCTTTTTTCGACATTTTAATTGTACTATTTTTACAATCCTTTTTACTGCTTAAATAGGGTTGACACTTTTTTTTTAAATTTGAAAATTCTGACTTTTCCAAGTTCTCCAGAAAGAAAATAACATTTTTTACCAACATAATTGTATTATTAAATATTTTAGACTTTTAATTCTTAAAAACTTTTCAATACCTACTCAATTTTCAATCCTTCATTTTCTCAACTTATTTAATACAAATCAATATAAATAAATATTTGCTTCATTAGTCTTAATATTTTAACCAAATACTTCAATTATGTAAACATATGTTAAAATAAAGTTATTTAGTCACAATAGTTATGATTAAAATGCGCCATGACATGATTTTGTGTCAGTACAGGATAAATGGTTATAATCTATTCCAATCCAAGCTCAAACTTAGAGAAGTAGTTAAATTTATATCTTTATATATATAATGTATTTGTAACATATATTAATAAATAAAATTAACCTGGAAACAAATCAAGTTCCTTCATTTATATTATAACTAGAATTACAAGTCTAAAACATTATTACTTTCACTATCAAAAATATCATTACTATGGGAAAACAACTTGAACTGCTATCAAAAATTGCTATTTATTAAAAAAATTATAGATATTCTTGATTTTCTTCGATTTCTTAAAAAAATTTCAAAATTCTTTTAACTTTTTCAGGTTGTCACTCTAAATAAGGTTATATATTACCTTAAATTTAAAGCCTTAATTATAATACATTTATTGAAGTCAATAGGTTTTGTGGATTTTTTGACCTACTCAAATTGAATAAACTCAAATGAACACTATAATTTACAAAGTTTAGGGATATCAATAGATATTTGTTATCTGAACATTTGATGTAGTTATAATACCATCCAAAAAATACAATATACATAATTTATTAAGTGGAAATGTATAAATAAGGACCGTTCTCCCCAATATAAACACTAACGTTAATCTGATTTTATGGATGACAAACGACCATGATTGGTCAATTATCAAGTAAACTGTTTAAAAATCAAATTTTATATTGGTGAGAATGGCACTAAATAGTTTATTTAATTAATTATAACTCACCATTTTTATTTTTGTTAGAACTAACATTATGGTCGTCATTTGGTGTAATGACAGTAGTTTTATTAGTTTTCGTGTTTAAATGTTCATCTAAATAAAAAATAAAAATCTTATTACTTGTAATGATTAAGTGCCTGTTTATTGATAAATCTATTTTTAAATAGGTCGGTATTAGGTATTCTAAATTTGGGGAAAATATGGCTATAAGAAAGACAGTGATTCTCAACTTAAAAACTATGTGAGAGAAATTCTTATATGCAGCAGACAGGTTAAATAGATAATATATTTATTTTTTACAAGATTTATGAGTATTTATATGTGCAACCAAGATATAACAAATGATGATCTTGTTTGTAAATAATTAATAAAAAAAATAGATATTTACAAAAATCAATAACCCACAATTTATTGAAATGGTAATAATACATTTTAAAAATAGTTAAACTTACTATTTTTAATACATTCATTTGTATGAAGAACTTTATTCTCTATACAAATTTTTGGGATATTAAAATGTTCTTTTTTTGTTGAAACATTGGGTTTAATAATATTATCATCGGAATAATAAATTTATACTTGACTAATGCAGAATGTACAAGTATGTCTAATTGATGTTAAATTGATAATAACTTACACATTTTAGTTTTGTCGAAAACCACATTATGGTTGTCATTTTGTTTTATATCAGTAGTTGTAGTTTTAATATTTATGTCTAAAAATTATTTGTAATATTTTATTAAATTACACTATGAAATATTTTTTTTTTTTTTTATCAAATGTTTTTCTTTTTATTATATTATGTTCCTTAGAGTTTAATAATTTTCCAAATTGTTTTCAGACTTGCTAACGTTAAGGTCGAAAGTATCATTTTTAAAGAAAATAGTTGAGTTTTTTTTTTGTTTTTACTTTTATGTGAATCAATAATAATTTTCAAGAAAATCAAAAATTTTTTTGGAATATCATGAATACCTATTAACGTTAACTTACTACACTTACATTTAATTTATTTAGTTTTATTTGTTTTAAGCTAATATGCCCATTATTTAAAAAATAAAATAAAATAATTAGTCACAATTTTTTTTTATTAAACTAAAATTAGCTTTTTCCTCCATATGAGATTTAAGATTATCAATTGCTTCTTCTTTTGATATTGTAACATTTAATTCACTTTTATTAAAGTCTACAAAATATATTTGTATACTTTATGAATGTATAAAAGTATAATTATAATATTATAATAGAATTGAGTAATGTTACCTAATTTTTTAAAGGTGTCTTTAGAAAGTTTAACAGTATCTGAAGGTTTATTAAGTGATTTAATATTTGAAGTAAAAAAATTATCATCTGAAATTTAGTAAAAGATATTTGTAGTAGTGGTATACCCATATTGGAATATTTATATAGAATATTAAACAAAATAAAAGTTGATTTGTAGATAAATATAAAATAAAATTGAATAAACATAAAAATTTATTTACCAATAAACCAAATATGTAATAAAAACGTATCCTGTATAATCATTATTACTCTTACAGTATTTACAGTTAAAATGAATTTTATATGTATTCCTGAATTCTGTATGTTAATTTGAATTTGATTTTACTACCTTTATTGTTTCTATAAATTAATACAAGAAGAAAAATTGGTAATTTACATTGATTGAGACGCAGAAAAAAATTGCCAAACCCACCAATGCTCTCCGAAAATCAGAATATAGTTGGTAATCCTTGAGAACTAGATTACTAAAATATTGGAAAAACATATGCTCAACAATGGGAAATGCTCAACATTTAAACCAGAGACCAATGCAATATTATCCTAAACACAGATATAATATAAATTTAAAGGGATATTGGTGTTTGTATTATTTGTATATTATAGCTAGAATTAGATAACTGAAAAAAAAAACATAATAAAAATATTCATCACCTTTCATAAATGTCAAATTGTCATTTGGTATTGGAGCTTCATTATAAATTTTAATATTTAAATTAATGCTTCCTTTCAACTCATCATCTAAAACCAAATAAATTAAAATCAATTACTAAAAATCTTTTATTTTAACTTCTAAGTATTACCACTTGAATCAGAATCAAAGCATTCAGACAAGTAATCAAAATCTACATAAAAATCTTTAAGTATTTGTGAAATATATGGTTCAATGTGATTATTTTTATCTACACTAATTAATTTTGTACGACTTTGATTAAATAAAGGAAAATTCAAATTCCGTACATGTCCTTCTGATTGAATAATACTTTCATTACTTTCAATAAGCTGTTTCAACATATTAGCTTCTAATTGTTTTTGTTGTAAAAATGTTTGAAATTTTTTTTTGTCATCATCGAATGCAAAATGTTTGGTTTTGGAAGTTGATATTTTATTAGCATCTTTGTTAAAATTAAATAATGATCTACAACAGCATTTGGAATCTAGTTGTAAATCTGAAACAAATAAATTAAACAGCCTAAAAAGAAATGTATTGAGGACAGCTTAATGTGAATACTCTAGTAGTGTAGTAACTGTTCATTATCAACAATAAAATAAAATAATGTTTCAAAATGAAACTTACTTGCTGATTTGTTTGACTTAACTAATTTAAAATTTAAATTCCCATTTAGAAAAGAATCATGATTTTTAATTGAATTAGTGAACATTTCTAATTTCTTATTTTCTTCGTGTTTAATGGTATCACAAGTATTTTGATAAGTCATTACATCAGTTGTATTGATATTAGAATTTATGTTATTTTGAAAAACAGAACAATCACTCATTTTCTCTAAGAAATTGTTTTCTTCAGATATAAGTTGATTTCCAATAGCATTATCTAGACAAAGGCATATTTTTAACAATAATACATTTTTTTTTTTTTATAAAAGTTTTACAATAAATACATATTTAACACATCTCACAGTCTGTAAGTTTTAGTTGAATAACATAAGTAAAATACAGTTTTCAATAAACATAAATTAAATGTGTTTACTAAATTAATATGGTTATTTTACCCAGTGAATTAATTCCCAGTTAATGAAATTATCTCCAAAAGTCTCTAGTAATAATTATATTATATTCATTTTTAATATTTTGTTTTATACTACTTTATACTACTGTAAGATTTGTATGAAAATATAAAATATTTAGGAAAATTGATTGTTAATTTGAACATTTATAATTTATTTATAAATACAATTAATACATAATGTTGAGTTATTGCTTTTAAATTTAGATTATTCTAATTTTAATAATTATATAATATTTTTAATAGTATATAAATAGAGAGAGGGTGTTTTGAGAGAGAGGTTCCTATTTGTAAATCAGCAAATTAATAGCCAATTTTACCTAAAATGTTAAATATCTGTGAAAATGTTTTAAACAATATTAAATATTAAATGTTATACAAGAAGTAATTTGATAGAACTTAAAATTAAATTTAACTTAAACTTAAATTTTTTTAAATCTTGTCTTTTGAGAACCTTACCCTACTACGCCACCAAACAAATTATATTCTATTACTCTCCCCCATACAAACTTTTAAGAAGAATCTTATTGAAAGGTTTATAGAAATTAAAAATTTCAACACCAAATTAAATTTTAAATGAAAATTATTAAGTAATTTTGAATATAGGTTATTATTTTAAAATCTGAAATGGGTGGTGGTTTCATCTAAAAAAAATAACTGTGACAAAATGATGATAATGTAACATTTAAGAGTAACTTGTTTCTTAAAATGTCTAAAAAAAAAAATACTTTATGATACTTTTGAAGTAATAACTCTCTATCCAAGGATTAATTATTCTATATACAGCTTATTATGATACTTATGTCATTACTATAAAAAAAATAAAATAATTAAAAATATTAATTAACATATAAAAAAGGTTATCTTACATGTTGCTTTTAATTGGCTCTTAACAATATTTGATTTTTTGTTATAATAAGTTTTAATTTCAGCATCTGAAAAACAAAACAAATAAAATAAATAAACTCAAATGTACCTATACAAAAGAATAATATTATTTATTACTTTTGTTAAATACAGGTCTTATATCTTCTATTTCAGGAGAACTGGCAAATTTCTCATTAACTTTACCTATTAAATAAAAAACATTAACCAAAGAATTTAATAAAATAAAAGTAATTGATTACTTTTTTTACTGTGATTTATTTGAAAATAATCGATTTCTAAATCAGAATCTGATTCAAACAACGAAGGTAATTTTTGACGTTGAGCATGAGTTTGTTTATCGGCTAGTAAACAATTATTAAAAGTGACATCTAAAATACATAATACAATTATTTCTATTAATTAAATATATTTATTGTAATTTTATTAAAACAAGTACTTAAGAATAACTAAGGTACATAATAATAATATATAAAGTCAAATTAAAAAAGTCACTCCTTAGAAAAGGTACACTGAAATGACAATGTTATAGTTAAATACTAATATAGTAATATGTAGTCTACATACACAAACAAAGAATGTAAAGTATACAGAGATCATAATTTAAGTTAACATCAGTTATCCTAAAAAAAGTTTTAATATGAAATAACCAACAATTAAAATAAACAAAAATGTAATTTATTTAGCTGTTATGCTAGGTACTTGACAAATAAAATTGAATTTAAAAAACTACTAATTTTTAATAATGTTAACTTGGCTTTCTCTTTTAAAAATGCAAAATTTGATTTCTTCTTGCATTATTTGATGAGATAGGTATTTAATATAATATATTCCTTGGTTCATGGCACATAAAATGTAGACCATGTAGACTACATATCAGAGTATTATTAACACATTCAGACAATTTTTTTTTTATTTATTTCTATAGTCAACAAGAATTTACATACCATATTTAGATTTGGATTTATATGTTTTTGATGGTTTCTTTATTTGTATAGCTAAGAGAAAAATAAAATCAATAATTAATTTAAATATAATACACAGGATGATTCACTAAGAGTGCTCACCCCATTATTTTGGTTAGGTTTTAAAGAAAAATATTTACATGAATTTTTTTTAGTATTTCAGATAGGATCATAAAATTTGAATGACCCTGTATGGCTGAATATATATATATATAACCAATGGTACATTGATTAAAATGTTTAATTCAGCGCTAGGTATTTAAAAAGTACTCTAGAACTCCTCCCTACTCAAACCATAAAAATAGAATATTTTGTCAACAAGTTAATAAAAAGTTAAAAATTTCAATATGAAAATGTATTCCCACGAAAATGTCATCTACTTATAGCAGTTTTAATATAGGTTGTTATTTAAAAATTAAAAGTGGGTAGTGGTTAGTCACTTCACTTTCAACCGTCAACCAACCACTAAAATAAGGGCGACAATAAATAATGGTTATATTACATTTTAAAGGCACTTATTTCTTAAATTATCAATAAAATAAATAAATAAAATAAAAAATCTGAAGTTATTATTTTATTATACATTAAAATAGGTATATCTTCATGGGGCTAGATTCTACCCCTTGCATGACCATAACTCATGGATACACTATTAGCATACAATAATTTAGTAAAAAGCAACAAATCACTTAGCCATTATTTAGTTATGGTGACAAAAATGTTCCTAGTTTGGTCACTGTGGTAATAAAAATGTTAAATAGTGACGCGAGGCTTATTGGTGACACAGTAATGACTGTGGTTAATGGTGTGATTCAACAGTTATAAAAATAGCTATAAGAGTAACCTACAAAATTGTCACTTAATTATCAAAATAAGTGTTGACAAGTACCAGTGGCTTTTTATCACAAACATAGTTTGGACAAGCAGGATTATTCCTGACTTGAAGAAATGGGTGACAAGACACCCCATGGATCTTAGATTTCATGTCACACACAATTTATTGGGGCATGGGTATTTCAGGCACTACCTATGCTGTATGGGGAGTGCCCCTGACACAGATTGCGTTTAATGTCGATACCCAGAGGATACAGCTGGGCACACAGTGTCTTTTAGACTGCCCTCACTGAAAATCCTTCTGGTCACCAGTTACGGCGTTTGTTGAAGGCGGCCTGCTGCCTGATCTTTCAGACTTCATATACAAGATCTCAGACCAGAAAATTCAAACTGGCCATGAAAAGCCTAGCTCTCCCTCTATCAAGGTTAAGATTACAAGGGGATATTGATGGATGGCAGTCTACTCATCCCTTTCTAAAGCTAATTTATATAGCTTAGGAATATATGAGCCTTTCCTTAGGGTAACAGTTCTCAAACTGGGCTCTGTGGAGCCCTAGGTCTCCGTAAGAGTAGCCTAGGGGCTCCGTGAGCACATCTGTATTAATTAAATCCAAACTATTATTATATTTCTCAGTTACATTTTTATATTTATAATTTATATTCAATATTATTTATATATTATTTTAAATGTTTAAATCCTTATACTATTTATAAATCCGCATACTTTGTGTTGTAGTTTAGAAGTTTTAGTAGGGCTATGTGTTTTTCTCAACATAAAAATATAAAATTGATAGTTTTGCATTGTTAAACAAATATTTACAATTTATCCAACGATATAATTGGGTTAAAATTCCATTTTTAATTAACAATAAGCCTGAAGACTTATCTATAATGGAGTATGAAGAATTTATGAAATGACCACCGAGTTATCGTTAAAAAACTGTATTTGATAAAATTTTAAGATTTTATTTACAATTCTGCGTCATTATTAATTACCAAAGATACGTTTTGACAAACAATTTTATTACAACTCTATAGACAAATTTTTGTCTATAGAGTTTATAAAGATATTTATAATATTAGTGCAACAGTGTGAAGTTCAAATCTCAGATACCATTACAATTTTTACTAATTATATTATTGAAAAAATAAAAATAAATATTAATAAATAAACATGCCCGATTAACCAATATACTATTATTATTTTAATCTGCGAACAATAGCAACCATACAAACAATAAACAAAAATATATTATTTAGCACCACTGTCATTTCATCACCACCACACATTCCTCTCAGAACCGCAACTTTATAGGATTAAATGTATGTCCAAGAATATGCTCCTTTAGTCCTCTTTATTTAAAAAAAAAAGATTAATGACATGGGTACATGTATTCTCAAGCGATGCCGTGATAAAAGAATAGGGTCCATTTTTATACATAGATTGTAATTGTGTTTTTAATACAAAAATAAATAAATTTGATTGACTCATAAATTTATGTTTTTTTCTAGAGGTATTGAATAAGATGAAACACCAAATAGGTAGAGGTTGAACTTTCTTTTTACTCTACTCTGAAAATTCAAATTTTTTTTTAAATTACACAGCCCCCTTAATAAATAATTGCTGACCTCCTAAGTTCGTCCATAAGTTATTTAATAAACAATGGCAGTAGTGAGAGAAGTATTGTGTTAAACAGACCCTTCACTGCTGTCGGTTATGCATAGAAAAAAATAGTACCAGTGGCCTTTAAGTTGTAGCCAAATTTTTTTCAGTGACACATTTCAATCACTAATAAATAAAAAAACTTTTTTTGTACAAAAAAGATAAGCAATTAGCAAACATAAATACATACTTTTTCTCGGTTGAATTATTGATTTTTCCTTTTTGAAAGATGTCTTTATTAGTGATATATTTGTTCCAAAAATGTTATTGTCTACAAAAAAATGAATATTTAAAATACAAAATAAATAGTTCGTCTATCTTTATTATATTTTAGGAGTTAGAAAGAACATACATACCGTAAGAAAGTTCCACTTTTTTTTTATATGTAATTGTAGGTTTCTTTTTTTTTTTTTTAGTAGCTAAAAACAAAGTAGTAAATAAATTAAGTATTAACTCAAATATAATAATATATAAATATATATATATATATACACACACATAATATTTTGAAATAAAATAATTACTTAGAAGTACATACTTTTTATTGGTTGAATAATTGATTTATCTTTATCAAAAGATGTCCCTAGTGATACATTAGTTTTAAAATGATTATCACCTATAAACAAAAGTTAATGTACTTGTTGTTAAATTCAATCTATACTTTTAAAACAATAATAGACATTTTTAGTTCCCAACTTACTTGCTAGTTGTTTTTGTTTTAGTTTATGTCTTGTCATATATCCATGAGATGCTGGAACCACATTATTAATATCTTCTTGAAAGTTCGGTTTTATTTTTTTACCTGAAAAACCAAAAAAAATCAATAGAATTTTGTTATCCACAAATAAAATTATCAGATTTAATTTATACAAAATGAGTAGAACACAAATTGAAAAAAATAATAATCAAATAAAACAACAAAATAAACATCATTGTATAACTTGTGTCTAAACTGGATTTACATTTATAATTATTTTTTTTTAAATCATTATTCAAATTAATATTTATAGTAATCTAATTATTTAAATAGAATCTAACTCATAAAAATTCATTATTACAAAAATTGAATTAGTACATACTATTTTACCCTACTAATATTGTAAATACAAAGTTTGTTAAGATGTATATTTGTTATCACTTCTCACTCACCGGGAACAACTACTTTTTACTTTAAAGTCAACCACTAATAAAGAAGTAAGGGTTGACACAGAGTAATTGATATTAGAAAACAAAAATTGGATTATTTTTTTTTTAATTTATGAGTAAGAATAAAATAAAATAAACCAAGCAAAAAAAAAAAAAGAAGGAACACTGCTGGTGTGTCACTATTTTAAGTGCAAAGGATGTATAAGTTTACTAAATTGATTTATATAAATAATGATAAACCATTGTTAACAAAATATGATTCCGAGGGAAGTTTGGAAACATGATATAAAAGCCTTATTATTTACAATTTTTATCAAAATTTAATTTTAAAACCAATATAAAAAAAAAGATGAACATACTTAATACGATGGGTGAACCACTGTTGTAGATGAGAGGTTGGAAAAGTAGGATATAAAGGGGAATTTAATGTATGTCTATAAGCAAAGATTAATCATTGCTTTTTCAACAATATATATGTCATATTATGAAGGCTTGGGTCTCTAGGTGCACCCAAAATGCATTTGTTTTTTCCCTGATATCTACCCAACGTGATTTTGTATATTTTTTTCTGTTAAGTCTAAAAATTTTATCCTCAGAGTACCTACTTATTAAAAATTATATACAAAACTCGCAAAATTAAAAGGTCTATAAATATTTCAAAAATGCTTGAAAAGAAATATAAGTTTTCTGTCCAAATTTCAAATCTCTATAAATATTTTTAACTAAATTATAACAAAAAACAAAATTAAAAATAATAAAAGTATTACTTTCATAAATGTTTTCATTTTATCTGGGGTTTTCCCAGATATTATAAAAACTGCCTTAAAAATCAAAAAATGACCTCCCTTAAGTACCATCCTGATAGAATTTCCTTTCAGAAAATGTGTTACATTTATATATCAAAGCAAGATTTCTGGTAAAATTTTTTGTCAAAGTAGAACACAAATTAGCTACAACTTATAATGAATTTTCTCTTAAATTTGAAATTAAAATAAAAAATGCCTATAAAAAGTTTAAATTGGCAACATTTTACTACATCTAGAATGGGAAAATATATGTTTTCTGTCAACATTTCATATCTCTAAGAATATTTTTAATAGAATCAGAAAAAAAAAATTAAAAAACCAGTATTTCTGTAAACGTTTCAATTCTTTTTATTTTTTACCATTTTTTCTCAATTATTAAGAAAACTAGGTACACTAGAAAAATATAAGACTTTATCACTCACCAACTGAAACTAAAATTCAACAAAAGTGGTTGTTTGTCGTTTTTCTATTGGAGCAATATTTCCAATAGAAAACATAAACAGTAAAAATTTAAATAACACAATCACTGTAACATTTGTCATTTTACATCTTCCAATTTTTCCTAATTATTATGAAAATTGCTTGAAAAATCTTAAAACCTGACTTACTGGTGTCCAGATATTTTTGGATCAAAACAATATTTCTAGTAGAAAAAATGTGCGTATAACAATGGAATCGGTAACACAATGACACAACATAAATATTTACTCGTTTACGCTTGTATAATGATTAGTCATTAATAAAGTTAAAGAACCATTTTTTTTAAAAACATTTATTCTGAGATGTAAAATTCATTGATATATAATAGATTCAAGGTTAAGCCATGGATGTTTGTTTTTATATTTCAAATTAATCTCAAAGTTAATTTTGTTCTCAGTTAATATACAAGACGTATTATGTATACCTGTTTTAAGACGTAACTGTAATGGTCATTCTCTTATATATCTGTGAATGATTGTAAAATTTGATCTAGAATCATTGGCCTCTAGAATGTTATATAATTCAAAGCTTTTGTCTATAGATTAATAAATGGTAACTACTCTGCCAAAAATTCCTAAGGAAGATAAACTTTAAAGTTCCAACTTTCAACTCAAGATTTCAATTGTTTATTTGACTATACCTAAGTAAAAGTAGGTAAGTATCTAGGTAAGTAAATAGGTACCTAAATAATAATTCTATGAATTCTAACAACTGGATTCAATAAATACAAATTATTAAAAACACTAGGTATTAGTATTAAGGTATTTGGTTGTTTTAATAAAATATTTTTTATGATTGTACGATTTTTATTTAATTGATGAATATTTGTTTCATGGGTAAGTATGGAAAATATAAAATAAATTAAATTTTTTACTCACAGTTTCCCACAGACTCTTCTGTTACTTCAAAAACTGATCTTTTCGCAATAATATTTTGGTAACTAGATGATGTTAACAAATTACCTGTAAAAAATTTAATAAAATAAGATATTATACAATAAAACGACATCATTTTAAAATACATAAGAGATTTTATAAAATTTTTAATGAGTTAAATAAAGATTATATTATAATATAATAAATAATATTTTACATACTATTGCTCGAATTCATGTTTATTTAGTTGACTCCAACAGTTTTTCACATGAATAATGTAATAAATAAAACATAAATAATATTCATTTGAATATTGTATTTTATTCGACGAAAATTATGGGTTTTGATGACAGAAATCCATATGACCAAGACCAATAACGTTTAAAAGCATAACAAACTGACCGAACGTCTAGGCACCTTTAAAAACGTAAACGAATAAGCGCCATCACAACTTCTCCTTAATGGGAGAACACGCCTAGTTAAACTTAATATTTATAATTGAGATCCTGTTAACGATAATACAAACCGACAATCGAGGAAGTTTTGACGGAATTTAAAATACCACGTTCGGCGAATATAGTCGCCGGCCCCTCTCTATAATGAAATAACACTATCACAATATCACTGCACCGGTCCAAGAAATTGAGATTAACAAACCAAAGTAAACGGTCCGAGGCCTTGACGAACAACGGAGTGGGATCGATTGAGCGGCGGCGGGTGGAGGTTCGGCAAGTTTCAACGAGTTAGCCAACCGATCAGTGTCGGGTAAAAGTTTTAGAATAATTTAATTTGTAAATGAGAATGATAAAACATAAATGTTTATGAAATATTATTAGATTATATAGGTACATATTATGGTATATTGTGTAGAGTAGACTTTATAAACTAAAGTTTTGCTTAGATAATATTAAACGTATATGATAAGCACAGTTGATTGATATTTGTCGTAGTTGGTAGTTTAGATAATATATGATCTACCAAGATTTTAACTACAACATGGTATTGACGGAGTTGTGGGAAATTCAATTTTATCGTACCAGGCTGGCACTGCAGAATACCTGTACTACGTTCTTTTGTCATCGTACGCGATTTTGCGTAGCAGTCAGCAACTCAGCAGACGCCAGACAGTTTTGTCTCCAACCTGGAACAGTGCGTTGTTTGTGTGTCTGTGCGTCACAAAACGTACGTGGGATGCGATTGATTGCTCGGCAACTTTAATATCAATAATTAAATATTATCATCCAGTTTTATTGTCGTGCCGTTGAAATTTTAATACGGGAAATTTTCAGGAGTCCATTCGACGATTATCGTTTTTCTTTGTTCCAACGTAATAATATTTAATACATTGACGATATTGTTAAATTATCGCAGAATACGTCGGTCGTTTGTACAAGGTGACGGTAGTTGAATAGTGTTCGCAGTCGGTCACCGCTTTCGTAGTTAGTATCGCCCTTTCGCCGAGACTGAGGCCAAACGCGCGTAAAATACGACCATATTATTCGCAGCCATATACACAATATGGCCGTGTGAAGAACAATAATTTATAGGACTAACAGCGCCATTCAGTCACACTGTGTTTGGGAAAAAATAATGAAAATTTGTTTTGGCCCGAAATACATAAAACACCGTTCTAGGTAAGTCTAGATAATTTTAATCGTTATTATTGTTTTCACCCTTTTCCCCCAGGGGCCTCTTTGCTCTTCCCCTTTCGCCGCTCACACTCGTTCGTCCATAACACGCGGCGGTTGTGGTGTGCCTGTAGGCTGCAACGTCGTCATTACGTCGTCGACCGCCGCGTTTGTCTTGTACTTGATGTGCTGTTGACTGGTCACTGCTGGTTCTAGTTAAAATATTTTTGACGTTGGTTTAAGTTTAGTCCATACCACAGCATAAGTGGGTAGCATTACATAGGTAGTGTCTGCGTGCGCGGCCTGCCACCGCCGCCGACACGACTGGAGAGTGGACGAATAATAATTAATAACACCAATAAGAAAACGAGGTCAATATGGAAAGGTATTAGCCGCGTGTTACTATTAACGTGTTACCCGGCCGTATGTTTTTATTTCATGTCTGTCTGTTCCGTGTGTCGTAGTTGCTATTGTCCGATTTTTCGGATCTCGTGTCCGTGTATCCTTTGTTAACGTTGTGACCCGTGTTCTATCTCTCCTAGTGGACGTCGTCGATCTGTTTGGCATTTTCAACCAATATACTATTGAGTCTTGACATTGCCAATATAATTATCTAATTTATCGATCGTTATTATTTTCAATGTATTCGTGTCACTAGCATACGTTCACGTCAACAATATAATGTTTGTCTTGAGTATTTTACACTTCAAAAAAAAAATATATCTGAAAACGTTCTATTTGATGAAAAATTCCGTCGTATTAGGTAGGTTTTAAAATACTTTTGATTTTTATTTTTATCTCAATCTTATTGATTCCTATTGCTTGTGGTGGTGTAAAACGAAAAATAGTGTTGGTAATATACTTTTAGTCATTAGCTATTGTTTATGGTTTACTATTTTCATTCTATGCTTTAATTTCCATTGCTATTCTAATAAAATGAATCAATAGATATAAATTATGTGTGGATTTGCATGTAATTACATAAATGAAAAGAGGTATAAGAATTTTTCAGTTCAACTTAAAACAGATGTTGCAATAAAAAAAAAAAACACATAGTTTAATTTTGATAGCAGGTGGTAGATCATATCTATAACTCCATTATATATTGATTAATAATATTAGGTAGGTGATTAAATTTTATAATAAACTAAGATTTGTTCTAGTAGTTTTCTGGACATTTTATATTTGTATTGACATAAGGATAAAATTACTAAGTAATGTTCAAGGGTAATGTTATTGTTTCACATTTTTTTTTTTTTTTTGTAAATCAGATTTAACCTTTAGCAGCTTGTATTAGGGCATGTAAACTATGTAAAAACTTTATTAGATTATTAAATTTATATACCTACTAGTTAAATATCATTGGTTATTATTTATTATGCACAATGCACATAGTTTGTGTATTATAACAGTTATACAAATTTTGAAGCTTTTGACATTAATAAGAGTGTCTATTAAAAATGAAATAATTTGCGGAACTTAAATTCACCGTGTTCTGGGTGGCCATATCAATATTAGGTACATGCGACGACACATCTTCTAGAATACCTCTGAAAAAACCATAGTTTTATGGATCAAATTTAATGTGTGCATGGGTCTTAATTTTATCTTGCCAAGTTTAAACTTTGATTTAGTTAGATGTTAGTTCCATATTATATTTACCAAACAAAATATAGTTCGTTAAAGAAAATTTACGAAATTACTGTAGAAAAAGACAGCAAAATAGATAAAAATAATATAAATAGACAATTTATTCTAAAACTGATCTTAAATTATAAACTGCAGTGTAAAGTATCAGTCTACTGCTAGTCTATTCCATATTATTTATACTTTGTTCGCTTTTGCTATAGTAGGGTTTTCATTTTTCTTTTTTTTATTTAGAGTTATTTCTGTTTTTTCGTTTGCTCTTTAGTTTTTACGAAGTTTGATTTTTTAAATTTTGCATATTTAATTAGTATTAACTCAAAAATATGTGTATTTCAGTGCATGTGTATTATTGTGTGTAAAATGTTGTAAAACAATGTACTTAATTAATGTGTTGGAGATTTGAACCTAAAACCGCTCAGCTGGTGTTTTTTGTAAATACCATTGCACCAACAAATTTATAGTATAGGAAAGCATTTTTAAATAAAATGTAAATACTGTTAACCTATCTATAAACATATGTTTTTGATTATTTTTGGCCACCCTAATAATTTTTTTCAGACACCATATTATAGTATATATTACTCAGGGCTTATGTAATAATTCTATTGATACCACACTAATTAAATTTAAATTGGTTTAGGTTATATAATTTGTAAACACTATACGCTTTTTGAAGTTGGGTAATATTATATTTCTTCTATTTTATTTAAAAATAATAATTTAGATTAATCATCACTGTTTACATCATTCTCAATATGATTCTATTCCTCTGGATTCATTTCTATATGTAAAAATGCAAAAATAATAGTTAATACTCAATAGTGTACCTATACTTGTGCAATTTTGTTTATTGTAAAGAAACTTTTCATAACTATGTTCTCCAAGTATTTTTATTTATTATACTTAGTAGGTATTATTTGTACATAATATATATATATACCTATCAGAATACTTGATGAATAATATTTTTACATTTATTATCTAGGTACTAAATCTAAATATCTAAATTGGTAACAATTAGGTTTGTCTTACATGAAAAAAAACTTAGATTGCTAAAATTACTTACAAGTGTCAACTTAATCTTATCTTAAATTTATAAATTAAATTTTAAAACAAAATCTGAGTAAAATGAATTATATTATTATTTATTATCAATTTTATTACTTAACATTTTAAATTTTTTTTAAAATTAAGTATATGTTTAGTTTTTTTTTTAACATTATTAATTTGATAATTGTAGATACTAAATACTCATACTATATGTGATATTATATAGTATACATTAATTGAGGCGCCCAGAACCCAAGAAGTATAAGTGACATTTTAGTGATTTCAAGCAAATCAAGTTTAAAGTTAATAGGATTTAATATTATTATAGCATACTATCCTATTATCATCATTGTTCTTGTATTCTAATGATAAAAATTTTAGCCACTTGGCAATAAAGAAACATAAGTGTGTTAACAGCTGTTGTGAACCCTTGTACAATCTAATATCGTGCTTGTACCTAATTATTTCTATTCTGTTTTGAATCTGTTATCTTCATTTGAAGACTATTTTAGTGAAACCTAGTATTTCATACTAGATCGCAGCCCATGACTAATAATTTCGCTGCCAACTATTCCTCACAATATATTTTTTTCATTCTGGCCGTAACTTAGTTGTTTTTTTAGGTATGCAGGTGGGATTTTCACTAGTATACAGGGTGATTTTTTTTTTATCATGAACCAACAATTATCTCTGAGTTTTTTAAGTGAATTTGATTTCTGTTTTTTCCAATCATTATTGAATTGTTTAAGCTTTATTTTAAAACCATTTTTAGTTTTTACTCCTACTCCAAATACCTTAAATAAATACTTATTTTTGATTTTCAAAAAGGAACATAGATTTGAATAGTGAATATTTTTCTAGAAATTTTGATATGTATAACACTCTGAAAATATAAAGAAGATACAGCAATACGTAAGTCAAATTATGTAAGTACAATTGCTTATTTGTCAGTGGTTTGGGTTCATCACCACAGAGGCGCACTACTTCTATTATAGCATAATATATTTATATTTTTTGTTGATAATGGAAAATATCTGGTAATATAGTAATAACTGCAAATCTTATGTTATTATTTTACGAGACGATACTACCGATCACCAAAGGAACACTTTTTTGATCTGTAATTCAGAAAAATTGTATATTTTTTTAATTCAATTAAAGTATATTTACGTATGAATATTATGAATTAGTATCAGTGCCTGCCCGATAGATTTCGGAGCCTGGTGCAGAAATTTGTGGGGTTCCATATATATTTATTTATTTTATTTTCCAACGGACTTACTTTATTTTCATATAATTTTATAAACTTTCTGGTCTTGTTAGAAATCTAAATTTGTATACCTTTATATAAACTAATAAAATCAAATTTTTATTTTTATATTAGCCACAAAATGAGCTATGTATAATTGGTACTATCTTGATTTTCATCGATAACAACCCATGTCTGGTACCAGATAGTAAAAAAAAAAAAACTGTTTATATCACCAATCAAATAAACGATTCTTATCAGTACCTGACTACTTGAAATAAACGTCACAGTTGCTGCTAAATGCAGCTATTCCTACCATTAATTAGGCATACTTAATCAATGCTGCTACTAAATGTGACTGGCGACTACTATCAATTTGAGAAAATGTTGAAATATAATGTGTTATTATGAACACATTAAATCATTAAAACCCTAGGTATATATTTTAAAATAGCTATCTCTAATAATAATAAGGTAACTGTGTCGTTTATTCCAAGTAAGCAGGATGTATTGATAAGAACCGTTTTTCTTTACTTACTGGTTGTCTGGTGCTATTATAATGATTACGATGTCTGGCTATTAAATAACGAGACTGCTTATGAAAAATGGTTTTATTTTAAAAATTATTCCACAACCAAATGTTCCCCTTCAATATACTCTCCTCTCCTCTTCACACACCGTTTCATTCGTTTCTTCCATTGCTCGAGGCAATGCTGGAAGTCTGTTTTCGTAAGACCATTCAGGAGTTTCGCCGATTTTTGTTTCACCTCTTCCATCGACTCAAACAGGATTCCTTTTAAGTCAGACTTTATCTTCGAAAACAAGTAAAAGTCGCAGGGTGCCAAGTCGGGTGAGTAAGACGCGTGTTCGAGTACTGGAGTGCCTTAAGCGGCCAAATAACGCTTCACAGACAGGCAGGTGCGTTATCCTGGTGCAAGATCCATGACTTGTTTTTCCACAATATCGACCGTTTCTTACGAACTCATTCGCGCAATGTTGCCAAAACTGTCAAATAGTAATGTTGGTTCACAGTTTGACCCTCTGGAACCCATTCAGTCATCACGATGCCGTTGATATCGAAGAAAACGATCAGCATGGTTTTGAATTTGGATTACGACTGAATTGGATTCCGGTGCACTCTCGACCTTCAGAAAATAATTTATGCCACTCAAAATCACGCGCCCGAGATAGGAAATCCTCACTATAGGCCTCTTTTAACAACTTATAGCACTCAGTTGGAGTTTTTTTTAGTTTAACGAGAAAATTTTACGTTTATCCGTTGCTCATGTTTTTCGTCACACATCGTTTTCGGCAAGAGAAAAAAACATGTTCGTTTCTAAACACTACAGAAAAAATACTAATGCACCAACAAAAACCCAATTTTGTACTGGCATAATAGACACTTCCAGCTAACCAGCGATGTATTCGGTTTTCTCCTAGTCTTTTTGGGACGCTTTCTGCGCGCACAGCCTCGTTATTTAATAGCCAAACCTCGTATACGATAAATATGCGACGAATACTGATACGCATACGCAATAGACACCAGTCCCCTTAGCACCACGAATTAAGATATCACAAATTCTCCTGAAAACTATGAATTGTGTCGTTTAGACCCGTTTGCCGTGTTACCATCAATATTATATTTCATAGTTATTGAGTAGAACAAAATACAAATTTCCTACAGGCAATGCACGTGTGTATGAAAAATAAATAATTTTAAAATAGTTATGATAAATATTTTGTGTAAACAAAACTGTAAAAGAAAAGTATAGTTGCCTATTATTAGCTGTGTAAAGGAGATAGTGAGGGCATAACCCTCCATAATTTTAGCACCCGCTAAGTTGGTGGTCTAGTTGCGCTTATAACTATTATCCATAAACCTTATATTAATAGACGGAACATGCATGGTAGGCCTATACTAACCTCAAGAGAAGCTCGGTTCACAGAATAGCGGCCAACTAAGGACAATTATTAAAGCGCTCCTACATTCCCGCCTTATTACTATCTGAAACTATCCTTTTTAATCTATGTAGACTTTGCTTAAAACAGATATTAAGTTGAGACATTATAATGATGCTAGATTAAATTCAGCTTTGTACAAAGCAATGATGTACAGACTATATGTCTAAAAACAGTCAATTTTTTAAAGAATATTTTAATGACTTCATCAATAAAAGAAAATCTATATATTTCTTAACCAAAGTGAAAAAAAAATTAAATTTTTAATAACATACAATGAGTCAAATGCTTTCTTTGATCAAATAATTCAATTTTATACACATTTTGATAAACTAATACTGTAATTTGTAAAACCTTTTTTTACGAGGTCAGGAAGGTTAATAACAACATCCCTATGCGTTCAAAATTAACTAAACTAATGCATTAGATATTATTCATGTCTAAAATATATCAGTTAAATAGTAGATACGAATTGCCAATTATTAACCTTGATGTGATACTTCAGCTACTGTTTTTAAACTTATCATTATTTTATGTGTTATTGTGTAATAATTATATCATGCAAATAAATGTGCATTACAATATTGGATAAAAAAAAAATAAATATTTTCTTTTTTAATTGACTCATTTGAATTTAAAAACAGGGATTGTATTTTATCATACGTACTTAAAGAATATAACTCAAAATATTTGTTTTATTTATTCAAAAACCAAAAATTATAGCCTATTCATGTCTTTATTATCTTTAGGTACGACACCCTATCCTAAGTCGTGGTAAAATGTGTTTTTGTCCCCAGCCGTGGGTTCCACTTTAGTGGTGCGCTCTAGTTGTAGTTATATGTTTATCATTTATAGATTCAAATTTTACCACTAGATAACGCAACCTGAGCGGACCCGTTAGCATATAAACATTTCGTACATGAGCTCGGCACCTGTATTAAAATAGTTTTAAGATTGATTTTTTTGAATTTACCGCCCAATATTTTGTATAATACACATAGTACATATTAGAATAATTTAAATGAAATGTATATACCTTAAAAATAACCCTCGATTTGTTATACAAAACCATGTCGGGTAGGTAATAGGAAAAAATGAAAAAGAATTTTGGGTGCACCTAGAGACCTGGCAAGGGTCACTCGTTCCCAGCGCTCGCTTGAACCGTTGTTTTAATCAAAAATAACCCTCAATTTGTTGTGTAACTCCATGTCAAGGATAGGATAAAAAAATAAATCTGGGTAAAATAAAAATGTTTGAATCATATACGGAAATTAGATGCGTGTTTTTTTTTCACAATAAAAATTGCAAAAATTTATTACGTCTCAGACGGTATTGAACTCGGTCACATACAGATACATATCTTACTTGTAACGCGTTCCTAATACGCCACGGTCACTTCTGAAATGATAAAAAAATGAATAGGTATTTTAGCTAAAACCGTGATAATTGGCTCCAAAAATATTTGGCGGTATATTCAAATAAACCAACCATAAAGCTTGATTTTAATACTGGTGCCAAGCTTATATACAGAATGCTTATATGCGACCCGACAAAGGAGACATTAAGAGTCATGGTTAAACAGTGATTAGTTAGTCAATGATCAAATTTTAATCGTTGTTCTCTGTGTGTTTGGTGGACGATTAGGTTATGGTTAATGAATGATTAACTAATGATGTGGTTGTTTTTATACACTATTTTCATTTTATTACATTACAGCCTGTACTCATTTACGTGATAGTCAGTCTTATCATCATTTATATTATCATTTTACTGAAATAATAATTGTTCTCTGTTTTTGAATTTGATTTTTGTTATAAATATTTTAGATTTTTAAATTTGAATTTTCTTTGTTAATTATCGAGCAATTACCTAAAATTTACTACTCATTTTATGGCATTTTATGCTTGTATCGCAGAAAAACTAAGAACCCAAAAATATATTAAAAAAACCATACGTGAACAATTACGGTTGCGGATAATATCTTCTAGGTAACGAACTGTATTCTATAATAATCGAAATCGACCAACAAATTCATTATCTCTTTACCATGTTTAGTGATCAGTTCGAGGCCGGAATAATCTTGGAGCAGCAATTAAAACTATCAGATTTTCAAATTTCTCATCCTCAAAATCTGAATCATCCATCATAAAACTATAATGTTGCCGAACATATTTAATAATTTATTTGGTATAACATTGAAATCAAAACTCAGTGATAAGACGATTTAATAATAAATTGAAATAAATAACAAAATTAACTAATCAGTATTTAATCGACCTCAGGTGGTCGATTAACTTAACGGGCATATAATCAAAGATTACGGAGTTAATTGGCACTGTATAATAAGAAAAGGTCTTAATTATTGAGTATAGTTTAATCACAGTTTAACCGAGCACTTACAAGCACGATTAAATATATACCGATTGCCTAACGGCTATGTTATAAGTGTTATCACGTGGCAATTAAAATTGCTCTGAGGAACAGCTGCTTAACTAACTTAGTGCCCTCTCTGTCCGTGAAAATAATGTTATATTACAATATTATGTAAAATTATTATATTTCCGCCTAATTTAAAAGCACACAACCATTACGATCACAACTAAAGAAACAACCATGTGCGAATCTAGGATGTAATTATCTTTTTTATAGTGTTTTAAAAAAATATATTTATGAATGTCCAAAAGTATTTTTACATTATAATAGGTATTGTGTTTTACATGAAAAATTATGTCATGTTGTTTATCTGTATGCTCTTATAAAGTTTTAAAAACCAGTACCATTGATTATGAATACTAACGTATTTGTAATCAATGTCAGTACGTTTGGGGTACCGAAGAAAATTTCTTTAAAGGTTGAATGAGAGAAAGCTTTTGGTGTTATACTAGGAAAAAACTTTAGAATACTATTTTAAAAATGGAAACATTTTAAACACAAGTGTATCTGAATAAGGCATCGGAAAATATACAGTTATTATTTTTTTGGTTTATTATTTTGTAATGATCACAGAAAATTGTATTTACTTTAATTTTCTTATAATAAAGCCAAATATTCTGAAAAAAAAAAAAATACTGATATTTTTAAAGCATCCAAAGCTTGGTATAGATATTATTCCAATTAAGTCTGAGTTCCTCGAGATTTCACATGCATCACAAGTATTAATAACAATGATTGTTTTGAATAAAATATAATAAATAATATGTATTAATTTTGTAATTTGTGATTAAAGTTTTAGGTCATAACTCTAACCGTGAATCACTAATGATTTAATATTTCACATTTACAAACATGCATATTTTTTGAATTACGATAGTGATATAATGTATACTCTGTTCAAAATAAGAATAGTAGTCGGCGGCGACGAGTTTTCGTCTCCGTCGGTCAGATTCAAGCCCTTTTTTCATACCGCTTGGTCAACCACCTGTTCAGCCGACGATGTGTTATTTTTTTTATAAAACATACATTTTTTTTTTACCCACATAATGCATTTTAAGTTATTTGTGCTAGTCTGTTGTCGATTATAGACTAATACCGCTCTCTGGAACGGCAGAGCCGACGCACCGCGCGCGTAGTATAGGCGACGCCTATGCGCAGAACTCGGCTGCCGACTGCTATTCTTATTTTGGATACAGTATAGTAGATACATATTTTACTGTGATCTACGAGCGCTACAGAATTGTTTTATCATCCGACTAACATTGTTGTCACAATTACATAGCCCGTTGGGCAAGCAGTATAATATTTTTAACCGTGCTTCCAAGGCCCACTTGCAGACCTAATAATCTAAGACCGTAGGTATGACCAAGATAATTAATGTATCAGTATTGCCAATTCAGATAAATAAAACTATGATTGACCTTATTATTGTGTTACATAATAAAATAATAAAGCCAAATAAATTTATTAAAATTGTTAATACTCGTAAATAAATATATAAATAAATCCCGTGAGTCGCGTTTTACATTTTGACTTTGATATGCCTGATGATGAATTTTTAATTCGAAACCAGTCGTATAATGCACTTGCCATAATTCTCCAGGCGACGCCGCCTGACGTCATTCATTCATTCATTCATTTTTTTTATTTCTGTATTTATTTACTATATTTGTTGTATTTCGATAATTATTCCATTATGACTATCAAGGTTATTTGTTTTTAACTTCGACCATATTACCATAATATAAAGTATAAACTTACTACTTAGTTACTCTTACACTACTAATTTAGTTTTATTTTATACTAAATAGGTAAAGAAATAATAATGACAGCAACCATATACAAGCTTGTACACAAAAAAAAATTCAGGGGGGTTTATAAAAAAAAAAATATTAAATTTGTATAAATAAATTATACAACTATTAATTTTGAGGGGAGGTTTGAACCCTTCTGTATACGTGCCTGTCCATATATTGTTCAATATTTTTAATACGGATTTTTATCGTGAGCATAGACGTCGTGCGGTGTACTTCGGTGCTTTATAGGGACGCGGTTTATTTACGACACTATTATGTTCCGACTTTAAGGATAAGCTCTATGATATTATCTATTAACTTTGGTACGTAATAAGTTGATTATTGTAATTGTCTAGTTTATCACTGACGAATCATCAGTATCGACTGGGGAGTCGATCTAAATAAAAATAAGAGCTAATCCTGAGGATTGGCGCAGCCACTGTTGTAGATGGGTGTTAAGGAAGGTGTGATACATAGTTGTTCAATTTAAACGTGTAACTAACGATAAACCACTGATAACGAAAAACAATTTTCGTCAAAATTTGATTTTAAAACTTCTAAAAAAATTCTGCATTAAATTAAATTTTTTTTTACTACTGAGTAAGACTTATAACTTCCTATCAAATTTTAAAACATTTATTTTAAGTCTCATTTTATCTATAGAGTACCTACTGAATACAAATAATATAAAAAAAAACTTGCAAAATTAAAATGTCTATATTTTTGGTTTTTCCCAATTATTTCAAAAACTTTTTGGAAAATCCATAAATTACCTCCTCAATTCATCAATTGGAGAAAATTATCTTTCAGAAAAGGTGCTGTAGTCTATTATTTGAAGAAAGTTTGCTGGTGAAAAAGTTATTAACAGGAAAAAGACATATTAAAATCAATAGATCCTTGGCTACTCTCCGAATCTAAAAAGAAAAAAAAAGAAATAGCAGTTTCATGGCAACACTGGAAAATTGCAATGTATTGGACCATTTTGAGACTATGCTTTTAATTCCCTGCTGTTTATTTTATGATAGCATGGGTGAGATAAGTATTTACTTCGATACCCCATTTTACTATTTCAGACAGTAAATTGTTCATATGCTTACTGTGCACAATCTTATTGATCGTAGTGTATAATATATACTTAGGGACGGGGGTACTTGTTCGAAAATCAAAAGGTTCCGAAATTGTAAAAGTACTGACAACCATTGTCAAGGAAAAAATGTTTTATATACTCTATCCAAAATAAAAATAGTAGTCGGCAGCCGAGTTCTGTGCATGGGCGTGGCTTTTGCGACAAATATGCTTCAAGAAGGACAATATAGAGTTATTTAACATAACATATAATATCAGAACTTCAAAAAGCTATAATTTCGAAACTGAGTCAGTCTGCCTAATTCTGACTTCACCATCGTTCTTAAATCGGTAATATACAAATGTTCAAAAAAAAAAATATACAAATGTTCAAAAAAAAAAAAAAAAAAAAAATGAATAATTAGATTTGTTCCCCACAATTTTTTACTTATCGATTTTCGTCAAAATTTGATATTAAAATTTCCTTATAAAAAAAAATATATAAAACATCTAGATAGCAAACTTTAGTATTATTATTGTCGCCAACAAAATGGCCGCTGTCCTTATCTAAGAGGTGATTGTTTATGTTTTATAGTATTGATAAGGAACGATGTTATAATATTTAAATATTATGTAGATTGTACACGATATAGTAAAGTTCCAAAATAGTATCTTATCATTTATCATATCAATTTAGTTTGTAAACATTCACCTCTTAAATATTGATTGGCTGCCATTTTGTTGGCGACATTATTTTATACGTATACACTATAGCAGTCGTCTATTTAGTTTTTCCATCTGTGAGTAATACCCAGTTGTCAAAAAAATGATAAGGTAATTGTAACTACAGTGTCTTTCAATAATACTAACATCAAAAAGATAAAATTGAAATCAAAATGTAGTTACACCAACAATATAGGAAAAAAATTGTTTTAAATTATTTGAAATATGTATTCGTGATATACGGAAATATATAATTATTTTTGATGTATTCAATATGTAAGTTTTTTTCTTGTAATTTATTACGAAATTCATAGTCTTATGCTATAATTCCTATATTTTATATTTCATTAACATAAAGATCTTTTTTATTTTATAATCTGATTTTTTTTAAAACAAATTAAATAATGATGGGTATGCATGTTAGTATACTTTTATTCATTTATACACATTTTAATTCAAAATCTATCGTCGAAATAATGCAATAGTCGTGCACTACGGTTACCGATTAAAACTGTCCGATGAGTATACACTGATTTCAGATAAATTGTTTATAGTTTGTAATTTTTGACAAAGTCCAAGTACGTCCATAAAAGTGACAAAATATGAAATTATTGAATAAAACACCAGAAGTGTACTATGCTTATTAAGGATTACTTTTAGCGCAAGATTTAACGTGTGTGTTATAATTCTGATATTTGGTACCGGCTGTATGTGGGTGGGTTCACAACGAGCGCGCTCCCATCGTCAGCTCTGGTCGTACCAGGTGGGGATGCGCGCCGTCGAACGAAAACTGGTCGGGAAAGCGGTATGTTCTCTTTTGAAATTGAGTACTGACGCTTGTGTTTTTGCAACAGCCAAACACTTTTTCATCAAACTGATTACGATGTTATCGGTTCGTTAACTAGTTATTAGCACGATAAGATAGATCTATCTTGTTTTCCTTCATTTTTCCCTTCTTAAGTGCTTTTATTTAAAAAATGACGTCGAAAATCAAAAAATTACCTGATTAAAATATAATCTAGACAACTTGGGCCTTTAGAAAAATTGTTACACTTATACATCGGAGCAAGTGTACTATGAAAAAACTTGTCCACAGGCTAGAATAAAGAACAATAAATATACAACATTGTAAAACCAATAGCTCCCTCTCTACGCTCGTAATCTCAAACAGTTTGTTAAATTTACAATTTTACATATATTAACGGAGCCCACAAACTATAACTTACTTTGTTTCTATTCAATTAAATAATCAGGACGACCTGAAAACAGTGGCGTGACCAATGGGAAGGGATGTAACAAGTACAAATCGTGATAAAAAAAGTAAAATTGTCTTCTTTATACTCGACTATGGAAATTGGTAATTTAAAAGCCGGATCCTAAAAAAAAATCCAATTTCTAATCAATACATTAAACTTTTTCTCAGAAATTTATCAGTTTTTCGATATTAGATTACCTATATTTTGTTGTATTTTTAAACCAATGGGGAGAATATAACCCCAAACTTCTTCCCCTCTTTGATACGCCTCTGCTTATAAAAGGTTTTTGAGTAATATACATTAATATGCTGTATTGTATAGTTTTTATATCTGTGATAATACATTATTGCGCACAATTTGTATACCATTTATTGGTAAAGTACTCATTCATTTTTATCAATCATTATTTTAGTGACTTAGAAATATATTGTAAACACTTGTCTTGATAAACTCTTACTAAATTATTTACTTATTCAGTGTATAAACAAACATAAAGTTAAGTTCATATTTTGATTCAAATATAAATAGCTAGTCTTAAAAGTACTATAAGTACATAATTCTTGTAGATATCGTACAATTTTTTATCTATAGCCCAGATATTTTCTGAAAGTAATATTACTATATTATACCCAGCCTAATTGGATTTTTTGGAACATAATTAATCTAGTATTAATGAAACAACTTTAAAATAAGTATAGTAGAAAAATACTTTTTTTTGTTAAATATAAATATATTTATTAAAAATATTATAACACTGTTTAATTGTATCATCTAAAGACATGTTATTGGTGTCATTAGTAATAAGTTTTTTTTTATTTTGAATACACCTATTTTTATATTATTTACAGTCTTATATTTACATAAAAGAAAAATTTGATTAGTTACTACAATATTTTTAAAAGTTTGTATCCAGTTGTAATATTAAAATTAGATCAGTTTAAAAGTCAAAACACAAGATTACTGAATTGAAATTATGAAAAATAAACTATTTTAACATTATGCCGAAGGTTTTACATTTTTTTTTTTGTGATACAAGAACTGAACAAATTTTTTTCTTTAAAATTTAATTATTTGCCTATTAAGGAATGCTAAAAATGTAGGATCCTAAATTAAGGGCACTAAGTTTTACAAATGTACTCCAATTTTACTATCATTGGTAATGATACAAATTTTTTACTAATCAAACCTACCCATATATTATTGATACCCATTTAAGATAAAATGGTACAGTCAGATAAAAATATTGGTACTTACAGAAGTTCAGTTTTTAAAGTAAAAATATATTTGAATTTATAAAGAAATTAAGTTTGCATCAATCAAAGCACTTTTTTAATTTTATCAAATATTTATAAAGAATAAAATATTTGAAATTCATATGGATTTGTAAGTGATAAAATAAAAAATATTTATATGAAAACTATGCTTCTACCAATGCAAAGTAAAATATCTTATAAATTTATATATGTTTATATTTTTAAAATCAACCTACAGGACCAAGTACCTTAATTTTTGTTAGATCTACATAACAATTTGTTTATGATGTTTGCAGTGGCCCTATAAATGTCTTTATTATAATATTTATAATCAACAATTAAATAATTGAATAATAATATGTAGGTACACTGATAATCTTGAATATACATAAGAGTAGTCTTTATTATTATTTGTTTTGTTATTTAATCGGGTTACCCCCAAAATTTGTTTAAACTATAAACAAATAAATTGTGTAAAGTTTTATGCTGTAATTGCAAAAAACCAAAAACTCATATTTTATAGTTTTGAAGAAATTCTGGGAGCAGTCTAATTAAAACCTGTTAAAAAAATTCCCCATACATACATTAAGAACCACTCTAATTTTGTAGGTAAATCAATATTTTGAGATAGAAAAAAAAACCTATTTGTGAAAATATTATTTAAAATTTATCTTAATTTAATTTATATTTTATAGAGTGACATGTACAGCAGTCAATCACAAGGTTTGTGTTCAGAACGGCTGGTGGCTGATGAAAGTGTCGCAATTGTCACGCATCACAAAAAACGCAAGCTGGACCAACTACATAGCGCCGCTTGCGGCCCTGAAAATTACCACCATAATAAATATAAATTGAGTTCGTTACACCACCATTACGAACCAATTGTTGAATTGGTGCCATATGAACCAATCAAGTACCGTAAACATCATGGTACTTCAATTACATCATCCAATATTAAAACTAGTCCAACTTCGGCACATAATCAGAATTTTATACGGGCATCAACTATCAAATTATTAGATACATATCAACGTTGTGGACAAAAGGTAAACAACGTAGGAGTTTAATTTTATTCTAAAAAATTTTTTTTCTTTTATAATTTTATCTTTATTATAAAAAATTGTTACTCACAAATTAATTAGGTTTAATTGATTTAGATTTTTAATAATATTAGATATTATTAGATATTATTCTTATTTGCACTATTAAATATATATTGTTGACTACTCAAAAAAACTTCAGTAATTCGAAATTTAACAAATTTTATAAAGCTGGCAAGAAAATTATTATTGTAGATTGTGGTGTTCATCAAGTTATCTTTGACACAAAGGTAGTTTTTAATATTTGACCTGCCTTAATAAATAGTGATTTAGTTGTTAGTTTTCGGCATCTGATAAATAATAAAACTGGTTATAATTGCCAACATGGCAACATCTGTTTCACAATTACCATTACTAAGGCACTGTAATAGATTTATGCACCCTACCGTTAGTTAATGCACTATAAATATTTGTTTATTTTATAAACATTCCATTCAATAAAAATTAACAACCCCCCCTCCGCTCACTTTTAAGTGGATCTTAAGTTCAACTTTGTCCACTATAGATATGATATTATGATATGATTCAATAATCAAAAATTTTTCTATCAGAGATCTTGCTCTGATTTTTAAGTGTAGCACCTTTTTTAAAAGGAAATCGATGTAGGGATGTACTTTAGGGAGTTAAATTTTTAGTCTATAATATTCGATGAAAATCAACTAATAATCAGTAGTAATAAATAGTCAGTTGCACCCGTCCTCATTATCCTAGGACTTCTCTTTTTTTTTTTTAATTTATAATTTAATAATATTAATAATTGCTTAATGTACATATTGTTTAATACATTTTTAAATATTATTAATATTATTAGCAATTTATTTTATTGATAACAGAAACAGTTACATTAGAACAACATGTTAGTTTAAAAGTTCTCAAAAGTTATTACGTAAGTTTGGCCGTTTAGGTAACTAAAATGGCTATAGGCTACTATAGCTCTTTTCGTTTATTGTCTATACAATATACATCTCCAAAACTAATAAATAATAACCACAGCTCTATTATTTATCACTTATTTGTTATTAGTTATGAAGGTTACCACTTTTTCGATAACAGAAATATTGTTATGAAAGAGAAATAAAATTATATTTTTTCAGAGGAAGGGGGTCCGGGGGTAATACATATCTTGCAACGAACATATTAAGCCAAGTTTACACTTCATGGGAGCAAGCTCGGTCGAGCTGAGGTGATCGCGAGCAATATTACATGTGCGCTCTGTGTAAACACTATGGTCGAGCCGGCCGAAACCGCTTTAACTGGTTATATACAACTGGTTATACATTTGTCCACAAGAATTAAAATAATTGAAATTATTCTAAACGAATAGGAACTATTTCTTGGGAAATTGTATAATAAATAATAATAATGTATCCACACATTAGACAATTATTTTAAAATAGAACTATACAAATATGTTTTTTTTTTTTATTATTATATAAATGAGATTATATTTTTTGTAGCATTTATAAATAATACCTATGCTTACAAATAATAGTTATTTTATCAAAATATCGAATATTTAAATACTTATACTATAAATTATATAATACCTACTAATTATTTAGTTAATTTAATGTAATAACAATAAAATAAATTAATATAATAAGTAATTATTAATTGGTTTCATACTTTTATCATTATATTATAGTTAAATTCAATAGGTACGTCTCTATGAATTAGTAATCGCCAAGCTTTGTGCATAACGAAGTTTTTTTAAAAAATAAAATTATAATTCAATACAGTTGCGCCATAGTCGGCTCAATAACGTGAAAAAGCCGTTCGATTATGATTAACGACCTTGGTTCAAATACTGATAAATCCTTTGAACACGACACCGAGACCGATAATCGTTGGCTCGCGAGCGAAAAGATTCAAACCGAACCGCTCAGTGCTCACTCATGCCTGCGCTCATGTGTAAACGCGGCTTTAGGCACGTTGTCTAATCGGCAAAACCACGATTAAAGTAATATTAATTGCGTTATTGGCGTTGCCTGAATCATCCGGCCACTTGAACAGTGCGTTGCACGAACTGCTATTTCTTACCTCGGCCGTCGCCAACACGGCCAAGTTGTCGAGCAGGATCGTGCACGGCCGGTCATTGATAGGATAATGTTATCGCTAAATTCACGATTCGTTTACGTGTTCAAATGTAAATATTAGTAACATTACTTAAGAGGACTCTACGCCGACATCTACTGTCTCCGTCTTACAAACGCGACACACAGCAAACTTGCGTTCAGTAAGACATATTTTTTGCCGTTAGTTTCAATATTAAAGCAAATTAACTAATTACCAAACTTAAAGGTAAGAAGATTGTATATGCCCAAGCATTGATGTTTTTTTTTGATATTTAAATTTTTAAATTGTGATATTTAACATATTCATATCTCATTTAAGAAAAATGTATCCTACTGAACGCAAATTTGCTGTCTTGCGTTTGTAAGACGGAGATAGTAGATGTCAGTGTGACGTCCTCTTAAGAATTATTATGGACAACAAAATAAAATGAAATTAATATTCGTGAAGTATGTAATATTAAATAACAAAGTAAAAATAAAATAAATAAATAAATAAATGCGTCGCCTGTAATATTATGATAAGTGTATTATATGGAGTATTACCTGGAGAGTACCTGGAGTATTATGATAAATGTATTCATTCATTTATTTATTAAATATATAATATTTGTTTTCATAGAACATCTTGAAACTTAGGTATCGTTCGTTTGTATAATGAAAATGTTAATATTTCAGCTCAATAATTAATATAAACCTGCGCTTTAAGGAAACAATATTACTATTATAATTTTACTATTAAAATATTTACCATCAAATCATATACTTCAGAGTTAGGGATCCCATATGTCCCGTATTTGGGACCAGCGTTTCGGTTTCCCGACCAAATGTTCTAAACAACATTTATCCCATATTTCGAATCCCCATTCCGTATTCAAATTAGCGTGTTATCATGAAATTTGGTAGTAAATATCACTGTAGAAGTGTAGACAAATTACATTTTAAAATTATGTTGACTTATTAATAATATTTATTAACTGACGTTTGATTTCAACATTATTTTTCTTAAGCTTTTTGATTTTAAATGGATAACTTTTGAATTACAGAATAGTTCTGAGGGCTACGCTCTAACCATCACCCCCTCCCACCACATAATTTGTTACAATATATGTAAATTTTAAGTGAGATTTAAAATGTCCTGTATTTATAATACATAAATCTGGGATCCCTTTAGTGAGTTAATGGTTTGGAGCACAGATTTTTGAAATTGTAGTAATACACACATAATATTGTTGTCACTTAAAAACTGAACAGTATTTTTTCCTCAATTTTTTAAATTTAATTATTATTTAACATTTATCTACATAAATCTTAAAAGAGCTATGTCCTATGTAGATGTAACTTTGGGGTGTACAGTGCTAGAAAATACAATATTTTCTTCTCTGATCTGAGCAGTCGAATTTCCAGACAAATGATATGAAAGTAAAAAAAAATTGTCAACAATTTTAGAAGCTATTTAGAATCTGCAGGTGGTACTTCATAAGAAAATAAATTATTTTTGATATGGTTCATTTTAAACATGTCAAATTTAGCACCAAAGTTTAAAAGTCCTCTCTATCAAACAAAGGTCATCCCAATCTACAGTATTAATAAAACTACTATACTCCTCTGATCCACAATAAAACATTACCTTTTTGCTCATATATGTTACTCCCCACTTTGATTGATCGTTGACTGTTACTGAACAATAGTGTGTATGCGCAAAATCAGATTATCAAGACACAGTAATGTTCTCTTGTGGGCTGCACTTTTTGAAATTTATTTCTATGAAACGAAATAGTAATATTTATTTATTAATCATAATATCCCTTTAATTCTGTAGCGTAAATCGTGTGAAGGTGGTGTAACAAATGGTGTGGAATCAAGTTGTGGAGCTGGAGGAGCAAATACTGCATCAACTACTACGACTACCACTACTACAACAGGACAACAAGGAAAACAGGGTGCTGATGGTGATTATCAGTTGGTCCAGCACGAAGTACTATACTCAATGACGAACCAATACGAAGTTCTGGAATTTTTGGGTCGGGGGACTTTCGGACAGGTAGACACAGTTTTTTTAAACTTTTGTTTGAGTAAATATAATCTAAATCATTATATTTAAGGTTGTAAAATGCTGGAAAAAAGGAACAAATGAAATTGTTGCTATTAAAATTTTAAAGAATCATCCATCATATGCTAGACAAGGTCAGATTGAAGTAAGTATTTTATATAATTGTATAAATATCCATATAATGTTTATTATTTTTTGCTTGAGGATAACATTAAAAAATAAATATAAAATATTATTTTGATTAGTCTTTATAAACTAATCATAACTAACCCAACAATTATACAATACTTACCATTTATTTTAATTTATTAATCATATTTCAAGAAATGCTTTAAATATTTTAAATTTTAAAAAAATTGTTTATTAAATATTTTTAAAATTATTTTATTTTGTTCGATTTTTATTATTATTAAACTAATTCATACAAGTTCTAAGTCTATAAATGCAATTTTCGTTTATTAAATAGTATGCAATAAATGGTAAGTGTGCTGACTCAAAGATAATAATTTATTTCCCATAAAGTACTAATAAACTTCTAGCGAAAATGTCACATCTCCATACCTGGTAATTTGATGACGAAAAGAAAAGATCCTATTTCTGATAGTTAATATAGTGACAGAACTTTTACGAATCTGTTAAGTCTTTTACAAAACTTTTATGTCTGATGTTATGTTATTTTATGATATTTTAACTGTACTAAGTGATATACGCGTTAAATTTAATACTAATATCATTTAATTTAATTTTTAGTTTTAGGTACTGTTGTAGTTAATTAAATTAAATATATATTTATTTTAATGAAGGTAAGCATTCTATCACGGTTGAGTCAAGAAAATGCAGACGAATATAACTTTGTTCGTGCCTATGAGTGTTTTCAACACAAAAATCATACATGTTTGGTGTTTGAAATGTTGGAGCAAAATTTGTATGATTTCCTGAAACAAAACAAATTTAGTCCATTGCCATTAAAATTTATTCGACCCATTTTGCAACAAGTTTTAACTGCTTTGTTAAAATTAAAGGTAATTTTAATCTTGTATTTTTTTTTTTTTTTTTACTTCTATTTTAACCATTTTTAAAAAAGTACATAAGTACTATAAATAATATCCATAATTTTTGAAAACAAATATTTTTTAAATGTTAAACATTGTTTTGAACATTTAATTTAATTTTTTTATATAGGATTTAGGTCTTATTCATGCAGATTTAAAACCAGAAAATATTATGCTTGTTGATCCTATCCGTCAACCTTATAGAGTTAAAGTTATTGACTTTGGTAGTGCATCTCATAAAAGTAAAGCAGTTTGTAACACATATTTGCAGAGTAGATACTATAGAGCTCCTGAAATAATACTTGGTATGCATATTTCTTATTATTTCAATAAAGTCAAATTAATTTTTACATTTAATGGTTCAAAACTAGGTTTACCATTTTGTGAAGCAATTGATATGTGGAGTTTGGGATGCGTAGTAGCAGAATTATTTTTAGGTTGGCCATTATATCCAGGTTCATCGGAATATGATCAAATACGTTATATATGCCAAACTCAAAATTTACCTAATTTAGACATGTTAACAAACGCATCGAAAACTTCCAAGTTTTTTTATAGGGATGTTACATATCAAAATAATTGGAGGCTAAAGGTTAGTATTAAAATATTCTTTGATTTTTTTTTTTCTTCTTTTTTATGAATTGCTTTATGTATTTTTATTTAAACTATTATATATACAAGGTGATTTTTTTTATCATGAACCAGCAATTATCTCGGAGATTTTTAAGTGAATTTGATTTCTGTTTTTTCTAATCATTATGAAATTGTTTAAGTTTTATTTTAAAACCATTTTTAATTTTTTACTCTTACACCATATACCTTAAATAAGTACATACTTTTGATTTTCAAAAGTCAGGGTTCCTATTTGAAAATCACCCTGTATGTATATATATATATATTTATAAATGCAATACACAAGTAATAAAAATATATGTATACATGAATATGTTTGGGGTTTTACCAATAATGAGGTAACCCCTATCTCATAAGCCACTCAGATACGATTAAAATGTTTCATTTTTCACTTCCTTGATTTTGTCATGGAGGATCTTACTTATGCAGTGCCATTTGGTTTTATCCTTTGGATATTACATTAATTTCTTCTTACTTTGCGCTTTTGGTTTACTAGCTTTCTAATTTCTAATGGGTAAATCATTTTGTATAAGATTTTAAAGTCTTCAACCTCACTGAGAAAGTGTTAGCATCTTCTTGAGTATCCCTAAAAAGATTTCAATCTGTGCTTTTGTTTGTCTGAAAATTTTTTTTTTCCTTCATTATAACATTAAATTTGAGCTTGACTAAAGTAGTACAGGAATGTAGTTAAACATGTGGTTAGTTCTATTAGGCCTTCAGTTTGAACATAGTTTCAGGAGATACCTTTAATAAAAAAGAAGTCAAGAAAATTAGGGGTTTTATTTGGATCATTCGGCCAGTAGGTTGTTATTGTCAAAAGCAAAACTAGTAATTTGTACATAAGGGGTGAACATTGCTATGGTTAAACTAGTTTCTGTTAATTATGCTGTATTACAGAGCAGTTCTTGTAGGTTGCGATGTATGCTTCTCCACAGTTTGCAGATTTTGGATTCGATTTTCTTTTCATTTGGAGTCTTCTGTGCTCTTCACTGCATTTTACACATATAGAATTTATGGCAATAATTTGAGTATAACCAAAGGCCTGCCAGTTTTACACTGGAGCACTTTTTTTTTCTTAGGGGCTTCTATTTCAACTTTATGATAACATAAACTATCTAAATTGTTAATGTCTTCATTATTAATTTGTGGTACTAAGTTTATGAAGGGTAAGGGTAGTTTTATTCTTGTCCATTCCTTATTTTTTGTCTTTTCATTTAGATATTTGATGTGAAGCTACTTCACTAGTTAGTCCACTAAGTTTTGTATGTTTTTGACATCACTGGACATCAATTGGTGGTGATTTATTTATTTTAGGCATTGATTTAATATTAATATTTTTAGCCGCTTTCACTTTTTTATTATTATTAGGTATTGAGATTGAATAATACCTGAGTTTATGTAACTAAAATTATATTCGATACCTGTTAATCATTCTTTGATTTTTTTTAACTACATTTAATTTTGAACACTATTTTATAGGTAATGGAAGAACATGAAGCTGAAACTGGAATTAAATCTAAAGAAGCAAGAAAGTATATATTTAACTGTTTAGATGATATTGGCCAAGTAAATGTTCCAACAGATTTGGAAGGTGGTGAACTTTTAGCTGAAAAAGCAGATAGACGTGAATTTATTGATCTTCTTAAAAGAATGCTCTCTATGGACCCGGTAATTTTATCAGCATTTTTCAATTATTTATTTTTATACATTTTTTAATTTTTAAATTTTTAAAAAACTTCAATAGGCTAATAGAATACATCCGAATACTGCTCTTCTACATCCCTTTGTTACACTAGCACATTTGGTGGATTTTGCTCGATGTGATAATGTCAAAGCAAGTGTACAAATGATGGAAGTTTGTCGACGAGCATTACCTGACCATCATTCAAGTTCTGGTCAAGCTGTTCTAGTACCAGCAACTAATGCTAATGTTACACTTGCTTTTAACAATCAGGTAAGCTATTTTTCATATTTATTAAACATTTTTTAAAATGCTAATTAATTTATAAATATAGATAAGAAGTTTATATACCTTCCCCATAAATATAACCTTGTAACAAACACAGTTATGCTTATTTTATGACATTTAAATTTATTTATAATAAATATGATTGTTGTTTTAGTACCAGTTATATAATAGTCGGCCAATGGCTCGCCAATATAGTAGCAGTTCAAACCAACACCAAGCTCATCTGTCAATACTTTGTTCTGCGGGTCCTGGAGCTTATCAAACTGGGACATCACCCCCAAAACATGTTGCTGTAATGCCACCTCCGCCCCACCCATCACAATTGCAAATACAACATTCGACCAGTTTGATTACTCAACAGGTGTATATATATATAGTTAAAAATTATTAATTGTAAACTATTTTATTTAACTTTAAAATCAAGGCAACTAATTATTATATTTGACATACTTTTTAATTGAAATATATTATTAATTTGAATGACAAGTTATGATAAGGTTATTATTTATAGGAAAATAAAAATGTTGTATACTTGTTACTTAGCCTGGTGGCGGTCAACAACAATATGTGCCTGTATCTATGGTTGATGGAAGTCGTCAAATGATAGCTACCTGGCCCGCTCCACCTGGATCTCATCATCGTCAAATGACTATTGTTCCTCCACCTGGGGCAGGAGCAGCATCTGCAGCATGGCATCCTGCTTCTGCTGCTGCAGCTGATTGGGCAGCAGCTACTGTTCCCAGACCACTGCTAGTTGATCCAGCTACTGCAATATTACAAGTACGATTTTTTTTTTTTCCATGTACACATGTTATATTCCATATATATTTTGGTAAATCAATGATTTTACCAAAACATTTTAATATAGGATCAACGGCAAGTAGCATTTACAACTGCTGATGTTTATGATGGTCTATTAGAGAGCCCAACAATGGTTGGTACAATTTGGGGTAGTTCTAATAATAGTGGGAAATCACGTTCAACAAAAACACATATGGCTCCGCCTCAACCACATCATCATCACTCAAATTATCAGCAAGCACCACAAGCCCATCATCATCATCATCACCATAGGCAAGACAAAAAGGATACAATTATAAATACTTCAAATCAGCTCAGTCCAGTAAAAAAACGGGTTAAAGAAGGAACTCCACCCCAAGGTTTGATTTTATTTTTATATAATAACTGTTTACTAAGTAGTTTTCATGAAATTAATTTCTTAAAATTTTATATTTCTGAATTTTTGTTTACCTTAAAACTAAGATATTAAATTTTTTTTATCCCCACGGCTCCCAAAATGTTAATGCCAAAAAAATATAATGATTACATGTAAATTTATCTATGTCATAAAAAATGAAAAAATAAATAATGTAGAAAAAATTGAAATTAAATGATTTATGCTTAGTGAATATAAATCAATAAAAAAAATTACTTCGTATTCAGTGAGATAGATAAATTTGTTTATGTTTCTTAATATGTTAAAATCTTGGCTTTAGTTTGGTTATAGCTATTCTCATTTCTTTCTAAATGTTCATTTTGAACCAATAATTAGTTTTAATTATAGCCAACTCAGAAAATCCAGTTTCACGTAGGTATAAAGTTGTAAAAGGTATTAAATGTTTCACAGCTTTGTTGACCAATTCTAAGTGTTGTAATTTCACATGTGTCCAAAAATAAGTGGTTTAATAATGATGATGATACAAACTTGTTCTTTATTGTAGAATCTGATGAAACATCAATGCACTGTTCTTGTTCAATGTTGGACAAATTAGTTGGAAGGTCAGCACTAAAGGGATTCTTGACCCAGATTTATTGTCGAGTATTCTGTCGAAATAGTGTTCAAAGTGAATTCTGATAAATTTGATTCAATAAGTGGTCAATGAATTTGTTTTTTTGTTGTCACATTTAAGCTCAAATCATTTTTGTTAAAATTGTATGGTACATAGAAAAGCAATTATTAAAATTGTCTTTTCTATATTAATCTTCCAATAAACTAATTTCCTTTGAAACAATTTTCATTTTATCAAGAAGCTCAAAAATGTGGGTTTCATTTTTTTGCAACAATTAATTTAAAATATTCAGCTTAAAAAAAATATCCGTAAGGTATGACATCTTTGTGAAAAATTCAGTGTCTTCATCATAATTTTTTTTGTGTTTATTGTCGTTTAAAAGAAAAAGATGCAGTTCTCTTCTAATCCCAATTACGTTTGATGAAGGCTGAAATCTATTGTAATATCTTTCCATAGACTAAGCTCCATCAGTGCATATACCACAGCAACATTTTTCACATTCAATTATTTTCGGTGGGGAGTGAATCAAACATTTGGAATTAGTCAATTACACTATTTGACTAGCTTCTGTGTATTGAGTATTTATACCCACAGAAGACGTGGTGGTATGGTAGAGGAAACAGGGAATAGTTACTAGTGTTGTGTACATATATACAGAAAGAGATAGAGAAGAGTAAGAGTATGCCCGGGGCATTGAGAGAGCCATTAAGAAGAGAATTGATGATGGAAGTGTGTGTCAGCCTCAATTCGTTGAGATGATAAGGTAGGGATATAAAGGGTAAATTGGATAATGTTTTAGTTATGTAGTTGGTGTTAAATATTGAGTAATAATGCATTGTAGGAATGGAAATATATATGGGAGGTCATTCGGGTAGAATTCAAAATAGACTAATAGTATTTTTCACATGACTGCATGCACACTTTCATACTTTAAACTAACCAGTGCAGTAGATACATTACATACATTCTATTATGACATGGGATACGTTATCAATACAAATTAATTAGAAATCAGATGTTTATTTTTGGAATAGTAAATATTATCTTGTAAAGTTTGAAAAATGTATCAATTTTTAAAAATAATTTATTTATTCATATTTCATTGTAAAATTTCTATTTACAAATGTATATTTTATATTAACTTACAGAGTATGACGGAAGAGCTAATAGAGGAAGTTTAATATCTATTTCAGACAATATTCCAAATTGGCATCAACCTTCACCTACCTATAAACAACTGGTTATTATTCAAACAAAATTATGAAATAAATAATATTTTATTGATACTCAATATTTATTTTATAGATTAACAATCGACAACACACAATTACAATTCATGACACACCATCTCCAGCAGTTTCTGTTATTACAATATCAGATAGTGAAGACGAAGCTTCAACAAAAGGGTATATCCATTTTTATTAACAAGTTGCTTGGTAATAAATGTATTCATGTATATGGTTTTTTTTTTTTTTAATCTAGAGTTCAGCTGAATATTAAATCTAATCGCAACAACCGAAAAAATATAATTTCCTGCGTAACTGTTGGTGAAAGTGATAATGAAGAACAATTGACATCTAAAACTTTAACTTATCACCAAAAACAACTTCAAAGTTTGCGTTCAACACCAGTAATATACCAATCTCCATCAAAAAATTCTAATATACAAGTACCTATATAATTATTATTTTAATTTTAAAAAAAATTATCTAGTATATTTTAGGAAAATTAGACAAATCTTGTTTAGATTTTCTTAAATAAATATTTTTGTTTTTAAATTTTTAAAATTGTATTGTTATTTTTATTATTTATTTATATTTATTTCTGTTTTCAAAGCATTTTTCTTAAACACGAAAATAATATTAACTTATTAAATTAACTAAATTTCATTTTTTTTTTTTTATTTTTTTTTTTTTATTTTTTTTATTAATGATTTTTCAGAACGGAGAATATATTGCTTGTCGTAATAGCCCTCCTGGTATAGAGTTAACTGGTGGTCAATATTCTCAACATTCTATGAACACAAACTCTCAGCAACCAATCTATATGCCACAATCACAATTGTCTAATGAAATAAAACACGAACCTCATTATAGGTAAGATTAATATACTAATTAAATGTATAATACAATTTCTTACAATTAGTGTAGTTAATATTATTGGTACTCATTCAATTTGCTATCTACTGCATATTTAGTGGTGTAGTAAATCATTAACCTAAATACATTAGTATATACATTTATGTATATACCTGTATAAACTTAGTCATCTTGCAATCAAGATTAGGCTTTTTACAATAAAAATGAAATTGATCTCTTTTTGTGAGTGTTGTCTCTATAAGTCTCTATAGCTGTAATAACTGTATCATTTGTGGTTATTTGTATTATATTATAATTATTTTTAAATTAATTATTAATATGAATGTTTCAATTATGAATTATTTATTAACATATCATTTAAAGTTATGAAAAGTGTACATTTAAAAAAAAAAAAGATTGTGAGTTATTACTTAATGAACAAGCATGTATTCAAATTAAAAACCAAACAATTTGTGCTAGTGAATTGAAAGAATTACTGAAAAAAAGTAGGAAACAAGATTCAGAAGGAAATATTTTTAAAAATTTACATTGAAGGATAAAAATGAATAAAAAATTATAAAACCGTTTTTATTTGTAAATAACATATTAAACCAACATAAAATTACAGTAGATAGCATTTAGAATAAATATTATATTTTAAATTTTTTATTATAATTTCTATAATGTTAAAATTTGATATTTAGTTCTTCCCATGGTAGTAATACTACCATGACTCAGTCACAACTTAAAAGGATTGTGTCAAAAGGACAACAACACGCTCATCAAAACCAGGATTGTAATATTTTTAATTCGTCAGGAACAAACAAACCAGAGCCACCACAAGCTATTGAATACTACTGTAGTGGAACAAACTGCAAAGATCCTTACCATTATGTCACTCCACATGATCAGCATATAGTTTATGCAAGGTATTATAAACAATAGGAAAAAATAGAACTTAAAATTGTATTAATTAATATTTGTTTATTATTTCATATTTAGCGATAAACGTATATCATATGCAATACCATCAGCACATAAGCGCAATGTTGCTAACGCATTAGACTATCAACTTCAACCTCCAGTAGCACATTCTAGTAGGGATTCACACATAATAGGGGCTTCTAAATCTGCATGGACCCAACAGACAATTCCAGTGCATCAAGCCTATAGGTAAAATTATAATTTAAATTCTTCATCTTTTTATTTTTTTTCATCCTGTACCAAATTTTATTTATTTACTATTAAACATTGAAAGCCAAAATTTTTTAGAGATGGGTAAAGTGTTAATAAGATTTAGTTTTTTGCTGTTATTAGTTATTGTTACCTAAATAAACACTGATATATCATTTGCCTTTTTATGACTAAATTAAATTTAAAACTAATTTATTTTTAAAACATCAGTTAGCTTAGTAGGCCAGAAGTAGTCCACAGGTTATAGGTTGGAGATATTGCTTTAAATATTTAAATTTATTATTATTTACACATTATGTGATATTTTAACTACCAATTATTGTACCTATATTTAATTTTTATAGAGATATTTTATTATTTTGTTTTATCTTTACTTTAGTCTCACACAAGTGGATTCAGCTATTCTTATTATCATGTAACCCGTTACCATTTCTTCTTCTTCTACTATTTACCCTAATCCTTTCCTCAACATACCTTTTATCAACTTCCATCAATTTTTTCAGCATATTCATAATTCATATTTATTTTTGTTATTTTTATAGAAGTCATGTAGCTGATTACACAACAGCTCATCTTTCACCACAAACTCTTGGAACTAATCGTGGACTTTCCCCATTAGCTGGTCAACCTTTGTATCACCAAAGTGATATTTATCGTCGACAAGCAGTATATGTGACTACAGGTCAACCACCAACTGCTGCTGCATATTTACCATCTCAACAAGTGTCTGCTACTGCTTTTACTACAGGGTAAGTATTTAACAAAAATTTACTCTAAAATTTAAATATCATTAATATAATCATATTTTTAGCCCTATACCACCTCCTGCTCATCATGCAAGTGCAAGACCATTACTTACCACTCATGCTACACATCCATTACCAGCTCACATGCAACCAACTGCAGTATATGGCTATTTAAGCCCTGCAAAAACACATCATCAATACCAGCCACTCTGGTTTACTGAGTAGGGCTTACCACAGGGGTATGTATTTATTTTTTATAGTTAGAACTAGGACTGAGAATGTTATACTTAATTAAATTCTAAAACTAAAATGTATGTCCTAATAGTTTAAAATAATGTTCATATTAAATTGTACTTAAAATGTCAAATAAAAAAAATATGTGAAATGTGTTTTCACGAATCATTTGTATTTTATAGGTCTGATAATAAATTGATGGCATCGCTACTTAACAACACTGATCGTCAAGTCATTAGGGTCAGACCTCTGTACATGTTAACAACTGATACTGTGTACACCTAATGTAATGCACCCACGTAATGTAAATATATCAATTTAATTTTTCATATATCTTAAAATTAGGCATTCGTTGTTCTTTTAAACGAAATCAAAATTATGACTTTTGAAATAAAAATATTAATATTTAGTATTTACTAACCATAAAATTGAATTTCATTCATATAAAATATCTTATTTGACTTTTTTAATCTATTCTATTCATTTTGATCAACAATTTTTTTTTCTTTGCTGGTCATATATTAGTTTTAGTTTTTCCTTTTATTCATCATAAAGTATATACAAAATTATTTATGAAATTTATATTATTATATTATTTGCATTATTTAGTTTTAATCATAAAAATACACACTAAAAGTGTAAATAAAAAAATTTGCCATAACAAACATTATTTTCATAATAATAATATTAGTGAGAAATTAATTACTTATTTGACAATTTTTTTTTATATTTATTATTATTTTATTTAAATATTAGAAAAAATTATCCATAAAATATATTTTTATTATATTGTAGTGAATAATTCATCCTATATACTATATTAATTATGTAGTTGGTATTTATATTATTATTTTTAATCATTAATTAAACAGCATGTAGCTAGATGACAATAATTTTTTATTGGTTTAAAATACTTACAAAATTAGAATAGTTGTATAATAATGAGGTAATATTGTAGATTTTTAGAACTTATAGTAATTTTTTAATGTTATTATTTTAGTCTGAATTTAAATCAAAATATGTCACTATTAATTTTAAGGATAATGATTGCTAAATAATATGATATTAATGTTTCTATTAATAAGTCCTTACTTCTTTGGACATTTGCAGATTTTTATTTTTTAATTATTATTATTATTATTATGGTTGTGGAGTTAAAGTATATCACAATAATAACTAAATAAGTTTTTAATGATTAATTTTTTTTGTAAGTATGCATATTAGTTTTATTTTGTAATTTTACATTTGATATAGAAATTTCATATTTTAAAAATAATCATACAAACATAAATTATTAACCAATAAATTCAATAATTTACCTTTACAAATCTGTATAGTTTTGATGATATTTGAATATGTTATATTTAAAATGAAAAACATATGTTTTGTGATTTTTAACCAGTTTTGAAATAATTTTTTAAAATTAATATTAATAATTCTAGTTGAATTTAACTATTTAATCGTTTATTTAAACACTAGTATTTTTTGTATAAGAAAACTATGTGCATTATAATAATAGTAATTTATTCAAATATTATCACTATATTTAGTGTTTAGTACAAACTAAAAATGCATATAATAATTATTGTCAATTGAATATACATTTTAATTTTAATTTAATTTTTTAATTATTTTAATACATCAAGTTATATCAATTTAAATATTAAAAATGAATGCGAATTTATATTTTAGCTGTGTGCAAACTTGTAGTTGTGATTTGATATTATAAATTTTAAATTTAATTTTCCATATACAGTTTCTTAACTTAGTATACATTTTTAAAATATATATCTAATAATTATTTTGGTGATAGGGTGTCTTTGTATATAGCAGAGTATATTTTTTTGAATATAGATTTAATATAAAAAAATATTTTTCTTGTGCGATATTATGGTAGTTTTAGTTAAATTTATTTTTTTTTAAACTAACATTCTATGTATTATAAAATAGTGCATAAAATGGCTAATGTTATTTAGGTACAATATTTTTAATCATCAATTTAATTTAAATTAAATATACCGAATTTTCTTAGTGAAACATAATTAAATAATTAAACTTAATGTTTAGGTGAAATGTTTGGTGATAGTATTTGTAACGATATGCCTTATGAGTTTAGTTTTTTTAAAAATTTATATACTTTGATTGAATTGATCAAATAATATGTTTTTTCTTTTTTAATTTCATTTTTGTACTACGTTTTAGAAATTATATATCCTAACAGTAAAATTATATTTACAAAGTAATTATGATTATTTGATGGTTTGATATTCTTATTCATTTTTTTTTATCAACAAGTACAAAAATAACATTATTTTGGCCTAAATTTAAAGTGGTAATAACTAATAATCATTATGTATTTATATAAACATAGTTTTAATATTGAATGCCAATTACTAAATATTAATAATTTATAATTTAGTTTTGCCTATGTTACTAGCTTATAAATAGTTACAATATATAATTTATTGGTTACATTTAAATCTTATACTTTACAGGGATAATCAACTGACATTTATTTCATCAATTAATTATTATTTATATCAATATTAAAAAAATAAAAAATGATTTAAATAAATATATATGCAATTTTTATAAACAAAAGTTAAAATATTTAGTCTTAAACAATTAAGAAAATTTATTGCATTGATTAATACTAAAACCATTATTAGAATGAATAAATTCTGAACTTTAATATAGTGATGTTACGAATTGTTTGATTTTCAAATTGAGAACCATATACCTAATAGTTTATTTGAATCGTTGAAGAGTGATACAAAAATATTATGGAATTTTTTTGGTTATTTGTACTAGGTATTATTTTGTAAAATGTGCATATCAACTTCAGTCATTCAAATACAAAATTAGTTTTCTAAATGAAGCAAACTTTTACATTTGTTTTGAATTTTGAATAGTTTGTAACATCACTAACATAATGCCTTAGTTATATTTTTAATGCTCATAAATGAGTAAAATTAAAACGTAAAATAAATTATATAAATTATTTTGTTTAACTTTGGACCATAACATAATTAAACACGTTTTTGTAAAGATAATTATACAAATATTTAAAAGCACTTGGCTAAACACATTTTTTATAAATGTTTGTGATATAAATTAATTCATTTTTTTTTTTTAAGCACCATAAATATATATATATATATATTATAATATCTATTATGGTTTTTTTTTAATAATAATAATAAAATAATTTGGGTCAATCATTGAGTAAACAAATAAATATTAAATTGAGAAATTAAAGTATATATATATAATATGTAAGAGTTCCTGTGTTAGGGTGTTGGTACAAATAATATGTATATATATATAATAACCAAAATACTGGTGACTAATTCATTTGAGTTGTTTTTTTATTAAATACTAAAATTAATTAATATAGACACAACTCATATATTACTGATGATAGACAGTTTTATGATTACTAAATTGTATTAAATCATTTAAATAAATTAATAATAATGTGAATAGTATTTACAACAACTCAATATTGTTAGTAATTATTTTGTAATTTTTACGAGTTTTAAAATTATACTATTAACACAAAATAGTATTATGGTTAAAATACATTTATGTTTTTCATTGTTTTTATTTGACTATTAAAATAATAAATTAGTATGTAGTTTACATTTAATTATTTGAAACATTAATGGTTAGCTCAAAGGGTTTATTATTATTATTTTTATCATTTCTATTTAATTTTGTTTGTATTCATTTTTCAATATTGTTAGATTATTATTGCATAATGTTAGTTTATATAATATTTTATGGGTTGGCGTATTATTATAATTGTTGTGAGATTTGTATTTAATATTATATACACAATGTATGTCAATAATGTAATGATGTACAATCAAAAGAACACTGCAAATTTCTTTCTTTTTCTTTTTTTATCATAATTAATGTGATTGTTAATTTTGTATGAATTACATTAAAATAAAAACCTGTATTACACACTTCACTTCAATTAACCTGTTTATATACCATGTTTATTGAAATGACAATCTATCAAATTTTTTCCATTGTAATAGTACTATATTTACACATATTTCTCTCTATTAATTTACAGGACATATTTTTCCACTTTTGTATTATTATTTATAAATAAATAAATATTGCTTATATTTTACAACCATATTTCAATTAATATACATATTCACCATAATTATATTAAATAACATCATTAAGTATGTATGTTTTTTTAATTTTTTCAAAAACATTAAAATATGAATTCAATAAAAAAAAAAACTATGCTCTTTTAAATTGTCCTGTGAAGAATCAATAGAATATTATACAATTTCGGTTTTTTTGATATTGTTAATTAAAATCTATTATTTTCTATGAAGGTTTAATTTGATTTATTTCTATTTTTTTAACAATTCAAACACAAATAGTAAAATTAAAAACCAAAACAAAATATTAATTTGTATAGCTTTTTTTTTTTTTTTTTAAACTTATATTTTTGAGAACGCATGAAACAACACTAATGTACAACTACTGTGATATTTGTTGTTAAGTCAAATTTTACTTCGGATTGTTTAAATGTGGCCGCACTAAGTGTATAAGACTGTGAAGACCCTTTATTTTATTTTCTTCTTTTTTTTTTTATAAATTTTCATATCCATTTTTATTTTTATCATTTTTTTTTAAAGGTACTGATTGTATTCATTTTACTTTGTATTTTATTCTTTATTTTTTTTTCTCACTAACTTTTTTATAGAGACCTATACAGGCTAATAATTTGAAATGTAGTATTTATATATTGTCACTTGTAGATTGACCATAACTTGTACTGAATGATTAACTCTTAGCTTCATGTTTATTTAAATATTATATTTATAATCATATAGATTTATTATACTTAATCCTCAATGTTGCTTTTACCTATATATTATTGTTTAATTATTATCATTAATATTGTATTGTAATCAAATATTGTCATCTGCGTAAATTTGGTTTTAGGGTATTGACCTATTGGAACAAAAATAAAATATATATATATAAACTTGCACTAAAATTGTATTTATGTTTACTTACATTCCTTTTTATCAGACAATATTTTCTAATGATGAATTTTATTCATACTATGTGGTTTTTTTAATTCAACAGTTATTATTCTATTGATACTTGTGTCAAAGTTGAAATAGTTTATTGAATCCTTTCTGTGTCTAATTACTTATTTACAATTTTTCACAATTAAAGCAATTAACATAAAATTTATTATAGCTAAATGTACTAGTCCACCAAATATATTTGCATTAGTGATTGAACCATAATATTCAGTTAATTAATAACTTAAATTAATGACATAATAATATTAATAGTGCCTAAAATATCATTTTTGCAAAATGTATACCTTTGGTCTAGTCGATTTGGTATCAAAATCAAAAGTTAAATTATGAAAGTATTTACTCCATTATATTTTTTTGAACTTTTAATTTAGAATATAATTAGTATTACTCTTTAAACACTGCATTAACAATAAAAATGTTTATAACAAGTTTTACAATAAATATTATTAACATTGCAATTTAATAATATATTGGATATTGTATAAAAATGGCTAAAATTAAAAATAAATTATGTACCTACATCCCTATATATTATAATATTTCTATTGTGAGTGATCATGAATGCGAGTCGTCTTCAATTAGCATTCCATGGACTGAGTCTAGAGCCTATAATTAAAAGACAGTATACATTTTATTGCATAATAATATTAAATTTAAATTTGTGTATCTGTGTGATATATCAATGGCCTTAGTATATGTAAAGATTTTGTGTTATAAATGCATTACTTTGGCCATCATTATATCCCAAAAATTCTTTAAATGGTACATAAAATATATTATGTTAAATTCTCTGTCTATAGATTTTCTTTTGTCAGGAATTATTGATAATGTAAATTTCTAAGAAAGACTGTTATTATTATGGTCAAGCATTTTGTAATGTGCTTACAGTTGACATATGCAACACATATAAATACAAATATAGATATGAACTTACTTTGAAATATTTTACAGTCTTCACTTTAAGTTCCATTGTGGCCAGTTCATCACACAGTATGAGGGTTTTTGGGTGTTGTTGAAATGCTGAAATAGTCCACATGTGATTGACGCCTTTCTCAATAGCCTTGTGCAAAGCTAGTGCCTTGTGCCATCCCGTGATTAGTATCATGACCTAGCATAAAAGTACAAAATTTGTATATATATGAAATCTATTGTTTTAGATTCGAGTATAGCAAAGAATGTATTAATTTTTATTAATTTTAAAAAGTTGTTTATTATTATTAATTTTTTTTTTTCAACACTTTCTACCAGAAAGCTTAATTCGAACTATATGATATACATCCTTTAGACCCTATAGACCTTTTCCTGTAAGAAAATCTGATTGGGATGGTAGGTACTATGAAGAAGTCATTTTTCGATTTTCCCAGTAATTGTGAAAAAGCATGGAGAAACCGAGAAAAACGTAGAAAAAACGGAAAATCTGAACAAAATATAATATAATACATATTTAATTATTTTACCATAATATGATATATATATATATATATATATATATTGTTGATAATGCATCACTATTAACTGAACACTGCTCAGAGTCGGTTTTCGGTTATACATTAAATTCCCCTCTGTATCCTACGTTCCCAACTTCTCACCTACAACAATTGCTGTACCCGGCCCTATTATCCTCGAACAACATTTTTGAAATTCTATTCTATACATATAGCTTAAGCAATTGACAAAATGCATCTATTATATAAAATAGGTTAGGATAAAGCTTAAAATTATTGGACATACAGTTTCAGCATCCATGACTGTGCCTACGCCAACAGTCAGCGCCTGTTTTGGCACTTGGTCGATATCGTTTCCGAAGAATCGAGCGTTCGCTTCTAATGTATCCTGTGTCAAAGTTTTGACTCTGGTCCTGGAAACCAGTGAAGAACCGGGCTCATTGAATGCTATGTGACCGTCCGGACCGATTCCTGCAGTTCGCACATATAAGTAAGAAGTGATTTTGGTGTCAGTGTCCGCATGGCCGAAGAAAACAATAACAATAAAATGTATTTAATTTTAATAGGAAATACAAATATTTGTATCATGAACCGGCTATTTTCTCAAAGGATTTTAAGTGAATTTGATTTTTATTTTTTTCTAAAAATTATGGAATCGGTTAAGCCTTATTTTAAAGCCATTTTTAATTGTGTATCTCTATTCCATATACCTTAAAAAAGTATGTACTTTTTTTTTTTAAAATAGCAACCCCCCCAACTTTTAAACACAGGTTTAAAGTAGAAAAATATTTTTTTATCAAAATTTAAAATCGAAATCAAATCCTCTAAGAAAATTACTGGTTCATAATAAAAAAAATCATCCTGTATACATTGGAATAATATTTTCATACTCTTAAAACAAATATATTATGATAACCGTTTTTTTTTAATTTCCAAATTACCAATTTAATTACCTAATTAATACTTATTTTACTAACTAAGGGTATGCCGTATTAGTCCGTGGGGTATGTATTGGTTTTACCATGGTGTAAATTATATACTTTTTTTAAAAAAAATTTTTACCAGATCTCTTACTCAGATGTTTCAAGTGTAGCACCATTTCTGAAAAGAAATTTTATCTAGTTGAAACATTGAGGAGAATTCATTTTTTGATTTTCCAATGGGTTTTCAAAATAATTGAGAACCGGAATCAAAATTATAAATCAGGCAAATATTTACGGCGCATTCCGACGTTATCATTTTATTGTTTTTAATTTTTGCGAACTAGGAATGTGTTTTTCCTAAATATTAATTTAACCAAAAAATGCCCATCTTTCAATTGTCCCTATCAAAAAATTGTTTTTGTTGAAATTTGCATTGAGTTGATCACAAAGGAAGTCGTTCTTTGATTTTTTAAGTAGTTTTTATAATAATTAGGAAAAAGAAATTGAAAAACTAAAAAAATTATGGCACACGATTTCACTAATTTAAATTTTATACGCGATGTAATACCAAAAATATTGCTCCAATAGAAAAATGACAAGAGACCTTTTTTGTTGAATTCGTTTTTTGATTTCCTCCATACTTTTTTTTAATAATTGAGCGAAACCGAAAAAAAAAATAAAAACGACATCGACATTTAATAATAATGCTCTTGTTATTTTAAATCATTTTTTTGGGTTCTAATTCTATTAGAAATATTTATAGAGACTTGAAATTTTGACAGAAAACTTATATTTGTTTTTTCTATACGAAGTTAATTTTTAAAAACATTTGTTTCATTTTGAGCTATTTATAGACATTTTAATTTTGCAAATTTTTTACGTCGTTTGTATTTAGTATGTACTCTGTGCAAAGCCATAAGAAGGGTGAGATGACTGAGGCATTAGCCTCACTGGGAGCGTTAAATCTTGACATTTGTTTTTAAAATAAAAATTCAACGTAGATATTGTATTTGCCGTTTATAATCTTTTACTGTATAGCTACATGTGAAAGTAGTTTTAGTGAACTCAAATTTTTTAAAGAATTATATTTGAGATCCACTATATGGGCCAAGAGAGGTTATTTTGTGTATAGAAAATGAAGTTGCTGGATAAATTGATTACGAGGTTGTTATTGATGAATTACCGGCAGTCAAACCAAGAAGAGTACAATAATTTTGATTCTGAAAAACTTTGCATCTATACCTATATTTTTTGCAAAATTCACTTTCGTTCAATACTACAATTTATTTTTTTTATTCAGTGCTTCTGTGTAATTTTAAAATAAATAAATACACTCTTATCTAAAAATACGATAAATGATAGTATTTAAAACGGAACCTAATAATTTTTTTTTTTTTTTGGGGGTAGGGGCATGTATTCAAATTCAAATTTGCCTCGGATATCAGAGAAGCTTGCTACAGCTCTTACTTTATGGATACAATTATTAAACTAAACAGAAATTTTAAAAAATTTGACAAGCGGTTCATTAGAAGTTGTACTTAGTGGTCAAAAGATAAAAAATTCAGCTTAATATAGTATTTTTAGTAATTTAGTTTTAATGTTAAATTTTGACGAAAATCATAATAATTACTGCCTTTCAAAACATGTGTAACCGAATTTCATTCCGAATCATTTTTTGTTAGTTATAATAATTTATTATTGATTACAGATATTATAAATTAAATAACTGTATGTATATATCCTACCTTCCCAACTTCACGTACAACAGTTCTTTTAGATTGCTTTGTAGTTTTCTTATATAATAATCTTAAGAGTCTTTAAATTTGCATCGAATATTTGGTTGTACATTTTTTTTAACGAACTATATTCAAAATTGTTGAGTTTATTTGTTTGGTTTTATGTAAAACAAATTGTTTTGGTTCCGCAAAAATTGCCATCATAAGTTGCACCTACTATACATTGTACAATATAATATTTATATATCCTACCTTCCCATGGTACAAATTCCAACTTTCTATCTTCATTAGAGACACTGCTTCTTATAGAACTATAAGAAATTATAACCTTGAACCAAGGTTAAAAAGGATCTCAATGAAATTATCATGTTTTTAGACCTAGTAGTTTTACATCTTATACATATATACGTATATATGTATTATACTCTTGTATATAGATCAACTGTGATAACATTTAAATGTTTCCAAAAGTCCAGCAATACTATATTATTATTAGGTATTATTGTGTTCGGGTTTTTGCAGGGTTGATAGAAAGCATAATTTTTAGATTTTGAGCGGAGTGAGGTATGTATTGGTTTTACGATGTTTATTTATTTATTTTTTTAATCAATGAACAACTTTTCTGTCAGCGATTTTGCTCCGATTTTCAAGTATAACATTTTTTCTGAAAGGAAATCTGACTGGGGTGGCACTTTAGATAAGTCATTTTTTGATTTTCCTATAAGTTTTCCCAATAAATGTGAATAACCTGGAAAAAGTTGACAAATTTTCGAAATGTATTGTTTTCAAATCGTAAATATTACAGCCTATTGTATAATCGAACTCCACTCAGAATCGTTTTTTATTTGCAAATATTAATCATTATGTACTGATATACATTAAATTCGCATCTACATCCTACTTTCCCAAATTCTCATTTATAATAGTATAATACCACCTATCGTACGAAGTATGTCCATATCTTTTTTATGTTTAAAATATAATTTAATCAAGTTTAAAACAAAATAATAATTTATCATGTACAAACGTGGGTTAGGTTAGGTGTACAAAAAAAAAAAAATTTGAAGGGCCTTGTCATCGTTACTAACATATTTTAGTTTTTCTATTCATCTTTTGAGTAGTATTATACCTTGATATATTTTGATTTTGATGTAAACTATTAATTCATATAATGCCATATGGTCCATTATAGGTATACGCGCGTAATTACGTAATTAAATTGCGTACTACAGTAAAGTCAACAGCCAAAATAGGGGAAAACCGATATAATATTAAAGTGCAACTGCATCCTTTTCGGAAAGCAATGTAATAAAAATATGAAATATGATACGTTTACCTAGGGCGTAGTTAGACCTAAAACAACTGTCGCAAGTATCGTATAATTTCTATAATAAAACGCATAAAACCGATAGGCAATGTCTAGACAAACTAATTTTCAGGATGTACTAACAATGTCACTAATGAAATACTGTAGACAGCTGTGATTATGAACAACAGGTTGCGGGGGTCCTTCCAAGCATTTATAACGCCGTCCGAAACATCGTCTTATCAGACAAGTCCACCATAATCAAATGTGAGCAACTTCGCGTCACTCTTGTTTCATAATTATTTTTCGACGTATACTTATTTGTGAATTAATTTAGACTTGGAATAATTTTGATGTTTTTGAATTAAATTTATTGGACTATATGAACTTTATTGGGGTATATTTTGTGAAGATTATTATTATTATTGGACTTGTATTTTTATTAGAAATATTAATCTATTATTATAACTCAAGTTGGAGTTTTGATTTATTTCAAAGATTTTCCTCCAAGTTCTATTCCTACGTTGGGCCTGTTACAAGTGTATAAATATATGGGTGCCTATCAAAACCTATATACAAATATATACGAATAGAATATACGAATCTGAAATCCAGGTTTTTACGGATATCACAATCTGAACCGTATTCGATAAAAGAATTAATGATGTGACATATGACATAAATCCGTATTTCGAATTTTTAAAATCCGAAAATCCTGACTTTGAATTTTAAAATGTAGAATAATGATTAGTTTTTGAATTATATGAAAAATGCCTAAAAGATTCTAAAGTCAAAATTTCAAAATCCAATATTCCGATTTAAATTAATTTTCTGATTTTAAATTATGGAATATCAACAATTAAAATTTGAAAATATGATTTTGTGAGTTAGTTAAAGTACATTATATTATTAAAAAATAAAATTTCCATTATACTCAATATTTTAAATAATGAAATGTAATAAGTTGATTTGTACAAGAGCAACTACAGTGTAGAGGAACCGAATCAAAAAACCGACAAGATACCTTTTTTGGTACGTTTTGGATATAATTAGTGCTTTACGTCATTTTTTTAATTTCTGAGCGATTTTTATCGTACGTACATAGGAAAAATGGACAAATATTTACGGCACGTCCGGCGTTATCGATTTCATTACTTACCTACTATACATTTTTTTGATTTTTGTTTTTTACTGATAATCTTGCTTTAATTTATAATATAATACATTTATTACTTCTATTGTATGTGTTTGTATTGTAACATAAAATATTAAACAAAGATATTACAGAAGTGTAAAGTTGGTAATTCAAATTTCCAAACCTGCCCAAATCTAAAATATGAATGATTTTTATAACGACTTAATAATAATATGATTCTATCAAGGTCCTATGAAAAGAAAAAAGAAATTATTTAATATTCAATACTATAGTCACTAAATAATCACTTAAATTCACGTTTTACATGTTCAATCACATTGAGCCATTTTTTGAAGTGTTTTAAACATGTCAGCTCAGTGATTTTGCGAACATTTTAATATTATGTACCGCGTCCGAGATGTGCGTTGAAGCATGGGAGCAAGCGACTTACCTCCCACGAATAGATGGACACCGCCAGCCTCTCTGATTAACATTTCGTAATGCGCGCATTCCGCCTGCAAGTCAACCGCGTTGCCGTCCAAGATGTGCACATTTTTCGGATCGATGTTGACGTGCGCGAAAAAGTTCGTCAACATGTAGTAATGGTAACTCTCCACGTGATTTCTTGGTAATCCTATAAATTGACGACATAATAATATTATTATAAAATCATAGTCTTACGTCTATAATAGCATTATACAGAGTGATCTATACATTGTATTATTCGTATACAATGTATACAATACAAAAAAAGCAATCTCGAAAAAATCGTTTAGACCGGAGGAGTAGGGAATGTATCATTTAAAAATATATAAATAATTTATTGCCCTTCCCTAATTTTCCGGTCTGAACTTTTAACGGTTATAACTCGTATACGGCAAATCTGATATTAGTGATATGCACACAAACATTTCCAAAAAAAATATTCTTCATTCGAATATTTATTCAAAAGGGAGGGGCTCGTATTTGAAAAATAAAATAAAATATGTACTTATTTAAGGTAAATGGAGTTCCTACGGGTAAAAAATGTTTAGTTTTAACAGAAATCAAATTCACTAAAAATCTTTCGAGATAATTGCGGGTTTATGATAAAAAAAAAAATCACCTTGTATACCTATACTAATCTATCTACTTGAATATTCTTGAATAATAATTATTTAAGAATGCAATTACAACTATACAATTATTGAAATCGCATAATATATTCAATATAATAATATGAATTTTATATATTTTATTTAACCGCATAATATAGTTAATATATTATACAACGGTCATAGACATGTTTTAAATATCTCGTGCTAAATGCAAATAATGCTGTAATTTTCATGTCTAAAACTTTTTTGCACGTGAATGTCTACCAAAATTGTATTTCGTTGTTAACGCTGGATCAATCATTATAACGTACAAAAACTGCGCACTGACTTTTAGATAATCCGAAGTATAAATGATTTAAGATCAAATAGTAATTATATATTTAACGTCAATCGAACTTATTTGATAAAGTTGACTGCAATGACCATTACTTTCTTAATGTAAATTTAAAATTTAGGAAACTGGTTGCACTTTGACACAAAGTTGCTGTAACGTTTTTGTATGGCAATTGTATTAGAAAAAAGTTACGTTCAGCCCTCGGAAATATTCTCCTCTTTAAACTACAATTACAATCTAAACATCACATTTTACGTTCTTATGGGTACCTCCAATAGGTGACTGTTTTTATAGTCTAGCCTGCATTCGATAAATCCTTTTTCTTTAGAAATCACATTCGCTTATTGTTAATCTATTTGTTTAGTAAAAAAATAAAAGTGAGAGAAAAAGCGTTACAGACAAACGAATATAATATTTTAGATATATTATTTAGATTAATTTAAGTATATAAAAGTAAAATATTAAATGATATGGCTGACGTATTTGTATCTATATAAATACTTTTAGAACTTACCCACGTATTCGTCCATGTTAAAGGTCTTAACATACTTGAAAGAAATATCTCCAGCCTTGTAATATTCGATCAAATATTTGTACATGCCCAACGGCGTTCCGCCTATATTTAAAACATACATTATAGTAATTATTTATACTCATTTATTTTTTTTCTTGCTTTAACTTTACCAGTAGGCAATCCTAAAACAAAATATTTGTCTGGTCCCGGGTTGAAATCTTTTATTCTCTTTACCACATATTTGGCGGCCCATTTTGAAACGTCGTCCGCTTTGTCCTTTATGATCAGTCTCATATTATAATTTTCACTGAAATTGTGTACACAATCCATATTATACGAATCATATGTGAGGTATATATATACGTTATATTATATCTTAGTGCGTAACCATTTTTGGCAGGGTACCTACATAATTATTATTAAACACATAAATTCATCGAATTAATTTACTAATTTTCATCCAGTTTTTGACGTACGTTTTCTTCACAGATATTTAATATGTAATTTGTATGCTCTTTCCCAGAATTTGTATAGCACTCCTGCCTCAGAAAAATCGAAAAAAGCTCTGGTGGGGCTGTAGACACGTGTCTTCAGCCCCACCCGGGTTATAAAATTAACTTTTCGTACTTTTCCTTCGCAGATATTTAGTATGTAATTTGTATGTCTAATCCCGGAATTCGTATGACTTCCCTGTCCCGGAAAAATCGAGAAAATCTGGGGGGGGGGCTGAAGATCGCAAGATTTAAAAATTACTGAACGACAATACATTTTAAATTGATATTCTATTGACCTTCGTAACCCTTTTGAAGATTCTTTTTAAAATATAAAAATAAACACTCGTAATCATATTATTCATATACCTATCTATTATTATTATATGTTCTGTTTACCAATGAAGCAAGTTTTACAATAGTGTATTAAATGAGTTGTACTTGATAATGATGTCATGTATATTGATATTATATGGTATATGTTCCTAATTGACAACACAACAACAATAGTAGTTATCTAAATTAATTATTTTCTTCGACCTATTCGGTGTTTGGATTATGATAAATAAGTAAATACCTGGACATATAAATACATGAATTAACAAATGAAATGTTCAGTTATGAAATGCATGTGAACTTCGGTCGTAGTATAATATAATATCGTGTATGATGTTTTTAGATTAACAAAACATTTTTGTAGATTTCATTAAATTGAAACAATATAATACAATAATTAGCACTAATTAAGTCTCTAGTGGCTACTGCTGTATATAAAATAGTTGTGTACATAATAGGTATAATAAGTATACAGTTATGCTTCTGAATTTATAAGTTAGGTACCTATATCAATTTGTGTTTGGCGTTAATATTGAATATACACGTTCCTATACACGTGCTCATACTAATATACATACGACATACCTATATAGTTGACAATATTTATTGTTAGATTCAAATAGCAGCTCAACAACATTGGAATTAATAGGTACTTATTACTGGTAAAAAAAATTGCTATTTCTAAATGTTATTAAACAACAATTTGGTGGGATACCTAGATAAATTTATTTAATTTAGGTATAAAATTTAGGTATTTACTAGGTATACATTTAACCAACGATAAATCATTTATAATTAAAAATGATTCGGAGCAAAGTTCAGTTTAAAATTTATTTATTTTAAAAAGCCAAAATATTTATGATTTTCATCAAAATTTAACTTTAAAACTTATAAAAAAAACACTACATTAAACTAATTTTTTTTTCGACTACTAAGTAGGACTTATAATAAATCTCCTATCAAATCTTCAAGCATTTATGTTAAGTCAGACAATTTATCTACAGAGTACCTACCAAATAAAAACCACTTAAAAGTCTCAACGATTATTTTAACCTGAATTAAAACGAAAAAACCAAATTTAAAATAATAAAAGAATTATTATCATAAATTTCCCGTTCTTTATACGATTTTGTCCGGTTTTTGCGCAATTATTAAAAAAAACACAAAGAAAAACAAAAAACGACTATATTGGTTACTAACTAGATTAAAAATGCAAAAAATTGGTCTTTTTCATTTATCTATTGAAGCAATATTTATGGTAGAAAAATAAGCCATGCAAATTTAAAATAATGTAATTGTGCCGTAATTTGAAAAAATCGTATATTTCGACATTTTTGGTCTTCCTCAATTATTATGAACAATACTTTAGGTAACAAAAACCAACTTTTCTCTTTCAGCGGCTATGTGTTCAATTGAACAAAATCGATATCTTGTTATTTTTCGATTGGAGCAACATTTTTAGTACTTAGAAAACACTGTGTTAACGAATTAAAAATAATGAAAAGGGTAACGCCGCGGTGTGCCGTAAATATTTGTTCTTTTACCTATAATTTTCTATCGGAATTTTCCCAACTATTTTAAAAATCCTTTTGAAAATCAAAAACTGACCTTAATACACCAACTAGACAAGATTTCTTTTAAAATAGTTGTTTACAAACAGAAAAAAAACCAACAGACCACTGGATGCGCTCCGAATCTAAAAATAAATCAAATTTACTTAAAATACTCTAAGAAAATTATTGGTTTATACTAAAAGAATCACTCTGTATAATATTAATACTAGTAAAACATAGGCGCAAACAGTGTTAACATTTGGGGGGCTGATTTTTATACTCTTCTTTACAACTTATGGTATATTTCAATGTATATTGTGGTGAAATCATTAATTGTTGGAGGTATTTAGCAATTCTAGGGGGCTAGTCCCCCCATTCCCCATATTTGTGCCAGTGAGTAAAGATACAATTTATTGTATATTAATAAGACTTATCTGCTTAGAAATTTACTTATCTTGTGTCTCTATCTTAGACATAAGTTTATTTTTGGCAGCACCATGGTTTCATATAGGCTGTAGCTTTTTAGTTACGATCTCTTTAAATTCTACCTTCCTAACTTCTCAACTACAACAAACAATAGCAATAATGATACTCATAATGCGGTATGTCCGCCTTTTTTATGACTTAGGTTTTCTATCAAAAATATTGCCCCAATAGAAAAACAATACAAAACCTTTCTTGTTGAATTTTTAATGTAGTTTATGAATAAGAAATTTGCTTTCCGATTTTCGTTGTAATTTTTTAAATAATTAAGCAAATCGAAAAAAAAAACGTAGAAAGATCGGAAAAATTTACGAAAATACTGCTTTTATTATTTTTAATTTTGTTTAATTTTGTTTTGTTATAATTCCGTTATAAATATTCGTAGAGATTTTAAATTTTGACAGAAAACTTATATTTACTTGTTCTAAACGTGGTAGCTTTTATTTTTTGAGCTATTTATAGACATTTTAAATTTACGAGTTTTTTACTTCATTTTTATTTGATAGGTACTCTGTGGATAAAATTATTAGACTAAACAGAAAAGATTGAAAATTTGATAAAAGGTTCATTAAAAGTCTTATTTAGTGGCTAAAAGTTAAAAAATTCAGTTTAATGCGTAGATTTTTTTTTTATAATAATTTTCATATCCAATTTTGACAAAAATCGTAAATATCTATTACGACTTTTCAAAACATGTATAACCGAACATCGCTTTTTATAGCTATAGCTATAGCTCCCTCTCCCCCCCCCCTTATCTCTGAATCCTATCTACTATGCTATTTAATCTAGTGACTAATAGATATAGGTACGAACAAAATATAAACTCGCTTCTTTTTTACCAGTTATTTCCTTATTGTCATTAACCATGTATTAAAATGCATAATAATACACCTGCAAATAGATTTCTTGTTCTCTTATAGAAATGTAAAAAACACACTTGCTTGTTACGTCGTTTGCATGTATCTTACATATTGTGTACATCTTAAATCCTATCTATGTAAACACTTATATAAAAACAAAGTTGTCACACAATTTTATTGTTTTATATTTGATCAATGTTCAAAGTGTTGTACTAACGAATCTATGTACCTATTTAAAACAAATTTAAGTAGGTAAATACTATATAAACAGTAACGTACCCAAGGATATTTTATTAAAAATTATATGAAGACAGCCGGTGCATGCAAGTCATCAGGTCAAGTAGACATTTTTAACGAGGGTGGCAGACCCCATATATAGTTTGGATGAAAATAAGAAGAAGAGCTAGTCGATGCCTAACATTTAATCTATATAATATTATGCAGTATAGAGCTATTTTTTCTTGGCTATAAGTTAGTACTTAATACAAATGTTCAAAGAATATTATTCCAGTTGGTAGTAATATAAAATTTCAATACTGACTGGTATCTAGTATATTTTTGTATTTTAACGTGGCTAATAATGAATGAAGTCAAAGCCTCTTAATCCCTTTTCTTGGGTAGGACACTGCCTACTGGGTACTGATATAATTTATTATGTGTAAGAAGACAAATATGTTTTTACATTATTTTCGAGAGATTACGTATAATAATAATATAATAATATTTATTATTTATTATATATCTACTTAGTTAAATGTTAATATATAAAAGTGGCATAGCTATAAGTGGGGCTGGGTGCAACTGTTCCAGAGTGCTAAAATGTAATTTTAGTTTGTCGTATAATTTTTAACAGATCTTGTATTTTTAATGTAAAATATTGTAATATAACGTACATTTTGAATTTGAAAAATTGATACCTAACCACTTTAAATCTCAATGATTTGCATATGGGAAGAATTTAAAATAAATGTATTATCCTAGAAAAAAATCGACTAAGTAGCTACGTTGGAAAACCCGAACTTGTCTCAGGGTGTTTAAATCCCTATTTATGCCACTGCTATATATTCAATTATTTTAAATATATTATGTACAAACTACATGATCAGACTTTTCAGTGTACATAGTACAAGGCCGCCCGCAGAAATTTTCTCGGAGGAGGGTTAACAAAAAATATTTCATCTTTACCATAGATTCTGTTTTGCAAACCTATGGAATAAGAATTTTAAATTTTAAATTTAGATTTATGACAATTAAAGATAATAAACATAAAAAAAATTGCCCATTGCCTCCCTCGTAGATGGCCTTGACATGATATATTATACTGAATCATTGTTGTCGTACTATGTAGGTAGTACATATTATGCATTAAACACTTAAACATGTAATTCTGGGCATTTTGAAAAGAAATATATATTTAAGAAATGTAAGACAAGTGTATTAGTACAAAGAACAAAAAATTAGTATTTAAAAATATGTGTTTTACTATAATTTCATAACAAGTTTAATACAGTTTCCAACCAGTTATTTGTAATATTTTACATGATCAGTTATGTTTTTCAAAACTCATATTAATTCATTTATTTTTTTTTTTTACTATTAATTTTGAAACTTTGTCTAATAGATGGCGCTTCAGCTTCACAATCTTTCCACCACAAACAGTTCGTATTAAAACCTGACCGCATATTTTATTACTGTTGCCAGTCCTTAATATCATGGTTAATAGTTATTACCTTTATTGTTGTAGTCAGTGGCAGCTCGTGAGTGAAATAATTGGTGGTGCAAATTTAAAAAAATTGTATACAATATGTACAGTCGATTCAGAAAACAGGAACTAAAACAAATGTTTTATTGAAATATAAATATATTTATATTATTTTTTTTATATAGGAGGTTTTTAGATAGAAATCTACATTATATTAGGAAATTAATATGTTTGTTTTTGTTACATTACATTAAATAATGTTATTTAGGAATTGAATGTAAACCAGGTCGGTTAGTATTTTCTATAGAATAGTTTTGGAAATAACGCCACCCGCCGGACAAATTTAATATTATCCAAAAGAAATATTCAGTTCCTAATGTATTCTCCGTCAGCAACGGCAGACGGCAGCGGCGGTGCAATATTCGTTTGTGCACCAACATACCACTAAGACTGATGGTAGTTGTGCCAGTAGTGGGACCGAAATGGTCAAACGCGCATACGCAACTGGTGCAAAAATTGTATCTGACCGTCCACACTCCGCGACCGCTGTCGCTGTGTTACGATGACATACCTATAACGTGCGATAACATTCTTTTTTCTCGACCTTTCGCGTTAAATATTTCTTTAATTCTAGAAAATAATTTGTGTTCTTATCTCCAAAGCTATTGCGAATGCATTTCTAGTTTATAATATAATATATATTATAATAATTAATAATATATTTTTGTATTGTAGTAATATAACAAAACAATGTGCCTATAGTTTTCATAATTGTATGGTGGTACACTGCTCCTGTGCACCATAGCACGAGCCACCATTGGTTGTAATCATTTTAAAACGATCATAATAACAATAATTATATTAATATAATAATAATATAATCATATTTTCTGGAGTTATGATTGTTTTCGCGGGTAATTTAATTCAAAAATAAACGTAACAAAAGATACGCCCTTGTTCGCTACCCGCTAGTAAACCAAATATTAGGACTTAATATTTTATTTGATTTATAACCTCTTGGGTAGAGTTGAGTTAATGCCGTTTTCGTCGGGAATTAAGAAAAAACCGCTTTATCTAATAAAACAAATAACATAAAAAACGAAAAATATTGAGTTACGTCTTTCTTTGTAGGAGTTGTCGATTTATACGTCGTAAATACATTATATAGTAGTATTAATGATAAGACAAGAATAAAATATTATATTGATACGCTTAAACATATTGACTGTTTTAGGATTTAAAGCAATATTTTAAAAAATTAGGTCAAAATGTTTAAAAAAAACATTATAATAAAGTATTTTCTGTTAAAAATATATATGAATACGGGGGGGGGGATGTTCAGAAATCCCTACCTGTACCCAAGAGGGGTTCATATAACTTGAATTTTGGACTTTGAATTAGGTGATTTTATCTCAGATATTTTTTTATTTGAAATAAAATTTAAACGGTACTGAAATTTTATTTAATGTGTATTAAAAAACGAAAATCTGTGATGAACGAAAATAGTTTTTTCAGTCCTTTGGAGTTCCATTTTTCGACAGTTTTCACTGCACTACAGCAGTAATATTATTTTTATTATAAAATCTATAGCTATACGTACCTAATAATAACCTAGGTGTACTTAATAATATTATTTAGGTGTGTAAAATTACTGTATTTTTTATTCTCGTTGATTATATCTGTGTGAAATGTAAAATAATGGCGTAGGCTATAATGATTCTAACCTATCTGACTCTTGGTCTCGGCAGGACGTAGACGATAGCTGACTTTACTGACTTACCGAAGATTTTCGAAGATTGTGTAACGGATGAGATTCGAAAACTGTTGAGCGAAAAAAACACTCGATATATAGAATTATTCACTGAGGAACTTTCCCGACGGAAAAATGTAGAAAAAAAATTAAAACTGCGCTGTATACGATAAAAATAATATTAATACTATGTCCGGGCGAGCCGATCGCGTTGTACCTACCTACATACACAGTAATACGAGACTGATACGCAAAACTCATGTACATTGTACATACACACGCTGATTTTTTTTTTTTTTTATGCATCTCGCGTATCTGGTATCTTACACAATTCATATTTCATAATATTAGTATACAAGTATATTATAGATACTATAGTTAATTTGTTTATAGGTATGTGGCGTGTATAGGATTTTGTTAATGAGGGAAGTTTATAATTTTAAAATCGTGTGTCATACATACTGGTAAGTATGCCGTATACTAAACCATAAGACTAAAAAAAATATTTAATTTATACATTTTTGTAAGTAATTTATAATTATTTAAACTATTCTAAAATTTATATTTAAATCGAATTAACTAAGTAAAATACTATTACTAGTATTGGTTTAGTATAGATACTAATCTGGTTCTAATGTGTCGTTTTAAACAAAAAAATGGATAACCTCCATGTTTTGGTTTTTTGATATTATATTAAATAACACATTTTTGACACATGTTTAAACACATTTTAGATTTTTTTGACCAGAAAACTATAACTTCTACGACAACTTTGTGATAACTTGTCAGCAGGGGTGGAGTGAGAACCAATTCAGTCCGGGAGATTAAAATTTATCCAGGCAACCCAATAAAATATGTACTTACCAAACATAATTTTTCTTGCGTTTTAATTTGAACCAATGGTGCCAGGATTTTAAGTTGAGAGAAGTTAAATACATTTCTTCTTAAAGCATGATCGAAAATAAGAAGGGGTAGAGGAAATTTCCACCCTCCTAAATAATTTACAAAAATGATTTCATCAATATGCATTGAAATGTAATAATTCAAACGAAAATGTAGATAACGCCAAACCGGATTTTTTACACTATATACATTATATACCTACGTGTGTGTGTGTTAATACAAATAATACTTACTATGAATTTTATCTTCCTAATATTATTATTTTACATCATTCGTCATTATGTACTTATATTATGTATTTCATATATGTTATATGCATAACGAAAACTGGCTGTTCTATTTTTCTTATCTCGACACATTTGTTTTCACATTTGAACCTGCAGTATTAAAAAAACAGAATATGTTTTACGACTGCATCGTAGGTACTAGATGAATAGTGGGGTATATAATTTAATCAAAATATCATTTTCGTCTGCACCAGCTGACCTCTGTATAATAAATTGACATATTAAACACTTTACACGCGTACACTGATAATAATTATATATTAATTGCATTACATGGGCAAACATGTCATTGAAAATAAACAATGAGTTTGAGAATACAATAACATGTATACATAACTAACTTTAGCCTTCACCAATGCAGAGGCGGTGTTTAGGGGAGCCGCGGGAGCCATAGTCCCCCCCTATACATTTTGTTTTACTGTACTCGTATAAATAGTTTTTTTCTAATTATGTATAGGCATGCCTATATAATATATATATTAAAAAATATTTCCCCACCCCCCTAGGCAAAGAACTAAATCCGCTACTGCGCCAATGAATACCACACTAATTTAACATTTATAGCATCCACTTTATGTTATACACATAATATTATACAGCCATACAGGGTTTTCTACGAAGATTTACCCGTCTCCCCAGAGAATAAAGATAATAAAATTCTGTTTTTTCCTTTTTATTATTATTACTTGCAGGGATAAGGACTACACATTTTATATTTTAATTCAATTTGCATGTTTTATTAAATACTTAAAAAAATAACTTTTAATTTTATTATTTTGAAGTATATTATAATGATTTGAAGATAGCCATTTTATAGAGTTTATTGTTCTTCTAAATATTTTGACGTATTAACTTTTTATTTTCATTAAATTAGTGATTTTCAATAATTGTTTAAAGTTCATAGTGCCTATAATTATGTAGCAGGCCGTAATCGTAGTCTGCGACACAAAAACTGGCGGTGGCCGCCATAACACGCCCGCCATAGTCCAACCGTTAGCCATGAGTAATCAAACTGCACTGCGCCGCAGCGATGTTTACACGCCAGAAAGAGTTAATACTTCCCAAGATAACGAGTGTACCCACCTGGTATAATATACATATTTGGGGGGAGGGGGTTCAGACTTCTGAAATTCAAATGAGAACCTTTATTAGAAATTCCATAAATAAATGAAGTAATATTTCAAATAAATTTTAGTTTTGAAATTTTTGATTTCCGTCAACCCATGACAAGATATTTAATTTTCTATTTTAGGCAGGGGGAGAGTAGTAGAACACTATTCAAATGCCGCGCTCCGTGCCGTGCTACTACACAAGCAACCACAGCGCGTAAAAATTGCTGGTAGAAAAGTTATCCACAAAAAAAAAAATCGTAATATTTTACTTATTTCATACGTTTTCCCATTTTTTTTTTGTTTTTGGTTTTTCACATTTGATGAGAAAACTCCTGAGAAAAATCGAAAAATAATCATCCTTAAGTACTAACCTAAGAAAATTTCCTTTTAGAAAAGGGTCTTCATAGTATACATCGGAGTAAGCTTTTTTGTAGAAAATTCGATAAATAGATGGATTATTAGTTAAATAAATTTTAGTTTTAAATATTTTTGATTTCCGTCAATCCATTTACGAGATATTCCATTTTTAAGTTTGGGTTGGAGGAGAGTAGTAATGCATTATTAACACGCTGCAGGCCGTACCGCCACACAAATATTACTCAAATGACAAATTAATTTTTTTTATTGAATTTTGGATCTAGTAAATGTATTATGATCATGTTTTAATTTTCCCAATTATATTGGAAAAACGAGAAATTCACGATCATTCTCTACTCGCAGGCGCTTTAAAACATGGGTTCAAGCAAATATGAGGGATGAGCAACTCACAAGTCACAGGTCTCGCTTTGCTCAATCCACAAAAATGTAGTCATAAATATTGATGAAATCATTTCTAGATTTGGAAAAACCAAAAATGAAAAATAAACTTTATCATTTTATTTTAAAAATGAACAATAATTAATAAAGATTCAATAGTTAGTTGATGATTTACTATCATTATTTTTAATTATGTATTACTTTTTTGTCTTTTTTGAAAAAATGACACCACAAATTTTAGGTTTGGTGCGGGCCTGCTTATTAGATTACCTATTTACGTTTACAAAATTGTTGGATGATGACGTAATATTGAATTTTTTGAATTACATCAAAGTTCAAGAGTGTTTAACATTCAACCTTACCATGTGAAACCTATTTAAAATCTAGAACGTTTTGGATTTCTAAAAATCTAATTTGATCTACCTAAGTAGCCTCGTTTATAAAAATAAATTAACATCTATTTTATAAAATAATTATTTATGTATTAAAATACATTCATTATAAAGAAAAATATCACTGATATAGTAATATCTATGACAATAGTTAAGTATACAGAGTTCAGTTTGTACATTTTGCTAAAGACAAATATTTATGGAAGAAGGTTCAAACTAAATGACGTGATATCTATGGATTATGGCCTGTAACAAAATTAAAGTAAAGATAGGTAGGTACCAAAAATAGTGTAATATTCTTAAAACACGTTCAATGTAATAACAGGAATAGTATATTAATATGTTCTAACCACTTGTATCGCCACGACACCGTTGATCATAGCGAGTTAACGTCACCACAGATAAATCAATTCGCAATTATTGTCTTTCGTAGTAGTTTTTATCAAGTTAATCAAATTTTAAATTTAATTTCAGTAAAATTGTGTTCGCAAAAATTCAAAATTTAGAGTAATATATTCGATGTAGTATATGATAGTAGTAATTGACTTTTGCAGCAATTGTAGCAACCCCATTATACAATCACGACAATAGATAATATTATCTCTTACGCGAACACGCGTCGGTGACACGAAAAATACTGATAACGAACGTTTCAGAATCCAGATTACTAACGTTTATGTTTTGCTTTCGATCTGTATTATTTTTTCATTTCTTTCAATCATTATTATTTCGTTTTACTGGGATAGGGTTAAATAATTATTTAGTTTGGTATTATTTCATTTTTTCACATCCATCATATCGATATTAACACTGTTTGTAGACCATGTCTTTGAACTTAACCAAAGCAACTGGCACCGATTATTTCCTTACCAAGGAACTATTGGTAGCTCTTCTGGTTCTGCTTGTCACATTAGGTAAGCAGTCTATATGATATTTTGAATTTGATCTACTCATTTATTGTCTAACAATGTATGTTTTTCTTCAGTACTGTTCATTTTATGGAAAAAAAGCCGGGCAACTAAAAGTGATGTACTCCTTGTGGGGTTGTGTGATTCTGGTAAGACTGCTCTCTTTTCATACTTGTCTTTCAACAAACCAATACAGTCGTTTATGTCCCAAGTGGAGAATATTGCCGAGTATAAAAGTAAAAAGGTATTGTACTAAAACTAGGCACATTAAATTTTAGTAGCAAAATGTACTGAATTGTAATTTTGGTTTTCTAGAGCTTGTTACGCCTAGTCGACATTCCTGGACATGAAAGAGTATTCCCAAAATATTGGGAAATGTATAAAATGAATTGTAAAGGTGTTATGTTTGTTATAGATTCAGAAACAGTACAGACTAACATATGTGATGTGGCTGAGTAGGAATTTCTTGAAATTCTATTAATATATTGGGTAGTTTTATGACTTGTCTAATTACCTGTATCTAATTTTCATTATATTATAGGTTATTGTATAGAATTTTAACTGATGATACTATTCAATCGAACAAAGTTAAAATTATGATTGTGTGTAACAAACAAGATAAACTGATGGCCAAGGGAGCGGAAGTAATAAAAACATTACTTGAAAATGAACTGTTAGTAATTAGTAATTATTGTTATCCTTGTGATTTTACATTTATTTTATTCTATGTTTTAGAGATACATTGAAGTTAACTAAGATGAGTCAGCTAGAAAGTATTGATGGCAAAAAGAACAAATCTCTGCTGGGAAGAAAGAAGAAACATTTTGACTTTTCACACTGCCCAATGCCTGTTGAGTTTGCAGAAATAATTTCTGCATGTCAAGATGTAGTTTTAGAACCAGTTGTTAACTGGTTGGAAAAAATGCAGTAATTATGTTTCTAGTACAAATTATCCAATAATTTTTTCTATTTTTTAAATCATCTTTGAACTTTGACCATTTTAATATATTCTGGCCGCCAAAGTGTATTTTTTTTAAAAAAAGGTTATAATCTATATTTACATCAACAATATTTGTTGTTATTAATGTTATTATTATTTTAAGTGTTATTATTATGCAATTGAATTTCTTTTGTAAATAAAATACAAAAAAAAAAAAAAAATTAACTATGGATAATGAGATTCAAATTTCACTAAATTTTACTGAAAAGAAATAGATTCAAAATGTACATTTATATTATTTTTGGATGGAATTTATTCTAATGTTTTGTTTACTATACCTTTATTTTTGTGTATAGTTCTGTATTTTTTCTTTTACAATTTTATATATTAATGTATATGTTTTGATTTAAAATATTTTAGGGTTAAAATATTGTTGAATAAGATTTGTAATTATATAATTAACTTGTTATATTACGCGGCTTCGTCCGTAGCAATTTTATAACTTAAATTTTAAATATTATTTTTAATATAGAGGTAAGAATGTTGATTAAATAACTCTAAAAAAATTAATATAAAAAGCTAAATAATTTTGAATAATTTTGTATTATAATTGTATAGCTGCTGCCCGTGACTATCTGTGTTTTCATTATTATTTTTTAAATGACAGATGCTACCTATTGCAGAATCCAAAAACTGAGGGTTAAATTACTCAGATTGTTATTCACAGGGGGATATAATTATTTATTGTTTGTTCATACTTTTAGTAATACTAGCTGTTCTGACCTGATATTGTAACAACCTAACCTTATTAATCAGAAATTAGTCAACAGAATTATATTTCTTTTAGTTCAAAGACAAAGTGTAAAGTTTTTTATAACCTTAATTGAAGAAATGTTAAGATAAATTATAGCCTATAAAACTCGGAGATAGTGTAACTTTAAAAAATAAAGTTTTCCATTTTTACTCTTTTCAACACTCTTAGTAGTTGAATTATGGAAAATATTTTCTTAGTGGGTCTACATTATAAAACAAAACTCCTGACCAATTATCATACTCATAGATTTAGAGGTTCTAGCTAGGCGATGATTAATCAGTCAATAAGTCACGCATATGTAAAAAAAATAATTAAAATAAACATTTTTATAAAACCATGTTTCTTCACTCCACTCAGAATCTAAAATTAGTAAAACACGGAAAAAAACATAAAATTAAAACTAGTAAATATATGGCGTTATGATTTCATTATTTTAAATGTTTACGGTTAATATTTTCAAGAAAGTGAACAAGAAAATCATTTTTTAATTTACTTTGTTGTTGTTTTAATAATTGAGTGCAACAGAAAAAAAATGCATAAAATATGGGAAAATAATTCTTTTATTATTTTCAATTTTGTTTTTTTTTTTAACCATTCAGTTATAAATATTCACAGAAACTTTTGTTTGGTGTTATGGGAGAGGGGTGGGAAATTACGGAAAACTTTTCTAAGCTAGTTATGCATTTAATGTTATCTAAAGCCGTAATTTTTAAGATTTTCGTTAAAATTTGATTGAACGTATTATACATAGCCCAATGGTGTATTGGGGGGTACACGTTGTATACCCAATACGTTGTTTTTGATTTTTTATCTATGGTGTGTAGCATATGACAAATTGATGATACACGAGTATACGGACGTATCTACTGTATATTCTGTGTGGCAATTATAAATATCTATTATATATGTATATAAACTATTGTACATTTTAATGAACACGAATTGTAATACAGGACGTAACACGTAGATTTATTTATTTTTTGATTAAAAATTATTATCATTGAAAAATTAAGGTTTTTTTTTTTTTTTTTATCAAGCATTCATAATCAAATTATCCATAAAGTAAATATGTTGTGGGGAGGACTTCGGTCGCCCGAAATATATATGTTCATTGTTCATAGGTCATCCTTTAGATCATATACTATGGATAGAGTCACTGTATACTAAACGTGTATGACACTACGAGTTGAATACATCATTATTAAGTTGTACGCGTTTCAAACGCCGCGATTTTAAAACGCAAACGCGCTTCGCTTGCACATTAGGCGCGTTTCTCAAAGATAAAAAGCGCGCAATACTTTGTATTTTGTGATTTACTAGTCTTGACGTCTTGCTGTTACTGTACACCGTACACGAATACATGTGCAGTAGTATTTCGCGTTGCAATCCACTGTTATTTTGTTTAATATTTTCAAATTTGGAAAACTTAAACGATATAGAAGTCGCATGTGTTATGTTCACACAATACGAGGAACATGAACAAAAACAAAAAAAGTGAAATGGCGACATTGCATCCATCCATTTAATCTAAAACAGTGGTTCTTAACCTTTTTCGGCTCAGCGCCCCTTTACCTAGAAAACTGATGAATTACACCCCCCCTCCTTTCAACCCATCAAAAAATTCGTATACGTCTATGGAGCTGTATTCTAAATTAAAATAAAAATTCTCAATTTATTTGAAACTCGAATAGTTCGTTGAATCTTGCTGTCATGACATTTTTTAGCTTCAAAAGATGATCACTGAATATGTTAATTTTGTCACCAGGAATCTCACCATTTGCATCTGAACATGTCCTGATATTCGGAAACTGACTAGTTCTTGGCGATTCGGCGATGAATAAAGGAATGGTAAGACACGTGAATGCACACTTGTTTACTCGAAAACGCCACTTGCCGAAGTTTATAGTTGGGATATAATCACGTACTGCGAAGTGGGCCCTAACACTATGGGCGAAATAAGTATAAAAGTTAATCTATTAATAAATATATTATTGAAGAATTTCCTGAAAAACTCGGTTAGATAACGTGGCGTACGAACGTAACATTATACGGCGTACGCCGTATGCAATCGTAACTTTTACATTTGAGAGCCCACCGTCCCAACAACGCCCCCTTCAAACATACCGCCCCCCTGAAGGGCCAAAATGCTCTCTAACTGGCGGTACCGCCCACGTTAAGAAACACTAATGTAAAAAGACAAGAAAATGGTTCTTCATTCGACACCTCAAGAATAAACACTCCAGTGTCAAACATCTTTATAACATAAATTGATACAATTTGTACGGAGACTGTACAAAGGTGACGGCACAATATTATGAATGAATGAAAATAAAACGCCGTGCCATTGTGGCGTCCGAATCGCCCGTGTGTTATCAAAATCGGAAATGCATTGAAAATACATTGAGAAATGATTGTTTAATTATGGTTAAGAAACGCTGAGAAACGTACAACATTAAACATGCGCGTTTCGGCGCATTCAAACGCGCATCTCATTTTCGTGTGTGTATAAAAGTAAATGTATAATTTTGAACGATTAATCGCGACGTTCGCAAATTCCAACTGGGGTGTTCTTGAAGTAACACCTCAGTTACATTTCCTTTCAAAAGAAGTGCTGCCATTGGAAATTGAAGCAAGATTTCTGGTAAAAGTTATTCACAGAAAAAAAAACATAGTTTTAAAACCACATTCCTTGTTTTGCTCAGTATCTAAAATTATAAGTCAATATTCTTTATTTTTCCTTAAAGCATTATACTATATTATAATCAAAATAATATCTTTTTCACATTTTTAATAATTTATTTATAATCTTACAAAATAAATAAAACATAAAAAGCAATAAAGCAAACAAACTGAATTTAAAATTTAATTTAAGGACCCCATCAAAAATTAGTTTCGGACCTAAAAATTCATAAGTAGGGGTCTGTTTATATTGTATTTAATATATACAAATATACCATAGCATAAAGATGAAGAATGAAAGATATATTGCAACCAATTATTATTATGTTAATTAAGTTTTAACATTAAAAAACCAAGATTTTTCAAAAGAAATATATTTTTAAAAATAATACTAAATAAACATTTTTAAAATATTTTTTTAATTTTCATAATAAATTAACACATTTAAAATTTTAAAACTGTTGTTTTTTCTTCAGAGTTGGTTTTTATTATCGATCACCACAAAATATGCAGACATTATATAAAACAATATACCTAACATAAAATATTGTATCTCGATAATTACCGAAAATATTATATCAAGGTAAGACGGTAGACTGGTAATTCCAAATATCAAAAGTACTACCAGCCCTATGTTATAGAAATAAAACAAAACAAAGTTCCATTTAATATAAATAATATATATATATATGTATAAGTTCTACATTTTTAGTACAACCATTTATAAATATTATAAACTCTAACTGCATATCTGTCCATAGTCATTTCTAAAATGTTCACTTAAATGTAAATTTTAAATATTTTTAGACCTTTGTGCTATAAAGATAATATATCAAGTACATGATTTTATAATATATAGGTTTTTTTTTTTTGTGAATAGTTGAAAATATATTAAAACATAAATACACGAATAAGTGAGATGACAATCGTCTGAATTAATTTAAATAGCTTTTTCTAGCAATATAATTTCTTTTTCTTTTTCTTCTATACGATTCACACAAATACATAACATGTTATGAGCTACAGCAGTCAGTGAACTATTTTTACCTAAAATTAATTAATTTCACATTAGGTTTGATTACATCAAAATCGTAATATATTTTATTTACAGAGGACTATATTTTATTGGAAAATACTTTTAAATATTTTCAAACATTTTATCCGGCCTCTTTATTTACCATTGTATAAAGTGCAGTTCACAACAATTTGATTTAAATCATATAAAAGTTGTTCACGGTTCTTATATTTTTTTAAATGTATCTTAGCCCTTATCTTTTGTAAATCCATTGGTCTTTGCACAATATTGTAGTAATCTGGTATCTTCTTTATAATTTTTAAGTAACCACATTAATATAATACATAAATTGTTAATTTAAATAATAATAATAATGGTTATTATTATTAGTTATTATTATTATATTAGATAGATTACCTTGGCATCTACTGGATAGATAAATGGGTGCACATCAGGTATATTACATATCTCATTCAATATAGATTCAAAAATATTAGATAAAACAGTTAATAAATCAGTATGGAGTTTATTGGGAGACTGCTTACATTTTTTTAAATAATCACAATCAAATTCATTTTTACGTTTTTTTTGTGACAAGATACCTTTGGGGATTTTCAAAATCAAAGATCTATTTTCCGTGTTTTCTATATTGTGCTATTAAACAATAAAGGGATAATCAAAAACAAATATGATTATTTATATTCATAATTTCTTAACATAGTTAAAGTATGCAATCAATAAAAAAAATAAAAAGAGTAACCTTAATTTCAACATTATTAACCAAATTATCTTCAACTGTGTGTAAGTGATTTCCAGCATTATTAATAAACATATCTGGGTTCACAAAGTACGGAACATAATCTTTTTCTTTTAGCGAATCTGGTATAATTTGGTTTCTAAATTTAATCTCTTTCTGGTACATATGATGGTTTGTAAAATTTTCATTGCTTGTTTTAATTTTTATGTAAGCATCTATCACATCCATGTTGCGTACAGTTTCCACTCTAGTAAATTTTTTTCCATTTAACCCTTGATATGTTCTATAAATCTTAAGTACACGTCCTAAAAGAAAAGTTAAAATATTAATTTGCTATACTTTACATACAATTGACATGGTAGGTGTTCATTTAATACTTGGTTTTTTGGATGTAAAACGTGTATAATCATCATTATACTTTCCTTTCTTACCAACTTTTTTAATGTTGTTATTGTGTTCTTCTGTCAACATTTTGTAAAGCCTAAGTCGATCTTGTTCTTCATTTTCCTTTGACAACTAAATCAAAAATAATAGACACTTTAGAATTATACAAATTATTATCATTATTTTAATATACATTTATTAATTTAACATATTTAGACTTATGTTATTTTATGATATACACCAGTTATCTCTTAAAGGTTGTTAGATTTACACATCACCTTACAATTTAAAAATATATGGTGACAGATTAAATACAAATTACATATTAAACATTTTGTTTATTATGTGATCTATGAAGTTTTATAAAAGTTCAAAAATATATAATAAAAAATTATTAGATTACTTGAAATAACTTTTGCATTTTCAATATTTTTATTCAATAATTTTTCTTAATCTAAAAAGCCATGTACTATAATTTTTATCAATTATTTTAGAAAATATTATACCAGTAAACTGGTAAATAAGGTACAATATGAAAGACCATAATATTGTTTTAACATATATATGCATGGCGTATGAAAATATTATATTTTTAACCTCTATAAAATTATTTGCAATGTTATAATGAAACAATTTTATCTTTAGAGCTTTATTTTGGAAAATAATACCTCTGTGCTTGTTTTTGTATTAGTTAATATAAATTCAATGCTTTTTCCCATTTTTTCAATATCAGAATAATTATCTTCACCAAGGTCTGCTTCATCATCAGTGGACAATAATTCATAAGATGATAGCACTTGATTTTGTAGGTCAAATATCCGTTGGCATTCTTTTTTATATCTAAAATGTATGAAAATAATATTCATACTTTATTTAGATTAATTTATAGACAAAATAATCAAGTATTACCTTTCATGATATGATTCAATGATTGAATAATGTTTACCTCTGTAAAATTTATTCATTTCTTTTTTGTTAGCATTTGCATTTTCAGTACATAATTTACGGACCAAATCAATCATTTTCCAACGTGACATTTGTTGTATTTCTTCTTCAGGTACAGCAAATTTCTTTATTACATTTTTTGCATCAGTTAATGACCATCGCCTTAAATCACCATGTAATCCAATAACACGCTTTATTGGTAGAGATTCGTGTACTTTTTTATTAAACTAAATCAAATACTTGTTGGTACTTATTTATTGAACTAATATAGAGTAAAATCAAGCAAATTTAAAATAACATACACTTGATTTATTAGTTATCCGTACATATGAAAATCCTTCTCCGCATCCAGTGGGATCTGCAGGGCCAGTTAGTTGAAGTAAACACTTTTTTTTCGCAGCTTGAATGTATGCGCGTGTTGTATTCCATGGAGCAACTTTAATTTCATCATCCAATTTCAATTGGATTTCCTCATTATCATCCTCTAAACTAGCCAGTATACATTTTACACCGTAACCAGCATCCTAAAATAATAACAATAATAATAAAATAAAAAATGTATTACCTAACAGGAAAAAATCATTTACTTGAAGTCTTTGTTCAGCTGCTATCATGCTAAAATAAGCACAACACTGCTCTGGTGATACCATAGCACGAATTTCTTCTTCTGGTGGTAAGTAAAAATTGGGTTTTAATATCCACCAATTTGAAAAAGACCCTAAAACATTAAATTGTATACACAAAACTTGATAACTAGTGCTAAATCATTTCCCCACCCCATTATAAGTTAAGGTAAGAAAATAAAGTTAGTAAATAATGTTTGTTTTTTAATTTTTTGCTTAAATTCTCACAAGTCCTTATCAAACTATTCTTTAAATTTTGAAGATATTACCACTTGTTTCCAAACTTTTAAATATGTTATTTACCAGTTCTTTTAAAATCTGCACAGAGTTTAAGAATATTTCTTAGTTTAGTTTCTGAATACTGTGGAAATGCTTGTTTAACATCATCCATTCTTAAACGTTTTGGACAATCATTACTTTTCCAAAATAACCGATAAATAAAAACCTAGGTATATAGAAAGACTTTTTAACAAAACAAAGTGTTTAAACCTAACTTGTGATTTACCCGTATAAAGTTTGTTACAAAAAGTTTAGCATTTTTTGCCTTTGGACCTGGAACTTCGTATAATGGGCAAAGTTGCCCTGACGTAAATAATGCATCTATTTCTCGTACATAATATGCATCTCTACAAAAGTACAAAATAAAACTAATGGTAAATAAACAAAATATTTTAAAATTGTATTCACAATTCGATTACCTTGTTCTTATAAGTAGGAAATCACTGTCCAATAGTTTATGTTCATATATTGGTGCTCTAAATAAATTATTTTCAATGACTTGAATCGTTTTACCAGGAGATAATATACCTAAAAATAATTCATTATGAGCATACACAGTTTCCCCAAATTGTAAAGCTGGTAGAGCTGGGTCTTTACTCGAGTTACATTTATAATAATTTTTAATTTTTGAACACATTCCAACCTGTGAATAATATATAAATAAAAAATATCAAATTTACAGCACTGATTAAGATTAAAGTATAAATAAGATATTTTCATTTAAATTTGTTTACATACTTGACTCAATAGAGGTGGATATTCTTCACAATATTCAATGAGAATAATAGAACCGTCTCGACCTGTCAAATCATCTGGTGTTTTCATAAAAAATACATTACTGCCACCAGAAGTTATTTGCTCTTCTTTTCTTAGCTAATTTAAAAAAAAGTAATACTTATTTAATTATAAAAAATAGGAAATTCTTCACACATTTTATAAAGTCACAAAGATAAGTGATAAAAGTCTGTTTCATAATAATATTTTATAATTTTTAATTTATGATGAAATAATAGTTTATTCTGAGTACCTTTGCTTTTATTTTTATATTTTCCGTAAGTGGATATACAGGATGAAATGTGCGCTGAGCAACTGTACCATGAGAGTATCTCTTCATTGATGGGCGATGGAAATTTCTTAAATACACGGGTCCCATAAAAGTTGGTATAAAAGGTTTTCTTAATTCAAGAACAGGTATTGAATGTTGTATATCATCATATTTGAGACATTTGTCTGAGACTTTTGATTGATAATAACTATAAATACATATAAATTATAAGAATATTTATTAAAAATATCAAGAAAAAATTATAACTAATATATCTAATATAACTTTATCACATAATTTGATTTATATTTAATATTAATAAGAAACAAACAAATATTGATAATGGGCATGTTTTCACTTGATATTTTGTGTTTTGGGTATTATAAGTACAAAAGAAAAAAAATAATCTTAGAGGGTTCAGGGAGGGTTAGGAGGATGGTGATTTACCACTCTTTGAGATGTAATTGGCTCACTCAATCTATTAGTTCAGTGTTTCTGAAAATGTGTGAGCCACTGGAAAGCTATATGAATTATTATGCTATACCATGGACACTATTAAAAGTTATAGCCTTAATGTTTTTAATTATTTTATTTAGTTTCCTCTAAGATATTAATTTTACAAAAACAACATTTTTAAGGAAAACAATTATGTAAAATAATTTTAAACTACATTTGTATTAGTTGACAATAGATTTTCATTATTATTATTCTATTATTAAAAAGAATTTAACTGAAACATAGAAATTGTACATAGTTTATACACTTACTAGTCATTTGAAACATTAAATGGATCTCTGTTTGAAGATTTGGATGATAATAATGATATATCTTCACTATTTGCATTAATAACTCCAACTTTGCTATTCAATATTTTTGATTTATTCTTACAGAAATGTGACATTTTTGATTTGGTCAAAGCAACACTATTATGCATTTGTTTTGCTAAATCTTCATCATTAGGAAAATTCAATATAATATTTTCATCATTTGGATCTAGTATCAATATTTTTGGATAAGGCATTTTTTCCATATTTTGAGCATCCCAAATAATCTCATCTTCCCAGGTACCATGTAACAGTTCTTCATTTTCCACTGGAAATATATTATGTATTAAAGCTGTAACTTGTTGCATTGAATATCTAAATAAAAATTTGTTGAAAATCAATTAATTAGCTAATAGATAGATACTTTAAATATATATTATGTTTGAACCATTGAACTACCAATTAATTATTAACATTTTGGTCATACATAATATAATTTGGATTTATATTTATATTTAAAATAAAATAAGAGTTAAGTAAATAGAGTGGAGTCCCTATGGCCACTCATTTTTATTTTATTATTAATTAAGGCAATTTTGTAATTTGATTAGCCATATGGTTATTATTATATTCATCTATTCATCTACATTAATTAATTCACTAGGCGATATCAATTATTATAAAAAAGGTTAACAATATAGTTGGTCACAAAACGGGCAAATGCAATTTTAAATTATTAATACAAATTTCTCATTTCATATTGTTTTGAAGACTTTAAAATTTAAACTGAGTTTCAGTAAACTTATTTTGTATTTATGGTTTAGTTTTGAATTTTTTTTTTTTTTAAATGTGGATAGATTAAATATAAGGTAGTAACTCCACTCTAGGTTTAAATAACTGTAAAATGAAAAATAATGATTATAATATAATATTTCTAACAATTGGATACAACTGTTAACAAAACAAAACAAAACAAATAGATTAATTAAATTGAATATTTAAAATAATAATAAAGAATTTATCCAACAAATTTAAATTTTGGAAAAAAATATTTTCAATATTTTGAATAAATTATATTTAAATACTTATTTAATTCAAAAATTGTAAAATAAAATATAGTCTTAAATTAGATTAGAAGTACAAAAATTTAATTTATTTTTTCAAAATCCTTTTTAAATGATATCTTACATAAATGGCGATTTAGTAGCTAAACAAACTGATCCACCAGCGAGAGGACAATTTCCATTACTTGGCTGGTATAGTGTCCATCCAGCAAAACTAGTCTTATTATTCATTTTTTGAATGACTTCATGTTTTTTATCATCTCCATTCCATATTATATCATCTTCCCAATACAACTGACTAACCATTAGATACGCATCATCTGGATATGGATTTTCTTTTATTCTATTTTCTTTGTACTTATTCAAAATAGGTAGTAAAAATAAGTCAAGTATAGTTAACTATAGTAAAACTTGTATTAATAAGTTTTCTTACTTTGTTGTCTTTTAGTTTAAACCCGTAATCAAGTTCTTTTACATTTTCAGGAACTCCCATCATATCATAAAATAATTTTGCTGGTCCTATTCGCCAATGTGCTTGATTATTTGAACAGTATTTGTATTCTTGTTTAAATTCACTGTTCAATTGACCTAAAAGAATTTCCTATGGAAAATAAATGTAGGGTTTAAATTGATAACTGATATCTAGGTGCTTAATAATGAAATAGAATATGACCATCTCATTATAACTAACAAGTTCAGGATCAGAATTCCTGAAATCATCTATAGGAAATGGACTGTCCATAGAATATTTATGTATTTTTTTTTTACATTTTGTTTGAACATGCCTCCAAACTTTAGGTAAAAGGTTTGATTTGCTTGACTTGAACAATCTTAAAAATCTTAATGGCTAAAATAAATAATAAATAAAAATATAATATAATCTCATTAAAAAATAATAGTACACACTACACAATGATATAATATGAATATTACTTTATTAACTCTAAAATCAGGAAATAATGTTGTTATATCCACATTTTCGTATTTTGATGACGACATAATTAATAATTATGATTTATGTTTCTATAAATAATAGATAGGAAACATTGGTGATTAAAAACGTAAATTATGTTTATTTTTTTGTATAAATTTAGTTTACCTCACAAGCGGTTTTTCCAAATATTTTATTATTCTATCCTGTGTACCTTTTTTTGCTAAAAACAATACTGTAAAAATATTTTTTTTTTGAAATTTTGGGTTTTTTTAACAATTCATTTGGCTTTACTTATACAGGATCTTCTACAATGTTATCCAAATCTATTAACTCTGTCAATATTCATTTTTTTTTTTCAATTGGTCATTTTAAGTCATTTTAATTTTAACATTTCTTAATATCTTGTACCTATTACGACTGTGATTACACACTTTAGTGTAATGTGATAGCGTGGTTTTTGATATCTTTCTTAGATGTCAAAACGTCTATAACTAAGAACTATTGATGAGATATGAATGCACAATACATTACAATTTTTAGAATAATACATTTTATAAATTGAATATTTTGTAAACTTTTAGAAGTGGAAAAATAAAAAGGAATTTTTTCATTGATAAAAAGATGAAATTAAAAAGACGTCCTAGGATAATGCAGACGAGTTCAGTTACTGTTTTAGTAATTTAATGTACACCTGTAAGCAACAATAAACCATTGCTTACAAAAAAACTATTCTGAGCTGAGTTCAGTTATAGTGATGATTTGTTAACAATATATATGCTATATTATAGTAAAATAATTAAATAGGCTCTATATATATTATCTTTAATAAAATTTGTTTAATGATGCATCTATTTCCGTTGTTTTCCTAAGTTTTTTCCAGTTTTCTCATGTTTTTTTTCCAATTTTTCACATTTGCTGTGAAAACTCCGAAAAAATTTCAAAAATCACCCCTCTAAAGTACCTCCAGTATCCTTCTAAGAAAATTGCTATCATTAAAAGTTGGAGTAAAATATCTGGTAGAAAAGTTATCCATAGGAAAAAAGAAGGCCATAATATTTTTAGATAATACCTACATCTCTGACATCTCGTTTTTTTTTTTTTTTTAGTTTTTTACATTTGTGAGTAAACTTCGATGAAAATCGAAAAACGATCTCTTTAAGGTACCTCCACACACCAATTTCCTTTCAAAAAAAGTGCTACACGTAAACAATCAGAGCAAGTCTTCTGGTAGAAAAGTTGTCCACAGAAAAAAAAAGGATAGTAAAATAAAAATATTTGTAAAACCATAAGCTTCATCGCTCCACTTAAAATTTAAAATTTAATTTTTTTTTCTACATTTGTGTCCCTTGACACAAAATTTGATTTAAAAAAAACATTAATATTGAAAGTTATTACAAATATTTGGATTACACTGTAGGGCACCCTATGTAATTCGTTGTATACAGTTGTTGAGAAGTGGATTAAATTTAAATTAAAATGTACAAATTCATAATGATAAAAAAAAAAAAAAATTGCAATAAAATTAGTCTGATGAGTTTGAACTCGCAATACGTCGTGTAATAGGGATCCAACGCGACCATTATAAAAAAAAAATTAAATTAAAAATCGTTTGGTAGCTTAATTAGATTTGTTTCTTTTTAAAAATATTTATGTAGGTTCCTATCAGTATTTATTTAATTCGAAATTAAGGTATTTCATGTTTATAAATAATATTTAAGTCATTTCACTCACAAGGTATGGGAATGAAAAGCATTACACCCAAAAATGTAACGATATCAAACTTGTTTGAGAGAAAGCACTCCAAGTAGCGTTTTTGATCTGTCGTAGTTTCAAGTTTGTACGACAAAAATTGCAACAAAGATATACATAATTAACAAAATGAAGTAGCAATATTTGCAAACAATATTGTTTCAAATGTGTCAGATCGTATTGAATAAGTTGCAACTGTTTTAACCATAGATAAAAGCACTGTCCAAGTCAATATCACGATAACCGTGGTTAATACGATAAAATAAGAACTAGTACTTATGCCAGAGCTTTGATTTTGCGCATGTACGCCATATTGTTTTTCTTAAAAATCTTATCAACTTATTTATTTGGTACCCAAATAATAAATATTCATATTAAACATATTAACTTAATAAAAAGTCATGTCAGCACTGAACTCTAAACATGGAACGCGCATTAGGCCGCTAAACGTGACCCCCTATCAAACAGCGCCATATTGATTCCGTTTATGAAATAAACGATAATTCATGGAGATATTTACCTGATGTGGTTATATTTCACGATATTGATGTGCGTATAGTGTATTTCAGGAATTATATATTTTGTCTGATAATTCGCTATGGATAGCAGCGACGGTCAAGGAATTGAAGACGTAGCACAACTAGCACCAATGAAAAAAAGAATAAACGAGGAAAAGTGAGTATTATGAAATACAATTATAGTTATTACCTACGCAATAAAAAAAAACGGTGTTCGGAAAGACGACATGGTAAAAAACAAAATAGTAATAAATATTATTTTATTTGGCTTAACGCAACAACAAACAATATTTTAACAATTATTTAAACAACATTATTTTTACGATTTTCATTTTTTATTTTAGATTATTGGATTATGTGAGAGACTATTAATTGTCAATTTGTACAAGAAACATATTGAGCAAAATGGAAATATATCAATGAGAAAAAATCATTTCAAAGTCAATTGACATTGGCGAATCAATAAAACACAGAACCATTAATGAGTACAAGGGAAAATAAAAGGTGACATCTCCAAAACCGAAAAAAGTAAAAACAAAACTTCTTGAATCGTTTGATAACTTCACGGGGCAGGGTCAGCCTGGGTATCTGAGGGCCTAGACAGGAATTTTTTTCGGGGTCCAATAATTTAAAAAATTAAACCAAATATCAAAATAAGGAAAGGAAAGTATAGTCATTTTAGAATTCAATTTTTTAATTCATAAAAATATTTAAATTTATCTTTATTAAAACTCACTTTTTTAATTAATATATTATCAGGTAGATAATGTTAAATAATAAAATACATACTAGTATATAAATTACAAAAGTATTGAAGTAGCCTTTTTAATTTCATTGGGGATTTGGAAATTTCATTTATAATATCTTCTTTATTTATATTTTCAGATATATCTTTTCCTTTAATATAAGCATTAATGGAGTAAGAATATTTTGAGAAAGTATTGATCTAAGTCTATTTTTAATAAATTTTAATTACAAAAAAACTCTTTCACATGTTACTTGTGTTAGTGGTAATATTATAACACATTTGAAAACGATATATAAATTATTGAATAGATCAGACTGTTTTGATAATTCCTCTATTAATATATAAGCACATATTACACAATGAATGGATTCATAGTTAACTTCTTATTCAGATACTGAATTTTTTATTATTTCATTTTCTTTATCTTGTCCTAATATATTCATTAGGTGTTCTAGAATAATGCTATGATAGTAATTTGCAAATTGATTTAATTCTGTGAGTACTGCGCTTCTTTCAACATTAGCTAATTTTGTTATTTCACTAAATACATTATCTGGAATTTCATTAACAGCTTGTAAATCACAATATTTTTTTGGATCCAACCAGCCATAGTCTTTCATTAATTGTTCATTTGGTATAAATCTTTCAGAAATACTAATTTCTAAATTATCAATGATGAAAAATACCATATATTTGAATTTATTAAATGATGTTATATTTCTTGATTTATCTGTTGCTGTTGCTGACCAGGAGGTATCTTTTTCTGTGAAACTCTTTTTTTAATAAAATCTTCCTCAATATTTATTAATGGTTTATCTTTAAAAAAAAATATTAATTTATTTAGTATATTCTTGAGATCTTTTATATAAATATAAAACATGTTCATTATTTCTAAGTTTTTTAATTTTTTGATTGTAAATAAACTGATACTGGTGTGGTAATAGAATATATATCAAGAAGAACTAATGATATAAGTATAGTCCTAAAAAGTGACCATTTTTCAATTAGAGTTCTTGCCATAAACTTGGTAGATGAATTGAAATTGTCATTATTTTACTTTCTTTCAACAGGTCAGTTTTAGTCGTGAATTATTTATGTATGATAAAATACAAGGCCTTTTCTTTACTCCACCATCTAGTTGTGTAAATTTTTTGTAGTCCATATAATTTATTATGTCCTGAATGGTTTTTTCCAGTAACTGACTTCCATTCTTTTAAAAGAATCTGATAAGAAAACTGCTGTTTGTTCTACCAAACCAAAAATATTTTCAGGTTCAACAATTTTTTTTGTTGAATCTTCCATTATTAAATTTAATACATAAGCCAAACAATGCGTATACACTATTAATGGATTGGAATTTTTCATATGTGCTTGTAATCCATTATATGCACCATTCATATTAGCTGCACCGTCAAAAGAACAGCATATTACATCGGTCAATGAGAAACTTAGAGAATTATTAAACTACTATTTAACTACTATGATTTTCCAAATTACAACAAAGAACTGCAATTGCAGCATTTTGATGAATAGTCAAATTTTCATGTCGTTCAATATCTTTATAGGTGTTATGGTTTGATTTTGCTAAAGCATTATAACCAGAAATAAATTTTGATTCAGAACCAACTGAAAATGCCATACATGTAGCACAATAAAATAATTTAATGTCGACTGAAAATTAAATCCATTTCCTATTTATAACATCACCATTGGATAATTTTTCCAAAATTTAAATTTTATATCTGCTGAAATATTTGATAGTGGTGGTATAAAATTTGATAAAGATGGCGTCAAATTGTCATTATAACTATTTGAAAGTTTTGAAATGAGACTTCATTTATTTTCATTAGTTCTTTTTCGTATGTATTATTTTTCTCTAATTCATTTTGAGGTTTATCTAAATATCAAAATATGAATTTAATTAATTGAATTAATTTGTTTTTTTTTAAACACATATTTTAAATATTTTGATACATAAGTGTATAAAGTAGCATACATATTTCAGTATTTATAAAACATATATGAAAAAGTAATATAGGCATATTTGAAAAGAGGTGAACCCATAAATTAATATTAAAATGAATAATGTGCTTCGGCATGTTATGTACAAATATTTCTTTAATTCTACTTCTACTTAAAAATGTTAACAATAATTACAATATAGTATATACCATTAATATTATTTTTTATTTCATCAGTCATATTATTTTCCTTTTCATTTATTTCCAGAATACTTGTACATTTGATATTTTTATTTTCCAAATTTGATTCTATTTTTATATAAATATAATGAATATAAAAAAACCTATATGATTTTCTCTACATCACATTTATATATTATAATTTGAGTTACATACCATTTATATTTTTCTTACTTTTACCGACTGTGCAGTTAATGTTTTCTGGCGAAATTTTATTTATTAAATTGACTTAGAATCCTTATTTTTTGATATTGATAATTCTAAGTTGGTAAAGTTTAAAAAGAATAAAAATTTGTATATATATTTTAAGATAAATACCTATTAATTAATTATAATCTAATAGTTATTACCTTGCTGAATACGTGCAGGCTGAAAATTTAATTTCATTTGCTTTGGATTATTGGCAGCTTCCATTAACTCTTTATGAAATTTCGCAGCTCTTTTTGCTGCTCCCGATTATGATTTAGGTACCATTAAAAATATTTTCGAAAAAATATGAAATATACATAATAATTATAATTCACTTAAAAGTTAAAACACTATAATAATGAGTTCGAGACAAAAACCCATTCTCTCGACACACATGCGTATAAATAAAACGAATGAGGGAAATGCTGGGTATGTTATTGAATAATCACTTTTAATAGAGGGCATAGAACGAGTTGATTCGGATATGTGGAAGAACTTTATAAGTCACACGAGTACGGAAGAAGATGAATCCTGAGCACACAAGTACCAAAATAAAGAGCGAGACCATAGCTGTGTGCACGAGAGTTTTGAGTACATCGTGGGTACCACCCCATCTTTCATTGAGGCTAGGCGACTCATGGACGGGGTCATTGTGTACTGTGTCATTGATGTGTGAACGCTGCTCCACGATTCACTCCGAACACGGTAGATACCTTATGAGGCGCATACACTGGCCTTACAAACCACGCATTATGCAACATTATCCAACATTCATACCTATTATTTTACTTATAACGCCCAAAATGTCACACATTCTCTAAATGACAGACTCCAACTAGTCTGACTCTCATTTTTTGACATTACACCACACACCTTATGCCATGCCAATGGGAACACGACATGACCAGCGGGTCCATGTGTTCTCTTGTGAGATCGTTCCGCGGAATGGGGATTGCATGGGTATTTACATCCCACAGGATAGATTTTTTCGGTATGAGCTAACCACACAGAGCATCACTGTTCGTCTAAGACGTCTAAGGTGTCGAACCCGTGCACGGCCTCTTGGTAGTAAGGAAAGTTATATGGCATGTACAATTTATGAGCGTTGCTGATGTTCCCCACGTATAGCAATTCCGTGATCACCTTTTCCTTTTATAAAGTCCACTGTTAATGATTCCACAACTTGACAATCTGATGAGACTAATTTTTGGAATGTCATTTGAACTAATGTGTTGACACAGTACAGAACCCTTAATCGCTTCCGAAACATTCATTGTTTCTGGTACATCGTTACTTAGTTAAGGAATATGTGTTAAGTTGTTGTAGGTGGTACATCTAAGTTTATTGTGCCAATCTTCCACAGTTCTTGAAGAGTAGTAAGACTAGCAAAAACTTCTTTTGTTACATTATTGGAAATGACACTAACTGTTTTTAATAGTGTTAATAAGTGCACCTATCATGCTGTTGCCTCATTTGGCCAGATTTATTATCACTGGTTCTTGTGGTACTTCTGCATTCTTGAGAATGTTTTTTTTTTTATTTGTTCATGCATTGTCAACAACAAACTTACTTTTATTAAAATCAATTGATTTTTTTCACTTAAATATGCTTCAGTCAGAAAACTGACTTTTATTTTTCTTGTCTTTATTCTTGAAAAAAAATTTCTCTTTAGGATAATTTCTTTTCTTAAAGATTTCGCATGGAAGGTAAGTATTGTTGTTTCTTTTTTTATACGCTTTGAAAGCCACAGCTTTTTTGTTGATGTTATTTATTAAAAGATCTTCTGTTGACAATCTTAACTTTAAAATATCAGGAATTTTATCCCTATCTGAAGCAGAATTTCTGGCGCTTCTAAATTTTTTGTTCTGATCTGTTAGAATGTTCATGATTTTTGTTATTATCATGTCATCACTAATATTTAATCCTGTAGTTTTCAGCCCGAGGACAATATTTTTAATGTTAGTCATAAAATCTTTTGGTTTGTATCAGATATAGTTAAAGAAATTTGTTTTTGTTGCACTGATTTTTTGTCATAGATTTTTTTCATGACAGACATATATGTATTTTGTAGTTTTACATGTTCAAATATGTGTCGTGGCATGTTGATCAATTGTTTATATTACATTTACTTTAGCATTCTTGGTTTACCACTTGTCTTTGGTTTTCTTAATGGCTTCTGTGTACAATATTTCTTCATCAATGAAGACAACACAAAGACACTTTTGCACAAAGAAATATTTTCATTTCAAAATTGGTATGATTCTGCATTTTTGAGTTTGAGAATTCTAGACAGTTGATTTTCTGTTGTCACAAATAACAAAATCATGGAGGCTTACGTGCCTCACCTTGGTTATGACAATAGTGTCCAATATTGAGTACTAGATAGGTTATACTCGTTTATCGATGAAACAACCAATATTTAACAGTTATATAGGTAGTCTAGTTGTTAAGGCGTTAGGTGTAGAAAGGTTAGATTAGGTTAGGGTCTCAGATTCGATACTTGGTGGTTAGGTTACACCTACGGCGTAGCAGTAAAACAAACTGACATGTTTAATACAAACTCCGATATCATGAACACTAGAGAAGTGTTCTTCTTTAGTATTCATGTTTGATATCTTAAATCATTATGAATGATGATAATAATATAGGGTGACCAGATATCATGAACACTAGAGAAGTGTTCTTCTTTAGCGTTCATGTTTGATATCTTAAATCATTATGAATGATGATAATAATATAGGGTGACCAGATGTGTCTTATAAAAAAGAGGACATTTTTACAAATTATTGTTCCTTTATTGATACTACTCACAATACACACAACCGGTATTATATAACTGTTCATATTGTATTTTAGGAGTACACTAAAATTATTACTAATATGCAAAACATTCGTGAATTTTACACTATTAGTTATTACTTATTACACTCAGTTAGCTGATAAAAATACAGTAGGTAACATATCAGCATAAGAAGTTTAACTACCAAGGTGTACCTGCTAACTATTAACTATTATCTATATCAGTTTCCTAAACTTTTATGGTACGACCCATTTTGGAAATAATTTAAATTTTGGTGATCCACAATAATATCAATGACCTTTTTTTTTTTTGGTTTATTTTTCATTTCTGCAGGATGATTCATGAAATTTGTTGAGTGGCATATTCTCATTTGCAAGTATAGATCCAATTTGTTAGAAATTTTGTTCACAGGTAAAAATAAAAGGCCATAATATATTTTAACTCATACCTACATTTCATAAATTTTCTCGTCTTTCTGATTTATTGAGAAAACTCTTAGGAAAATCTAAAATGACCTCCAGTCATTTCCTTTCAGAAAAAGTGGTACCATTATAAATCTGAGTAAAACAGCTGGTAGAAAAAATGTTCACAGGTAAAAAAATATTATAATATTTTGTCAGTTATTTTTCTGTTTTTATAATATATTGAGAAAAATCTTGGGACAATAAAGAAAAGATCTTTTTAAAGTACCTCCCCAGTCCAATTTCCTTTTAGAAAAATTGCTTTAAAGTGCCTGTAAATCAGAGCAAGATTTCTAATAGAAATGTTTTCCAAGGATAAAAAATAATAATTAACATAATTGTAAAGCCAATATTTCCTTTGCTCCACTTAGAATCAAAAAAAATGTATTATTTAAAAATATAATGTGATCCACTAAAAATATGATCGTGACTCATACTTTTGGAACTTCTAACCTATATAGTATATCTATTGGCAGTATATCACTTAGAGTAATAATAACTTGATAAGGTATATCATCACGGTTTACTTTAATTTTGTGCTAAGCTTCTAAAGTACTATAAACATGGTTATATATTCTATCATTGGAAAATATTGATAAACACTTTATATAAAAAATTATATAATTATAATTATAATATATATAAATTATTAATTTTATATTAATAATGCATATATATACTAATATAAATTTACTTTATATCTTGTGTTATAATATCTTATGGTTTTTATAGTCCATTAAATATTCTGTTTGAATAGTTCTAATAATATTAATAAGCAAAGGTAGATACATTTTATGACAATATCACATTATCACCCATAGTTAGAATTTATTTACTTACCTACCCTAGCAAGGTGAATTTATAATATAGAAACAAAAAATACGTGTACAAAAAAAAAATAGAGGACATTTTGAAATTTTTAAACATAGAGACTGGACGAACGAGTACATCCATAAAAAGAGAACAAGCCATCGTAAAAGAGGACGTCTGGATGTCTGATCACCCTATAATAATATAATGAGTAAATGGGCAGCATTAAATTTAAAAAATAGTTATCGTTTCTTAACAACAGTTTATCGAAGACTCATATTATATTCTTATCATAGTTCGTATGATAAGAAAACAGTATATTATCTTTAATTATGGTCATAATATTGATCATAGATCAGTATAATTATTTTATGGTGTGATACTGTGATAATATAATGTAGTGTTGCTTAATATTGTATAAGTGATATACAACGTACAACTGTATGCTGTTATGTTTAAATTATGTAACGATAAAGCATAATTATTTGAATTTAAAATTTTTCAAGCTTAAACCTGGACTATGGAAAACTTCAAGAAAAATTTTGATATCGTAAATTATCTTTTTTATTTCTATAATACAAAATCGCTGCCTCTACGTTTTATACTCGACTGGGATACAAATGATAAATTTATCTTCACTATATTAAATGTGAGTGTAATTGTTTGTCTTTCTTTTTTCCAATGGAAAACCTGTTCTTGTAGTACTTGGTTGTAAACCTAAATGCACAACATTAAATATCTATGATGAAATATTGCTTCTTCATAGAAATTTAAACATAAACTAATCTTTGTTGGAACATTTATTTATATTTATTTTAAAATGTTACTACATATTTGAGAGTTCTGTTGACAGCGTTTGTTCGCAGACGTGCTTGATTACAATGCTATTGATTGGACTGATCATTCCATGGTATTATCAGAGCCAGATACTTGTACATTTTATCACCCTCAAATACCAGCATTTAATATAAAATATATTCAAGACTGTTTAGAATTTAAAGACTATCCTGATCCAACTAAATATGTGTACGTATTTATATTATATTATAAGAAACAGTAATTTAATCGTTAATCGTTATATATTTTATGTATTACCTATATAATGAGATTTTCCAGTTTTGCCAATTTTACTTACCTATTTATCTTATTTTTAATACATATATCATATTTATTGTTATTAAATTTATTTTGACTGTTATTATAATTACAAATTGCATAAGATGGATAGTACATTTTTACTCCATTCACCAAGAGAATTCATAACAAAACAAAATGTACACAGTCTATAACAAAGATATGACACCTAAAAAAAATTTTGTTCAATTTAAACATTTTTAAGATTTTTTTTTAATAGTTACTTATTATACTCTGTTTCATGAGAGAACACAATTAGCTCATGCTCATCACATAAATTCTCAATTGCGTAGCAACTAGTACGCTCTGTAAGTTTAGTGGTGGGAATGTATGGAAATAAATAAATTTTAAATCTTGAGCTTTTGTAAAAACAAATTTTTTATTTTTAGTCTTAAAAAATATAAACTAGAGGGATCATAGCGCAAGGTTCTGGAAATTATTACAAGAAAAAAAATTAAAAATACCCATTTAACAAAACAAGTTATTTTTGGTGTTAAATCTTCTTCATGTTACACTGTGTATATTATGTATTGATTGTATAATAATAAACTATTATTAAGTTGTGTTTACTTCAGACATCATTACCAGGGTGATAATATATTGTTTTTTACTCTTTTTACTGAAAAGTAGGCTTTCTGATCTCAGTTTGAGAATGCGCTTTAAAGTATTAACTTTTTACTACAATTTTTACCTAATAAATTTTAGAAAATTGGAAAGAAATAATTTCTACTTGAGTAAATCTAACTGCCTAAAATAAAATAGATGAACAAATTGTGGTAAATAATAAAAATACAATAATATCCCATTGCAAAACGTGTGGAAAAATAGCAGTAACCAACAACTTTGTTGTTGGTTTATGTATAAAATATAATACTTAAACTTAATTGTAATAATTTTTTTTATTAATAATTAATAGTACCTGATAATTTGTTTTAATAACTTGATTCTTTCTTGTGAATTTTTGAATACTTACTGACTAATATTATTATTATTATTATTTGTTATTATAGAATTAAAAAGTCATGTCCTGTTACATATACCAAAAAAGAAATAATGGATTGTTGGTTTCATCATAATGTCACATGGTCTAACTTGAAAAAACCTCGATCAGCACTACCATTAGTTAATGAAATTCATCCGAGTAAAATTCAACATACATTGTCTACAAGTGGAGAACATAATTCTGACAGGTATATTGTAAAACGTACAATGTACAAATATAGTAAATATTTAATATATTTTACTAAATCCTACACATATTTTTGTTTAAAATTTCTGTTTTTTAAATCTAAATCTAAAAGTTGCCCCTATTAAAACAATATTTAGGCTTTCTTATTAGTAGGAAATAATAAAACAAAAACTGTATTAACTTTATTTTTCATTTCAGTTATTTAATACCTAATAAAATATTTTTAATATTTTATAAAATATACATATACGTATTATTTATTTGAAATATAAATAAGCTCATTAAATCAATTCTAAATTCTAATCAAGTTGTTTTAGAGGTATTCAAATTCATACAATTTTGCTTATTTATTATTTAAATAATGAATATGTCAAAATAGAAAATAAAAAAAAGAGAAAATTGGCCGAATTTATAGGCAAAATAAGAAAGTTTACATTGTTCAAGAATTGTGGTCTTAAATTGAATTATGCAAAGAACATAAAATTATTACTTTTATTAATTATTATTTATTAAAAATTAATAATTGAATATTTAATATATTTTAATATGCATAACTTCTAATGTTTATCTATGTCAAATTATAAACTTAATGTATTAATTGTTAAAGTAATAGTATTTAATATCTATTATTCAGTTAGGTTCACTTAGGTTCTGATAACCATTTAGATTTGATCTCAGGGCCGTGGTCAAGGTGTTGGATTTGTTCAAATTGTAAACAACCTAGACTTTTAATAAAATTGTAATAACTAACGGCCATATTAGCTGAAGTTGTAATATAATAAATAAATAAAGTATAAATAATTTGTAATTTATGTTAATTTCTCAAAAGTTTTAGCTCCTTGTCAGATACAGGCGATTTATTTAGAACATGTTCTGTATCTTCATCAAGACCAGCTTTAAAGAAGAGAAAGTAATGATACTATTTATATTTGTCACTAAATAATAAATTAATGTTAAACTTTTGTTTTTTTAGGACAAGACTACCTTATTGTTACTCAGAAGATTTGGCAATTGTTGAATATATTGTAAAACACAACCATGCATTCGACATAACGGGTACAAAATTGTGGCATAAGATGGAGCGTGAAAATGTAAGATTAATACAAATAACAAATTTAAAAAGCAAATGAATAATTTGCTTGCATATATTTAAATAATAATAATAATTTCAATATTTCATTCAAATTAATTATCAGTTGTATAATATACAGTGTATTAAATTTTCTACTTATAACAATATCACTTTGTATATTATAGGTGTGCAAAATTCGTTCATGGCAGTCCATGAAAGAAAGATACCTCAAACATATTAAATGGGATATAAATGTAGGAGGACAAAAATATCCATCTCTGAAACCTGAGGATGTGAAATTATTAAAACAAGGGTAATTTTATATCATAAAATAATTGGTTTTTATTTAATTTTTTTTTAAATTTCAATTTCAGTTTAAACATTCAATCAATAGGAAAACGGGAAAAAGAATTATTTCTGTCAAAAACTCATGGCCGGTTATTAGATCCTAATGATTGCTAATCATAATTCTAGAATTATGTAATAATTATGATAATACTCTTCTTAAAATTTTATCATTTAATTAACCTAAGTATATTTTATTTATATTCAATCAATATTTATTCAATTAAAAATGAATAATAATAGTTGAACCAAAGTACTTTAATTTTTGTCAAGCGTTATTTTGATGAAAATTTCTTGGTGTGTGCAATCCCCTTAAAATGAAGGTTTTATCTTACAGTCGAATGGCAACTGTTTAAGTTTAGTTTGATAAATATTTATTTTCATTTTTGATGTCAAACAGTTCAATTTTCAATCCATCTTATATATTTTATAATAAAACTTTATCAAAGCTACAGATTAATATAATTTTGCTTCAAGTATATTGATTAAAAAAATATTGTATATATTGTTGTTCTATTTATGTACAATTAATTTGTTCTTGATAAGCCATACATTTTAGAAAACCATTGGATTGACTTATTTTAAATTGTTTTATAGCAATGTTACACTTATTATTTAGGTGACTAATTTACATTTATAATTCTTTTAACAAACACAGTGGCGGCGCTTTGTTTTGCGGGGCTTTGGACAATGTTTTAGTATAACTAATGATTGTATACCTATATAAGAATATATATACCCAGGGCCCACTAAAATCAAAATAAGTTTTGGGCCCTGGACCTATGTCCCATTTGTCCTCTCCTAGCCCTGGCACTGAACAAACACTATCTTCTAAAGTATAAACTTTCATAGAAATCTAAGATTGAATAAATTGAAGATACATATAATTCACTAAAAAAATTACACTGTAAATTTAAAAATTCAAATTGAGTTAATAGTTCACTTCAATCCCTGTTCTGGTTGTAATTGCAGTCATACTGTAACAGTAATATTCTGTCATGTTTTACTTTACCAACTACTAATATAATTTATACTTAAATAATGTAAACTATTTATGAGGTTTAACCAAAGTTATCTATCAGGTTGGATTATGCATCTATATCACTCGTGTATTTCTGTGCCGAAATGACGCTTGTATTGAATTATTAGTGTTAGTAGTCATCAACCGAGTTATATGTAAATCATATGAAAAATTATCATTTTTCATATTTTGTGCTTAAACAATTACATGTACATAAAAAATGTCAAGCACCTAAATTATATAGTTGAAGTCTGTATCTTGGGGAAAAACAAAAAATACAGTATATCAAAAAATGCCAAATACATATTTTTTCTGTGCACTGTCTTGCCAATTTATTACAATTGAGTTTTCGATTTTCCCATTTTCTGTAAAGATATAACTGGTTGAGAAATTTTCATTCGTGGTCTTAGAAAAATTTTGATTTCTGAAAGTCTATCTATTGGGGTAAAAAAAAAAGTATCAAAAAACCACCATTAAATTTTCTATTCCCCTTCCTTACGTTTATCAACGTTTTGCAGTTAGAATTTATAATTTCCAAAAGCAATATATTTATTTTAAATATTATAATATAAAAAGTAATATTATGGGTTAGTTTTAAATAATATTATATAGTGCCATATAATAGGTACTTACACTATATTACAATATCATAGACTATATTATATATTCAATGATAATATTTTAAACGTTTTAACAAAAAATAATAATTTGAGCAAGTTATCGAAATCTGCAGTCCATAATCAAAAGCAGTGGTGTATCCAGAATTTTTTTTTTTTTGAGAGAGGGGTAGTAAAAAACTATTTTACAGCTCTAATTATATAAAAGTTGAAATTTTCATCATTTTTAAAAATTATAAATGTATGTTCATTTTTCGTTTTGATGTTTCAGAAAATTAATCTATACATCATTGATATTCACGTTGATATTTTGTATTTTGGTAAGGCTAAACCATTTAAACGTATTTGTCCCGAAGAATTTCTCAAATATGTTTTCAAATGACGGAGTCACCCCTGGCAGTTTAAAGAAGTTTAGATATCAATGGATAAACATCTGAACTAGTTTGGAAGTAAACTTCAATAGTATTTTGTTCTTGAGTTCGGAAGATGTTAAATTTGAATCGTTACATTTGGACCAATTGAAATCATTAATGTATTCGTTATTTTTGGGCCTTGTTGTAAATTGGTTAAAAATTATCGTAGAAAACTGAAATTTCTATAGAATAGGTACTTATATTAATATTTTTTTAGACGTGATAATATTTTAAAATTATTCTGGGGATTTTTAAGCTATTTATCGGGATTTGTTTAGTTTTTTTTTTGGTATGTATAGGTATGTATAGGTACCTATACCTACTATGTGAAATTGTGACTTACGAGGACGCCACACCGACTACTTTTTCCGTCTTACAAACGCGAGACAGCAAATTTGCATTCGGTAGGACACATTTTGTAACGTTGGTTTTAATATTATAAACCAAATTAACTTATTATCGAAGCTCATGAGGTACCACCAGTACAAATTTTTCTAAGAGAAGCGGCAAGAAAGTTGTTTAATTTGGATGGCCAAGGGCTGTACTGCAAATAAATCATGTAAGACCAACTAATGTAAAAAATTCGGTCGACTTTGTAACTCAAAGTTCCATAATAGTGGTGTGTAATAATAATACTATGTACTTAACATTACATTTTGTTAACAATTAGGCGTCAAGAGGGCGCACAAGCATCGGACTTGTGTATCACAACTGTGTCCTTTCAACAAATCGTTTACGAACGACCATCCAATAACTTCGGGACAGGCCCGAGTTTGTAGAGTTCGCCGATAAATCTATAAACGACAAAACACGTAAATAATATCGCATAAAATGTAAAACATTCGCGGTATGTATTATATTTCTTAATATCGACAACGTACTTGCAATTCGTTACGAAATAATTTGTTTGGCCATCCGACGGCCTGCATTGCGTCGTCTATTACATGATTATTGCGTAATTACAATATATTATTAAACGGTAACCGGAATTTAATATTCGATTTTGTGTCGGTAACCAGTGTTGTGTAAAGAATACTTTGAAAAAATATATACTTTTTTTTTATATTATAAAACGTGAGCTATCCGTCACTTGCGAATGTCCGAATGACGGTCGAGGCGAGCACGACTTGAATAAGTGTCCTTAACAAATAAATAATAATACTATATTATCATCTAAAAATCAAACAATCATTTTGGGTAAAACCCAAAACACACACACACTGACACTGCTAGGTTAATCGTAATAACTGATCAACCAGAGGCGTAGCTAGAAATATTCTTCTGGGTAGGCCAGATATAAAAAAAAAAATATAAATGTTTTTGTGTTTATGATTATTATATTTGTCTGTTAATACAAATTTTTGATTTTAAAATGTTGTGTGCATTTTCGAAGAAAAGTGGATAGTCTACGGTATGTGGTAGATTGTAGTGTGCATTTCAAATGGCTACATTAAACTCCTACAAAAATGACCTTTTTACCTGTATTTAAAACATAGTGTAAACCCTTACATAGTCGGCCTTTTTTACCAGCCAAAAATAGATTGTGTAATCTCCTCCATAGACCTTTTTACATTTTAGATTCTTAGTGTAGCGAGGAATGTATATTGGTTTTACAATGATGTTTATTTGAGATAGTTGCACTTAAGTGGGAAAAAACTTACGGTTTTACAATTTCATTATTTTAAATTATGAACTTATTATGACTTACGAATGTAATATAATAAAATGTAAAATCAAATTTAGTAAACATATTATAAGGCATCATATCGGAAATTCTCGGATATTTCGATAACGTTTACGTTATTTCAGCAAATAGGAAACGTAACAATCTTTATCTCTTATTTTTGTAATTTATGACTGATTTTTTCTTATTTTAAAATACATTATTTTACTTTTCAGAGCTATCTAGTGTAGGAGTTAACACTATCTTTTATAGGAGTTAACACTATCTTTTGTAAGAGTTAACATTTTCAGTTATAGGAGTTAACACTACGTAAATGTAGGAGATTACCTACTTTTGTAGGAGTTTTCCATCCCCGTTTCAAATAAATGATAAACTAATAATCAAATTATATTTTATAACCCAGTTATTCGGCAATATTATTATTATCATCTTTACCAAAATCATATAATTTATCCGTAGCCAATTACGTGGCCCGTGTAAAAAGACACGACGGTGTCGTGTACTGTCTACATTCTGCAGGGTACCTACCTATATTACGATTTTGGTCGTTATCGCATATTTTAACGACAATTCCAAAATATTTTAAATTGAAAAGTTAGAAAATACTGTAACAAAATAATTAAAATGTACTTCGATACTTATAAATAAATAGTATTTAATACTTGTAAAAGTATTTATTTACCAATACTCAATTACATTACAACGCTGTTTTCGTAATCTTGCAGGACTCTTTCAACTTGTAACATTTGGGCAACAAAGCCGTTTGAAAAGCTGGTTCAGAACCGGGACGCGCACCGCATTTCCAGGGATGAAAACTGTTTATAGTACGAAATCGTTTTGAATTAGTGTGTAAAAAGAAAAAAACTAATTCGTTAATTTGGTTTCTTTGCGAACATTTAAAAAAATATCTTTGAGGTAGGTGTGATATTATATTATATTATTTTATTTTTTCTAAAAATGGGTTATTTGTTTATACATAAATAAAAATATAAATTGAAATTATTAGTTTGAGTGGTGATTAATTTTCCGTTGATGTGCTGATCAAAAAAATCCCTCCCTCCTAATTAAAACTAAAATTACGGCATTGTGAAGGAGGGTGTAGATACTTATATGGTATAACGGTTTCATATAAAGTGTAAAGTAAGAAAAAGTATAAAATATTTTAGGCTCCGGTTATTCCTTTATGTCACGGTGGCCGGTTGGAGTTTGAACCGCCATAGACGGTAAATACGAAAATATGCAGGCGCATAACCAAATTTCGCCCAGAATCGTTTTTCGTTAGCAATATGATTAATCGTTACGTATCATTACAATTACTATAACGCTCTATATCCTACCTTTCCAACCTCTCACTTACAATGGGTCTTTTTACAACCGGTGTTTACAACGTTGCGTTCAAAATTAAAAATAAGCTTGGAACAACTATATAGACAACCATTTATTGTGTTCAAGATTTTGCCGGTTTTTCGATTCAAGATTGTGATGGTCTCTCGAATGAGTGTTGTGAGCGCGATATAATTTCGTTTCAATCTCTGTGTTCTCCCTCGATGAAAACTCCGTTTCAAAATTCAACGGAAGAAATTAGTTTTGTGGCCAGCCCGTATTATCTTAGCTCGTGATGCGGAACGACAGCTTATCATTTGATGGGAAAAGTATCTCGCTCGGCTTGTGTCGTATACCTAGCGCTTAATAATGACGACGGTCTGGACACCATAGGCCTGATAATATGTTTATGGGTCTATGCTGAAAACTGCCAAATAATAATAGTACACTCGTAGGTATAAAAAACGATTGTTCGATATTGACATTGTTAATATGTGCGCACATCACGGTTTTGTTGTTTTCATTTACTCGCCTATTATACTATCCCGAAATGGATATTATTATTGTTGCATTATTACACCTATAATATTATAATATTATTATTGTACCGAATTACCTACAATACTGTCCATTGCATATTATATAGGAAATTCCAATACAAAAAAAAAAAAAAAAAAAAAAAAAAAATCACAAATACGTACGATTAATAATAATATGTTTACTATATTTCATTCAATTTTTGTATGTTTTTTTTTTTTTTTCAACACTGACAAAGAATAATAATTATTATGTAATACATGTATAATAATAATGATATTAATATTATTTATAATAAATCGGACGATAAAACGAAAAAAAAAAAAATAATAATAAAATAACTACCTATCGGCTAAAAAATAAAATTGTATACACACACGCTAGTACAACACACTTGATTATAAAATAAATGTATATATTGTTATATATGTGTTTGTATTACGTATTATTTATTTATAATTTATTATAATATTGTACACGAATCGACGACACCGTTTAGCTAAATAAAAAGGAAAATTGGCGCGAAACGGAAGTTTTATACGATTTGTATTATTATTATTATTTTTCGTTTGATTCGTCGCGTCGCGCATCGATCGATCGTCAACAATAACGTAATCGATTGTTCTTCTTCTTTCTTCTGAATATACACAATATAATATAACAATCCGTTTAATATTTAAACCGCTCGTGAAAATTACAAAAAAAAAAAAAAAAAAAAAAATATAATAATTATAATAATAATAATAATAATAATAATAATAATAAATATTATTTCGTATTCAAATAATATTATGACGATTTGATAACAATCATAATACTGTAGTTTGTGTGTAAAAGTATATTATAATATTATTAATTATTATTATTATTATGTACACACACATATATATATATATATGTATATAAATTAAATAGAGTACAATATTAGGTACCTACATGCATGCATAAATACATATACATACATACATACATACATACATATATATGTAATAAAAAACGAAACAAAAACAACCGTCTTTCTGCAGGAGGAATCGAGGAAACGAAAAAAATGACAAAAAAAAAAAAAAAAAAACTACAACAACTGACCCTATATAATAGGGCTTGATTGGACTCTTAAAATACAGAAGTATATTATATGTATAGGTTTCATTCATTCATCATCTATAATAATAATATAATATTATTACCTATCTATCAAAGCTACTATAGATATTATAATAATATACTAATTTATCTATGTATAACTACCGACAATATTATTATAGTAATATATAATTTTTTTTTTTTTTTTTTTTTTACATAATATTTACCTACTTACTATATAATAATGTATTATAATCATTCCGGTGAACGTTTTGTCTCCCGGATTACGCACTTATACAAATAATAATAATGTATTCGTCGTTTGGATTTACGAAACTATATAATTATGTACAAAAAACATGCATAGAAAAAAAAAAAAAACATTAAAAAATCAATATAATAAAATAATCGCTTAATAATATACAGAAAAAAAAAAACACGATAAAATAATAATAATTAATAAAACAGAGATCATAAAGCCGACGACACGGCGTTTTGTACGACTACTAAAATATAATAATAATATACTATAGCTATAACAACTATTACGTCATAATAATCATATAATAATAATATTCCTAATACGATAGTTCTCTTGTCATTTCGGGTCTCGTGGGGTGCCGGGACACTATATCGCCGAACGCGCGCGTGGAATCGAAACCCGCCGACGGGAGTTTTTAATAGATTAAAAAAAAAAAAAGAACAAAATATCACAAAAAAAAAAAAAAAAATCAAATCCTCATAATACCTACAATTATGTACAGGGCGGATAACGCGTCAATATACGGACCGAGTTCGAAGAGTAAGCGCGCAATCATATTAGCCAAATAGTCTTTTGGAATAAACCTAACGCTGCGGTTACATAATTTCGCGTTATCGATTAAAATATTATCACGCGAAACGAATGTGGTGCGGGAACGTTTCTTTTTAATAATATAATATTATACATGTACGATACGTATTTATATACTTATAAACTAAAAAAAAAATTTAAAAAAAAAAAAGTGTACTTGTACACATTCGCGGCTGTGCGGCAATTTTTTTTTTTTTTTTTCGTTATTTTTTTCTCTTCTCGTTGTTTAGCTAATATTAAATAATGATAATAATTTACACAAATAATAATTATAATATATCGTTCTATACAATACGTTTTTGTTTTGTATAACCTGTATATATAACATAACTTAATACTATATACAATTATTATAACGCGTCTATATATTGTATAGGTTTATATTGCGTATCGTGTATAGACGACTGCTTACTGGCCTAGTCACTGGTCATCGGGTAAAAGGGGGGGGGGAGAGATGGGGTCGCTGCTAAGTATAAAAACTATACGAGTTTTTCGTGCTCTAGTCTTCGTCGTGGCTGTCGCCGCCGAACGACGGCGAATTAGCCGGCGAGTACATCATGTCCGGCGATATGGACCCGTCGGGCGGATATGCGAAACTGGTTCCCGCCCCGTCCGGTCCGGAGCCCGAGGGTCCCGCTCCTTCTCCCCTGTACCACAGCTGCCGCATCTCGTTGCGTCGCTGCCGCATCAGCGTCTTGTACTCGGATATCCTCATCTTCTTGCCGTCCACGATGCACGTTCGCTTGGGCCTGGGCCGGTACCGGTAGTCCGGATGCTTTTCCATGTGCAACTTGGACAGCCTCGACTGTTCCTCGTAGTACGGCTGTTTGTCCGCGTTTGTCATCGCCTTCCACCTGGCGCCTACAAAAAGCGCGTCGAAAACAATTAGACAATTTACGTATATTATACATAATCGGTGTACCGAAATCAAGAAACAGCTGGGATAACGTAATAGGGTAAATGTGAGAGAATACGTTGAGATTTATATTGGTATATATGTCGTAGGCCACGTGGACAATTAGTCTTTTTGCGAAAAAACTAGACTCTTTGCAATGGGGTAGATCGTTTGTGAACTACTTGTTATTTTTCCAAACGGCTCAGTGTTTTTCAATCTTAAAAAGCTCCATGACTAGATTATAGACCGAACATTCAATTAAATTAGCGTTTTACTTTTGGAATTTCCCCAATTTACTCCTAGCTCTCCCCCAAAGTGAGATTATTTCGTAAATAAAATAAAATAACGTGACGTGATTTATGGCACACCCTTATATTTTATCGAGGCTTTGAATCTACACCCATAATAAATCTACGAAACGAAAACCGAACTATATGTATGATTATACGGGAATAACATTTTCAAAAGAAAAAAAATTGATATACCTTTATAATAAATATTTTATTGATTTTAACGCAGAAGAATGTATATCGAAAAAAAAAAAAATATTGCTTTTTTAGATTGAAATTTTTTCCGAGTGATAATAATAATAACAAGAAGCAATGTTACGTATTATTATTAAATAATAACACAATACACGATCATTTTATAATTCTTCACAAAGTATAATATTGTTATTTTGGGAATAAAATCAATAGAGGTTGAGAACAGCTACCAAAAATATCAGTAGTCGACAAAGTAATGATGGCTTGGGCAAGTGACAGGGGCAAGGGTCTGCTTAAGTTTCTGACTATTGCAATAGTGTGACATTTTTAGAATACCATCAAATTGCTGTTGTAGTATTATGTTATAAATATTGTAATTGTGAAACATTTCTAGAAAATTATTCGATTACAGATTTATCAGAAAAAAAGATCTTCGGGTTTTGTAATCAAAATCGTTACTTTTAAAATTAAAATTACCGGTTATTTATGGCAAATAATTGCTCAACTATTTCGATTACCGGTAACGAGTTACCGTTTTCAAATTTTCAAAAATAAAAGCAGTTACCGAGTTTCGGTTCATAAATTATAGGGTTTTTCGGTTATAAGCCCTACAATTAATCATTTCAGTTGAACTTTAACTATCAAATCGAATCTTAAATCTCAACAAATAATAAGTCACCACTACGGCAAACTACCGTAACTTTATAAATCAAATTCGTATAGCCTCATCGACATAATATTAGGTATTGTTTGCTGTCGTTTGTTGCTTACCTAATATCTTCGAAATGTTCGAATTGTGCATGTCGGGACAGGCTTTCAAAATCTTCCGCCTCTCGTCCTTGGCCCAAACCATGAACGCGTTCATCGGTCTCTTTATGTGCTCGCCGTCCTTCTTCTGCTGCCTTATCATGCGACCTGTTACAAACAAAAACGACATTATGTTATTTTTATCATCCGTACACAATAATATATTGCATAAAAATACAGTGGAATACACCATTCTAAAACGGAACTATACGCGGTACCGAAAATCATTCATATTCCGTTCAGCATAGTTTTTCCGTTTTATAAAAGTTTACGCACACAAATTTCGGAATAGTTAAAATACATCAGTTTCATTGCGTTCGCCGTAGACAAAATTTACTGAAATTATAGTAATGAGGAAACGGGATGATTGTTGATTGTAAAATATTACGCGAACAAAACATTCGTTATAAAAAAATAAAAATAAAATAATTATTGAAATATATTACGTTATGATATTTAATTTGCCTTTGACCGTAATATTTCTACCTTTAAAAAAATGACCCGAAAACGGAAAAACATGGGAAAAAACGCAAAATAAAAATCGTACCGTGTAATAAATTTCCATGAATCAATTTTTTTTTTAGAGATAAACGTGAGGTATTAGAACGGGGAAAAATGCAAACGAATCAAGTTCCGGTCCCTAGTAACAATATTATTATATCCGACATTACTACTCACCTCTGTCGCTAGTGTCGTCGGTGGGTTTGAAAGGCGGATCATTGGGTCCCCAAGCTGTTACAGACGAAAAAAAAAAAAAAAAAAAAAAAATAAAAACCGAATTAGTCATTAGTTTATTATTATACAACGGCAAAATCGTAGAGATATTATTATAATTGTGCTCACATAGATCCATGTTTTCGGAATGTTCGTCT